TGCTGCCATTTTATACATACAAACTTCTTAATCTTATCTGACCATCTAACTTTATGTCTCCCCTAACCCACTTGCCTTCCCTGAAAATCCACTTAGTTACCCCTAGTCCTTCTTGTCTGTTGTACATTAGAGCTCAAGTGTATTTCGGGGAGGGGATTTTTGGCGAACCATTGCAGCAGGTGCTTCTATGCTCCGTCCTTGAAAGGCACACGCGTCCTTATAAAAGACAAGGAACCCGACTTTCTCTTGTTAGAAATTACCACTACTCAGTGTGCGGTCGAAATTGGATGAACCTTTCACATATTGATAAATTGCTGGTTTCTAAAGGCTAAAATTGGTCTAAAATTGCCCAGAAGTGTTTATTGGTAAATGTATATTCTAAATAAAGATAATGACACGATGGAACAGCAAATAATAAACGACAGTTCAACATTTTCACAGACGTTGTGAAAGCTTCACATTTCAAGTCACGGGAAAACGCAAGATTTAGTCGATCTAAATGCCACTAAACTTTCAAAAATGCAAAGATTCGATATTTCCAAAATTTGTAGCAATTTGTACGAGATACGCTTTGAGGAAATTTTTATTTCCTCAAAATATATCTTATTGGAACACGACTAGCGTTCAGAACATCACAAAAATTCAAGATTTTTAAAAGCACATGCTTCTTTTATCGCAAATGAGCGCTATAGTTCTTTTATTCTATTTCGAGAAAAGTTTTGAAAGCCTCGTAAAATTCAAGATTTCCGCAGGCCTTGCTTATCATGTTTTAGCCGTAAGTGTCAGTCCAAGTTGCCGTTGTGTCTTCATGCAGAGTACGAAATATTGCAGAGTCGTTATCGCAACTGCGAGGAAGTGGTGGTGCCTGTGGAGATTGCAACCCGTTGCTTCGGCGTGATTTTCGGTCCTTCTTGTATACGCGCTAGTTTCCTGTTAGACCAGTCACTTCCGACGCCATATCTAGCATAAGCCAGGGATCGATGCCTCGCTTGTGTGCCCGAAAACTTCCTTGTGCTCTTCCGCACGCCTACAATTACGTGACTGTTTCGCCAGAGTGCTGTGGCAGTCTCGTATGTGGCTGCAAAATGTGTTGCTGACATAGCTTCCTATTCAGCCGTTTGAGAGGTACGTAGAAATCACAGGGACGATGTCGATTCAGTGCTTTATTGAATAATCGGATCATTCTGAACAACATAGAGAGAGAAAACGTTTCTATGACGACCAGTGAGTGAGTGTGAGAGGGTGCTTTATACTAAGAACCCGCTGGTCTGGACAACCTGGCAGGTCCGCGCGACGAGTCAACGCTGGTCGACCATGTCATGCTTGGAGATCGCAGCTAAGCTTCACTGAGGAGGTTTGGGTCTGCATCCATTGCTGCTGCTTGTGTGACTGGGTTGCTGCCTTTCTATTGCAGTAAAAGGTTTTCTAGGGTGTCTGCCACATTACAGCGTGGGCAGATGTGCTCGCATGTAAATGTATTGCTTTGAAGGCGCCTGTACTCCCAGCCGTTGTCTCCTGAGATAATCAGGAGTTAGGGTCCTTCTTAGCTTGAGAATAATTTCTTATGACTTTGCACTCACCTTATTTCCCAGCTCTTTCATCGCGAGACGTTGCTTGTTCTGTAGGTATAGACTAAACTATGGCTGTCTTTTAGGGTAGTCTAGAGTAATGCACTTATGAATTATTTACGTTACTACAGTAGTAAACAAAGCCAAGTTGGTATAAAGTTATTGTGTTAGTGCGAAAAAATATGAAACCACGAGGACACAGGGGCAAGAGACGATGCAGCTGCTAGGTTCAAACTGATGCTTCAGTTCAGAGACAAAACATTTAAACATATGTCCAATCATGCGCAATGCATAGTGCAACGGAAAAATGAACGTCAAAGTTAGCGCTTCTATTGCCTCTCTATTATGTGCCCATCTTTCTTGTTTGGCGCAATTCCGCTTTATGAATTATTTAGCTGATTGAAAAGCGGCCGAGAAGACACTGAACTGCTAGACAAAGGTTTCGGGTTGCTTTTTGCCGACAGTGGTTGCAATTGTTTTTTTTTTCTTGGGAACCTAAGACGAAACATGCAGAAGTTAGTGTTGTGGAAGCAAGCATACGTTCTGAATCCTTAAATAATGGAAGTTAATCCTTAGTTCTTTGGAGTTAATTGTGGTACCAGTGGCGATCATCATCATCAACATCAGCCTCGCTACGTCTACTGCAGGACAAAGGCATCTCGCATGTTCCGCCAGTCAACTCGGTCTTGTGCTTGCTGCTGCCAATTTGTACCCGCAGACTTCTTAATCTCATCATGCCCACCTAACCTTCCCTCTCCTCCTAACCCGCTTGCCATCTCTAGAAATCCAGTTAGTTACCATAATCACCAGGGGTTATGCTGTCTACGCGCTATATACATGCTCCGGTCCATGTCAATTTTCTTTTCTTGATTTCAACTATGATATCCTTAACCCCGGTTTGTCTCCCTAATTCACTGTGCTATCTTCTTGTCTCTTAAGGTTACATCTTAAGAAAAATGGTAATATTGCTTTCCTTTGCTCGCTGCGTCGTCCTCAATTTAGGCTGAACCCTTTTTATAAGTCTACAGATTTCTGCTCTGTAGCTAAGTACCGGGAAGATGCAGCTGTTATATGCTTTACTTTGTGAATAAGCCACCTTAAATACTGATTCCGGCAATTTTTTGAGGTCTGTGGATCTAGTGATCTTCCGTGCGTACGTTCATTTACGCGTTTCCACCACTTATGCCAGCGTATTGACTAGCAGTTTCGCAGATTGTTTTCAAATGAACATTATGCCTCTCAAAGCCAACCAGGCTTACCAGAAATATTGGCAATATTGTGTGTATGCGACATATATTTTTGCAAGGCGATGGAGACAGAGAAAAGATAAATGGAGAGGAAAGCCAGGGAGGTTAACCAAGCTTGGCTCGGTTAGCTACCCTACACTTGGGGTGGGGGAAAGAGAGAATAATAGAAAGGAAATAGAAAAGAGGAGTAAGAAAGAGATGGAAGTAGGCATCACTGCAGCGTCTGCTTCTTTGCTGGGGAATATTTGTGTTTCCCCAGCGGTTCCCTGGCTCGGCGGGCGATTTCAGTTTCCATGGGGTAGGGCGTGCCATGGTCGCTATGTATTATAGTGTCGTAGGCTGAGCCCGATTCACCTAACATTTATCATGACCACAAAACATTCGCAACTAATGATTGCATTTGTCTCCATACTAGTGTGTGAGCACCATGGAGGTTTTAAAACATTGGTTAGTACTGCCAGCCCACCGCAGGAAAAGTTTTATGCGTGAACGTTAACGCAGAGAAGCACATTCCGTAAGGATTACTGGGGCCACGGCGTCGCGTGTATTAGTATACGATAAGCTGCGCATCGTAAGGAAGGTATGCACATGTCTTATATTATTAGTTAATTTTATTGTCATGTAAACGAGTGCTTCACAAACCCGTGCTCTCTTTCTAAGACAGTTAAAAAGTCATAGATCAACGGCGAATATTTTTTAGCCCAAACATTTTAGCCCAACCCCACAACCACATCCTTGACGGCATGGAGAACTTGTGCCATCTGGCGGTCTTATTAGCAAACAGGTAAGCACATATGAGAATCTGTTCTGTTTCATCGATGTGCAACAGTCATGCTCGTTGATCAACAATGCTTCGGAATCGCATCTGTCATTGTCCGACAGCTCCTAGAAGCTTGTGCACGTGGCATCGTCAGTCACAGACAGGGTGCGATATGGTCAGCGTGGTCACCTACTCGCTGAGTGTCTGCTATTCGCGGCTTTCGCAGTTCTCGAACTGCGCGCATGCATGACCGGCATGCTTTGCATGGTTTCCGGTTTCGCTAATTTCACGTCATGCAAAAACAGTATTGCTCCTCTTTGTTTCGGTTTTGGTGTACCGCTTTCATGATAATTTCAAGTTATTTTGGGATTAGCTTACATTTTCTGTTATTTTCATCTCGGTGGAACAGTGGCTTGGGTGCCATGCTGCTTCCCCGAAAGTGATGGTTGATCGCTGTCAAGGTGGTCGTCACATTTCTATAAAGGCAAAACGATAGCATCCCACCTCAGTGGACGATAAATTGGTAGTGGCCGATGTAAGTGCACGTTAAAAAACACCAAATGGTCAAACTTTTCGGAGCCTTCCACTAAGGCATCTCTCGTAATCCTATTATTGATTTCGGACGTGAAACTCTACATAATATGATTAGTGTTTCTGCAAACAGGTCCAAGGCAGAAGCGTCGGATAAACATAGAAGCACCATTACTTTCATATGGCTGAAAAATCGCCGGAGTTGGTCTTGAACGTTCGCTGACATCTAATAATAAATCAGTCACTTAGTCAACAAAATTTATTCAGGTCCTGAGGAACTACAGAGTACTAGTTGCGGTCCACACCCAAGGGTTTATGTTCTTGATTTGTACCGTGAGAAATCCGTCTTTGGGTAATTTACGTTTAATGGTCTCATTAGCGGAGGAGAAACTGAAGGTCGGTGTTTCTTTTCTAAACTTCGTTCCGAAATAAAATGACGCCACGAATTTAAGGCCTACCTCCCCTCCTTTGGTGACGTTGGCAAAACGAAATTTTCTAAAACATGGTAAGTCGAGTCTATTAACCCCTCAAAGTAAAATCCACCATATATTTACTAATTAGCACGTATGTAAACCTAGCAGATGCCATTAATGCATATGACTTCGTGGTGTTTGCGGTGGAGAATGCGCAGGGTGATCACCACTCCATTTTCTTTTCATTCGCTTACGAAGAAGTGCGCGGTGGGGGGGGGGGGCGTGGCTGGCATGTAGATTTCGGTTTTGTGCAATTGTAATTTATTAATGTAAAACTTTTTTCTCTTGGGAGCCCCTTTAAGTAGCAGGACGCATTGTCTCGTTGGTCTTGATGTCTTGACTTGTCTTGATGTCTTGACTAACTCGCGTCCTTTACCGCAGAACTCAAGCGCCGGCGTAACAAAGACAGCTGTGCTCAAGTATGGATCTGACAGTGGAGGACGAAAAGCCGCCGCCATATGTCCAGTACCATTCCGGTGACGCCTCTGTCACTTTCATGGCAGCCGACCAACCACCATCACAGGAACCACCGGACAAAGCACGTGGATGCCGGTGCACAAAGATGAAGTCACTCGGAGTCGCTGTCATGCTATGCCTCGTCACAACGGTGGCAGCCTTGGCGTTGTTCTTTCTACAGCGCGCCGACGTAAGTAAGCCGACGTTGTCGCTAGACATTTGAATCTGCGCTGTGCTCGTGAGCTCTCTTCGTAAATATGCGAGAGAAGGTGGAAGGTTGTAGAAATATTCATGAACGGCGGGTGGCGGGTGTCGCTAGGGTGGCTGTTTTCATAAGGCGTCTTGTATTCTTCAAGGCAGTTTTAGCCTACCTCACGCATTAATGCGCATGATTCGTAGACTCTCCCCCAACTACCAACTTGTACGAGGAGTGGGCCTTGAAGAAAACAGGGCAATACGTTGAAACGCTTGATCTAGCGACAATCCTGGTTCAGGTATATTTGTGTTAACAACCTATCCGATGTAAGAATTGTTGTAGCTAAGATCACAGAAAAATAATGTTCTCTCCCCCAACTACCAACTTGGACGAGGAGAGGGCCTTGACGAAGACAGGACAATACGCTGAAACGCTTGATCTCGCGACAATCCTAGTTCAGGTATATTGGATAGGTCAATAACCTATCTGATGCTAGAATTGTTGCAGCTAAGAACCCAGAAAAATAGTGTTCCCGGAAAGATGGGGGAAAAAAGGAAAGAGATGAACGGTCGTCTAGTGGTGTTGCTCTAGCTGGAATATTTTAATGCGGCACTGCGGATTTCTCAAAATTAAAGCCCACAACTTGAAAACAAAAATATAAAGGTCTGGCATTTCCGGTACACGGAATCCCGACTCATTGTACCTTTCAAGTATTTTTGGGAATATTCATAGTGTGATAACTAACAATCCCGGCCACCATTAGTTTCAGAGAATGCCAATATATTGTGACCCAAATGCCAGGGCAGTGTGCCGAAATAACCGCACGATCTTCGCATGTGGAAGTTCTGTGCATAGGTGCTGCCGCCATTTAAACTGTAATACTCTGTGCCAAGCTGACGTGGCTGCTTGGTGTTCGCTTCAGCTAGGCCGTCATATTACAGGAATCCTCAGTGCGTAAAAAGGTTGGACCTAATGCGAAGGCTGTGTCAGGACCTCTAATGTACACCGGCGAGCTAAAGTATCCGCACCATTGCCCTTGCAGTCTGTTCCGTCTAGTGGTGAGCCGTCTGGCTGTCGAAACCTTTCCTCAGGCGGATTAGGCCAGAGCAATTGATGCCTTCAGCAGCAGACACCTCGTTACTAGACCACGCGGATGGTGATTTCAGCTCGCATTCCTATGGGACGTATACATTTTCCCACGTGTGTACATATTATTTCACTTAAATTTGCATTATAGCATTAACAAAGTAAAACGAAGTATCACAGTGCTTACTTTCGACCAGGTAATTTCTTCGTTGGTCGATGCACTTGCGTTGCTTCCCCTTGCCATAGATTGCTGTTTACTGAATAAATAATTGTGGTAATTATATAAACGCACGTTCTAGTCGCCCTAAAAGTAAGTAAAAAAAAAAGTCCAGTCGTTCACCTATTGTCAAACTGCACAAACTGCGGACAAGGCCTGAAGATTCACCTGTTTCTGTTAGAGTTTGTTTGTCTTAGTCTCTTTCTTTCTTGGTGCCAGAAAGCCCTACGGCATGAGTTAAATGAAAAAGAAAGTGCTCGTTTTCCTGCGTAAACGCCAGGAGTGGTGGATGCAGAGGACCGTGCGTCCAGCACGAATAAATTGTGTTGTTGACTGGTGTAAACGCTGTGTAGGTGGCGGGTGTAGGTGGCGGGCCTCCTGAAGGCCCGAATAAGCTCCTAGCAGTAGGCGATCTGCCTGTCTGACTTTTGGCTTAACGCTCCTTGTTTCCATAACGTCCACGCTGCCAGCCGTACATTTACCGGTGAGCCTTCTAGTTCTTTTCCTCCACTTTTTTTCCGCGCTTTTGTCTAATACAAATACTTGAACACCTTCTCTTCCCACTTACTCTCCTTGAATTTCCTGAAACTGTGTTTAAGTCTTATCTTGCTCTGAACTTTCCTTACGTCAAAGTCCCGCTCATCCCATATCCCTCTTTACAGCCTCATTTCTCGTCTTCCCGTGAGAGTCCAACGCGAGGCGTCCCATAGTCCTTTGATTCACATCCATTTCTGATAGCACCACTGGGCTTATGCACATCATTGAGTTCCCAAAGAGAAGTCCAAGAATCATTATGTCTTTTCACAGACCTCGAAGCACTTCGTACTTCTCGTATCCGCATCACAATGTGTTTCATTATTGCAGCATTCGTTTTTCTGTTTGCTGCCGATGTTTGCTGCCAATAGTATCTCTACGCTGAAGCGCTCTATACACTTTAGAAGGGAAAAGAATTTATATTCAATTTGTCACCCAGTGGCGGCTGTCAAGCTCGAAATGGTATCCACCTCGCTATTTGGAGTTTTTCTGTCACACACAGGCCCATTGGTCGTGTAGCAAGCTGGTTATGATGACTTGGCCGTGGCCGACAACGCTCTCTGCGGTGCCTGTCATTGCGAAGAGACGCTACACCACATCCTGTGTGGCTGTCCGTTGTATGAAATCCAACAACGTGTATACGTGAAATCCAACAACATACAACGTGTATGTCCGTTGTATGAAGACAGTCACTGGTGTCCGCTTTTGCGCGCATCGACAACATCCAAATGTCTGTGGACACTATTCTGTCAAGTGCCCGAGAGAAGACATTGCAACAGAAGGCGACGAAAGCTCTGTTGAAATTCCTACGCGACACCGACTTGAACAAGCGACTGTAACAGCAACGTCACACACCGCGAAAGACAAGACTGGACTATGACTGAGTGTGCGCGCGTGTGCTGCCGAATGTGCTGTTTCTCTCTTCCCTCTCTACTCTCTTTCATCACCCTCATCCCTCTCCCATGCGCAGGGTAGCAAACCGGCTGCCTATAGGCTGGTTAATCTCCCTGCCTTTCTTTTCCCTCTATTTTCCTTCCGTCCTTGGTTATGATGACACAGCATACCAGTGATTAACTGTGGTGCATTTAACGCATGGAAATCACAAACACCTTGAACAGAAAAGTGTGTTTCAGTTCCCTCTGTATCCGGCTTTGTTAACTCTTCGCACACAGTGTTGTCGGAGTAGAGCACTTGTTAGGCGTACGCAAAAGCTGAGTTCCCACGTTTAACCCGTGATGCGTTGCGCTGAAGGCGGCATTGTGCAACTGGCGGCGAGAGTGGTCTATTCCTAAAGTCAGAAAACCTCACCAGAAGAAAAAACAGCGACCATTTCACCGCAAGGGTGTAGTTGTGAATCCGACTGCAACAAATCGTAAGTTATACTAAGGCTGGCAGCCAGGGGCGTAGTTAGGGAGGTGGCACATCAGGACCGTGCCTCGCCCCCGAACTATTATCGCTATAGCATACAGAGTGCAAAATGGCAATTTGAAGGGGTACCCCTTAAATCGAAAGCGCTTCCACCTACCTGCTCCCCCCCCCCCCCTAAAAAAAAACGTCTATGGCTGCATCTTTGCTGGCAGCAAACTCTTTTGCATCCTATCTCGCGTAACTCTACAAAAAGCTTTTGTAAGAGAATACGGCCGCTCCAGGAAAAGTTGTTCTTTCCGCACAGTGTTTTCGCGTTGAGAGCGCAGCACAGAAGGGTACACAAGTAGCCCGCTGATGGTTGCGACCGCGCCCTTAGAGTCAAAGTTCTAAGTTGCTGCTAACATTAACTAAGTTCGTAAATTTTCAAGCCGGCCTGCTTGGTTTATATCCAAAGACGACTAGGGGCTCATTATCAAGAAAAAGTAATATTTTAGTATAATAGCCTGCAACCTTCGTATTTTTCCTTGATAAGTTCATTGCTGCTTTTTTTTTCAGATTTTACCGAAGGCGGAACACTCAAAGACGGCTGGTAAGCATTCGTTATTTTTTTGCTTCCAATCATACACTTACATAACCTAAAACCAGTAACAGGATTCATGAATCGCGAAGACTTTTTCAGCGTGAGTTTACTTAAGTTTTTCGGCACTTAGAGGGAAATTTTGGTACATTAGATATTTTAAAAAAAACTGAGCCAGTGCGGCCCTATAGAGATCCCACGGGAACGAGCTAATTGATCGCTGATCTTGAGAAGTCTTCTGAAGTAGGCTGTTATCGCTGTACAGACTTTAAAAATTCTGCGAATGCTCAGAACTAATATAAAACACACATTCAATTGTCGTTTATTCACACTGTTTTTTTTTCAAAGACAATGGGCAAACGCGCACTCTCTTCGTAACGCTTCCACTTCCGCCTTCAGAAAAATATAAGCTTCAAAAATTATAAGTCATTTCGGGTGTACAAATGCTTGGTCACAATATGTCACTCATAACTAGGTGGTGGTGGTGGTGGTGTTGCAGCAGGTGGGGTTAGCCTGGCCTGCATGGCCGGCAATTGTTCCGCCTGAGCATCTCCTGAATTTGAAAATTGTTACCACGTGTCAGACAGCCCAGTGTCTCGCAGGAAGACTAACAAAATTTGTTGCACGTTCATCCTAGTTGCCGCGGGTCCTTCAGGAAAGTTGACGTCATCAACTTTCCAGTGCCTATGACAGCCTTTTCGCAAGGTGCGGATCATCGCTGCTCTTTGCACATCAAACTGTGGGCAAAGCCAAAAGAAATGTTCAATATCCCCGATGTCACCACAGTAGGCACCGAACGGGGAAGTGTATCTCCCAGTCTTAAATGACCAGGCTGGGGTGTATGCGTAGCCGGTTCTTATGCGGTACAACAGCGTCGCTTCTTCACGAGAAAGTCCATGAATTACACATGCTTGGTGTGGAAACTTGTAGATCGCCTTGAAATGATTGCGTACCACATCTTTGTTGTTCTGGTAAGTCTTGGGAGTTCTTACTTTTGGAAACAATGTACGTGCTTCGCATGCAAGGGCATCAGCCTTTTCATTGCCCTCAATGCCAACGTGGGATGGGGTCCACTGGAACTTTATATTAAACTCTTGCCATTTAGGTGTTTGATTAGTGCCAGAGATTGCCTGGTGAACTTTTCTTGAAGTAGGCCACGATGCAGTCTTTGTGCGCCGATTTGGAGTTCGTCAGGACTACAACATCTCGTGCAGAAAAAGATCGCAATTTTCGCAAAGCCATAAAGTCACTCATAACTAAACTGAAATAGCATGTATTGTTTGGCATCCGTACACTAAAACTTATATCGATAACATTGATATAGGGTAGCGAAAGGTAGTTAGATTTATATTTAACCGATTCTCAACTCTAGATTCACCCACAGTACTCATGAAAGCGGACCATATAGAATCATTTGAGTTGAGAAGACAGAAACAGAGAGTGTAATTTTTTAAACTTTTTTACATGACCAGTACCACAAGACTCATCTCTACATCTGCCACCCCTATATTAACTAGAAACACACGTCACCGTATTCATAAAGCAAAACACCTTACTTCGTGAGAACAGACACATTTGAGATTTCATGCGCTACCCTCATGCTATATAACTGCATTGAATTGTGTATTCGAATCGGTGTCGCAATCTTCATTATTCTTGTTTTGTTTTATAGCGTTGTGCCAGACATACTTACTCAGTATCCGTGATAATGCATTTGTTTTCTTTGTTCTTTCTACCTTTTTCTCTTTTCTAACATGTCGGCTGCTGTATCATTTTTATTATCTTCCCTGCGTACACTACGTATTGGCAACACTTGATACAGATGAGCCCCGCAGTGGTGGTCTAGTGGCTAAGTTACTCGGTTGCAGACCCGCAGGTCGCAGGATCAAATCACGGCTGCGGCGGCTGCATTTCCGATGGAGGCGGAAATCTATTATGCCCGTGTGCTCATATTTGGGTGCACGCTAAAGAACCCCAGGTGGTCGAAATTTCCGGAGCCCTCCACTACGGCGTCTCTCATAATCATACGGTGGTTTTGGGACGTTGAACCCCACATATCAATCAAATCAATTGATACAGATAAATCAATAACTAATAATAAATGCCCTTAAGTATTAAATAAAGCGGAGATGCCAAATATCTCGAGGCACTAAAACATTCGTTGTCCATGATTCGCAAGGTGACCCCCAATTTGGTCGCCTGATACCAATCTAATATTATTGGTTTTTATTTGATATCGTGCTAATTGGTTCCCGTTTAATGTCAGTGGTACGCTTAGCGCTAAAAACGTACCCACTTATCAACACATTCACAGTACTGGCGCTGACATTATCTGAACACAGGGCATGATGTGTCACTGAATAAAACAAATGTCCAACTTCCTCGGAAGAATCAAATGCCGCGTTCTATATTTACGGTGCAAGCACTCAGTCCAAGGGCGTTACTAGAAATCTTTTTGGAGAAGGGGATGAAGGCCTATCTTTCATTAATGTACGTTCGTGTATGGGTATTTGCGCGGGAATATATACAAGTACAACATGTAAATACTGTGGAGTGAGCACCCCTCCTGTCTTGACTACACGATCATGCGTCCGCGCTGCATTAAAAACATGCAACCAGTAACCAGAACAAGTAACCAATAAGAAGAACCCTAGGGTGAAACATCAAGCCTTGCATTCTGTTTAGTGGACAAGAAATCCATTTATGAGCCCTAATGACAGCTTACAACCAATACCCTAAACAAAACCGCTAACGAAAACCGAAGGACGACAAAGGCAACCCTAAGTTTCGGTCACTGTGCAGGAACTCCACCTATGCGCAGTAACCAGAACGTAGGTTTTCGATAAATCGATATGAGAACACCGTGTGGCTAGTTAAAATCATCACCCCGCCACGGTGGTCTAGTGGCTAAGGTACTCGGCTGCTGACCCGCAGGTCGCGGGATCAAATCCCGGCTGTGGCGGCTGCATTTCCGATGGAGGCGAAAATGTTGTAGGCCCGTGTACTCAGATTTGGGTGCACGTTAAAGAACCCCAGGTGGTCAAAATTTCCGGATCCCTCCGCTAAGGCGTCTCTCATAATCAAATGGTGGTTTTGGGATGATAAACCCCACAAATCAATCAATCAGTTAAAATCATCGGTCGATGCATCAACCATGCCAGAAGAAGAATGTATTGAGTACCACAGGCACCGGCATGCACTGTTGCAGCAGTACCGGAGCAGGCCCCGAGAACTCATCGATTGTTTTGGTTTCAAAGAACATGCATGCTCGTGGCGGTTGCCGGCTATCCTAAGATCCCGTTGAGCGGAGTTAGGTTCATGTGAATGTTGTCAGGTGAAAAACCAGGCGGACCTCTCCAGCTTCCCAATATAATAAGTGAATGTGAATGTTCGCATTGATTGGCTTTCACAAGTTTTTTTGCAAATAACTTCTCTTTTGTGTATGCGTGTTTTCTTATACTTAATTTTGTGAATTTTAAATCAGGCAAGCGCGTAAAGGGATTTACTCGAGTTCGTAGCACGTGCCTCTGCTTCCTCTCGCCTCTTGCTCAGCGATATTAGAAGTTGAAGCGCGCCCAGTTATCTTGCGCAGTTCGTTCGTCAAAAAACGGGAAAGATGAAGGCAGCAATTTGTCTACGGGCAGAGAACGGAAGCCGCAGTGAGCTACGCTGAACAAGTTAACCATTCATTCGTCGAAAATGGCTTAATCGGGCAACACAAGGTTTCCGCGGCTCTGCGGTGGGCTAATCCAGGGATTTCTAGTTCCGCGAAGATTTTCCAGCGTTTTCAGCAGGCAAGAAGTGAGCGAGAAAATTCGGACTCATTATTTCAATGGGTATTGATTTTGCAATGAGTTCATATGTGTAAACTCAGTTCTCTGCGAGCATGACTGGGCTCACCATGTCCCTTGACAAATTGGTGAAAACGGCAGCCAAGCTACTGTCGGGAAATTCGTTTATTGAAAAGCTTGAATACGAGTTGGCTCGGCTACATAGTTATAGTTTCGTTGACTTTGGCGTGTAGTTCAAATGATGCCAAATAATTATAGGCTACTTCCTGCGCATGAAATTCTCATTGCTGCGGTTTGAACATTTGCGAGTCTTACTTCGTAGTGTCACTGAAGTGCACGTGATGGACTTGAATGCTTCTAAAAATCACTACAGGAAATGTGGAAGGAGCCAACGTTTTAACAAGTGAAATTTTCTTCGTCGAGGTAACGCTGTTGCTCTGACGAAGACAAGTCAGCTAGCTGAAACACGGTTTCCAGCGACGTTCTTTCTCGAAAAACTTCTGATCGCCCCAAGCCTCTCCGTGCCTCTGAACTTGAGTCTCGTTTGGTACTCAAGTTCTGTAAAACTATGCACCCCGTCATAATTAACTTGATTGAATAAAATACGACGTGTTCTACTCGCAATTGTAGATAATTTTCTCATTGGTTCGGATATTCTGAATTCAACGTTTGCTCATTATGTCCCTATGTCAGTTGCAAGCTGAAGTTGCTTTTATCGATTGACACTTTAATACTACGTGTATGTCTGACTTTTATACAAAATTTGCAATACAAAAGTTCATTTTATTTGTGGTGATCGAGTTTCATCTTATCGAGAAATTAGTCAGCTTAACTTACACCTCTACAAAAAAGACTAAAAAATTTTTAAAAATAACAAAATTTTACGAATAGCCGCATCGCCGAAGCGGCCAGCGGACCTGAAAAAAAAAAAAAAAGCACGAGTGCTAACTGCTTGCATGCGAAGTCTGAAAGAACAGCTTTCGCGGCAACCCTCCTCCTCTCGATTTTCCGTCCTTTCCCTCTGTTTCAGGACGTCATCATTGACGTCATAAAGTAATTTTCTGTTCGTGATTTATGAGTAGTAGAATGCCCGGCAACCGCCAGTTGTTAAAGTGGCGCTGCCACTGCCGAGAGTGAATAGATGGGAGGTTTAGGAAGCTTCCGCCACCTGACCGAAGTGCAACTAACGCAGACATCGGTCTGTCGCTCATCTGAACGAGTCTGTAACCCCCGGCCCCATCTCCCCCGTGTAAATGTGAGAGCGATCTTATATAGACATGCGATAATGTGTCGAGTGCCACACGAGTGTGAAGTGAAGGGTTGTTTTATTCGGTGTCATATCAAGCCGTTTCGCGATCGGTGAGGTTCTGCTATACATATGTCCTTGTGTAGTGGTCTTTTTGGTGTTACGTTTACCATGGTGTTTGCTATAAATACACTAGAGGAAACCCTAGCGCTAATCTGTATGGAAGATGCAACGCTCGGCACTTCAGCCTCCATGTGAATGATGGGTAGTACACGGACTCTAACTGCGTCCTTTCTGCTCCCTTTGGCTCGCATGAACTATAAAGCCACCTTGTTTCAAGGAAAAAAATTTGACAGATCCTGCGTACCTTGAGAATCGACGTTATGCAAAGCGTGCGGATGAATTACGGCTGCGTTTTAATCTTTTATTCAGTGAAACGTTAAGAAGTGACGCTAGCGATTTTTACAAGGGAGAAGGAAAGTTCATTTACAGAAAGGTAGAGAGGTCAGCCTGAGCGATAGCTTGCTCTAGCCTGCTACTCTACACTGGGGGAAGGGAAAGGGGAAAAGAAAGAATAATGGATGACGATGGTGAGATAGAGAGGTGAGTATGTAGTGTTCTTTCTAGCTGAGACACATTTTATAGCCGCGCACATAGTCCAGTTGTTTCTAAAAAGGTAATAACTGCTCTTGTGACCGCAGTTGCACTGTTGGTGTCTGGCCAAGGGCCCAACATGGTCTCATCAGTTAATGACTTACTGCGATATAGTTCAGTAGAAGAAATCAGTGTTTGTCGTTGATTGATTGATATGTGGGGTTTAACGTCCCAAAACCACTACATGATTATGAGAGACGCCGTAGTGGAGGGCTCCGGAAATTTAGACCACCTGGGGTTCTTTAACGTGCACCCAAATCTGAGCACACGAGCCTACAACATTTCCGCCTCCATCGGAAATGCAGCCGCCGCAGCCGGGATTCAAACCCGCGCCCTGTGGGTCAGCAGCCGAGTACCTTAGCCACTAGACCACCGCGACGGGGAGTGTTTGTCGTTCACGTGCGTATGCTGGGCAGACACAAAATATGTGCTCAAGTGTTTCTGGCACATCACAGTGTTCACAATTAGGACCGGTGTCACTGCGACCGATGATATGTGCGTAACGTCTGGTGTACGCTACACCAAGACGAATGCGGTGGATCGTATACTTGTGAGTGGCCGTTTCATTTTGGGAGGCATGCGGAACCTCATTTCTGGGTCCCATTTGTGAAGTCGCTGGTGTCGCCGTTCCGGTTTGGTCCAGTGCTGAAGTGTGTAGCTGCGCATCACGCAGCGAAGCAGGGCGTTCGTGTCAGCTCGTGAAAACGCAATGCGTACTTCAGGGGCACTGCTTAAGGCATTTTTAGCTTCAGCGTCTGCCTCTTCGTTTCCCATCACGCCGCAATGAGCGGGAATCCACTGGAAAGTTATAAGATGGCCACTTGTTGAAGCAACCAGAATAAGTTCTGTGATTTCTATTGCCAAGCTGTAATACGGACCTTGCTTCATGATCCAATTAATGGTTTGCAAAGCGGATTTGGCATCACAGAAAATCGTCCAGGCTCGAGGTCGCTCTCCGAAATTAACCTTATTGCCTCTCGGATAGCGATAGTCTGTCAGTACAAAAATTGTACTGACAGACTTATCCTAAACAGTCGTATATGATTTATGTAACCAGTTGTTTACAGTTGCGTAGTGGTGCCAATATCAACTTGGGTTGCAACACTAGAAACGACAAGCCGATATGTACCACCTGTGCTACCGAGAATAGTAGCCCTGGGCACACCTACAGAAGTTCAGCGGACACCACTTAACTGTCTGAGTAAAATGACATTTTTTGCCAAGACGAAATCGCGGTAGAATAGGTTGCCTTCAGAAGTAGCACAGGTTACTTCACATGAAGTATTTTAAGATTACTACAGGGTCTAGAGTAGTGTACTCGTGATTGAGTGTAAGGACGAAACGGTACTGTGAAGCTGCTTTGTATTGTCTACTCCACGTGCCGCTACGTATAGTTCACAACGAATTGCGTTATTGTTGTGTTGTTTGAAGAACCCCAGGTAGTCTAAATTTCCGGAGCCCTCCACTACGGCGTCTCTCATAATCATATAGTGGTTTTGAGACGTTAAACCCCACATATCAATATTGTTGTGTTGTAGAAGTGTGATTATCTGTATTCAGTGTGTAAATTTTGTATTCTTACCCCCCCCCCCCGCACTGTAATGCCTTTCGGCGCTGTTGGTACTATGATAAGTAAATAAATAAAAAAATACAATTGGTATTAACCCGGCGTGACATATCAGACGAGTGCATAATGTCACGTGGTCGTGACGATGTCGAAGGCAGTAAGTTGTCTGTATTTTCTGTATGTTCTGAAACGAAACTGTTTATTTTCCCGAGCCTTTTTTCTGGTAAACGGACGCTCGTGTTAAAGCGATACACACAAGCAGTGATTACGCTGAATTGAACGTCAGCCGCAGATCATTTGACAAGCGGTCAAGCGCGTTGGCATTCGTACATGGGCCGTCGAATGTTCCAGTGCTATCGCTATAGCTGCCAAATATGTCCCAGGAAAAAAACTGTACTGTTCGCCTTTTGCGCGCAATCACAACGGAAGAATCGAAGGTGATTTCGATGTGTCTGGGTCATTCGGCGCTGTTTGCGCAATGCCGCACTTGCTCGTGTAATAGGCTGGTAGCAAAGTTTCGGAAAGAAGCGTGGCGATACGTGATGTTTATAAATTTACGTAGCCAGCACTGCAAGCACATTTGGCGTTTCACGATCATTAGGGTCTATTTTCAAACAATTTCCGAGACCTGGTGCGGCTTTATGGTAGAGTGCTTCATTGGCACACAGAAGGCTGCGGTTCGAATTCTGTTGGAACTCTCACTTGTATTCTTTGCACTCGTCCGGTCAACGCTGCCCGTGTCGCGTTTATTCTTGACGCTCGTGCGTTAACATTACACATGTGTGTTTTCGCCGTTCTTTGGTAGATACTGAGTGTCGATCAATTGGGGCAAATACCCGCATACCAGTGACACACACCTGTCAGCGGGTATGTGCCACTGTCTGGCGCAAAGTGCTTGAGGACGTACGTGACGGGATTGTTGCATTATTCGTTTCCTGACCACCACGTCATTTTCGTCAAACCCTCTTTCCCTCCCTTACTAATTTTTGTTCACACCGTGGTAAGGGGGTGATCACTAGAGCACCCAGATGTAAGAGGATAGATAGATAGATAGATAGATAGATAGATAGATAGATAGATAGATAGATAGATAGATAGATAGATAGATAGATAGATAGATAGATAGATAGATAGATAGATAGATAGATAGATCCTTTTAGGCACACCAATTCAAAGTGGTTTGTGAAGTTCACGATAATCCAATCTTTTATCCAAAACACCAAAACAAAAACGAAACGAAAACACAAGAATGAACAAAGCCACAATGGCGTTCAAGGCTTCAAGCACAAAGATTTCGTCAAATTCGTCTACTACCCATCATTTTCACGGTGGCTGAACGATCGCAGCGCCAGAGTTCCCTCTAGTTGATTTTGGGAACCTGTATGACGTCTACTATCGATTCGATGAAGCCTGTTGTGTTATATTCTAAATTGAGACACGCATGCAACTTTGTTGAACGCATGCATCGGTAATATTGTCGTTATCGTGAGATACTTATTCACGTTACAGCCGCAGTTGACGTCACCAACCTCCACTTATTGGGAGCCGATAATCGCTTCATCACCGTTGTCTGGGATCGACCTCAGGACAACTTTGACTTTTACTTGCTGGATGTCATCATCGGAAATAGTTACAGATCTGACGCTCTACTAAAAGATCATCCCGGATCCTGTGGGAACGGCACCATCATTAGCGCTCAGAAGACGCAAGTAACCTGTGGCCCTTACGAAGCCTGCTCCAGCGTCAGTATCACTGTTCGCACGTTCAGCAAAGGCCCGCCAGAACGCACATCGATGGGAACTACACTGAAAGACGTTTTCATCAATGGCCAAGGTTAGTAAAGCGCCGGTATTTGGTTGGTGAACTCGTTTTGAGAGTAACTGACTTTTCCGCATTCGCCTGCAAGGGCACCTATCTAGAAGTAATCTTTGGTGGTCTAGTGTATTCATGTTTCTGCACAGGCCTACTCTCTACAAAGATGAACTTTTTCTCAGGGTTCGTTCAAACTCGGACTCACCAAAACTTTTCTAAACCGGACTGATTAATTTTTATAATCACTAAATGTTTTTTTTATTCGAGCTCACTCGGGTTCACACTCACTGACGTTTCAATAAATCAATCAGATCACTCCAATCAAAACAATCAATCAAATCACTCACACTCCGACTCGCAGCTGGACCTGAGTGTTAGTGATCTTAATGTAATCAACTCACCGAGTCCGTTAGCATAATATTAGCTTTTTTCGATTATCATGTGAATGATGTTTATTTGTCTCATTATTTGGGAGATCATTGCAGCCGTATTGCGCACGGTTAGCAGTGATGCTGCTGATAGTTTCTGCTTTTTATCGTAGTTTATCATGGCTTTTATCATTCTTCGGTGTTATTCGGTCTTTCTTTGATTTGGCACAACGCAGATATATGTTATGTGTGTTAAACAATGAACTTCGTTGTAACTCAGCGCTGTTTTTGTAACCGCCTAGTCATACCAACACGCCTAAACGCCCACTTAAGCGTTCCTATCAGCAAGTACGTTCGTGTTCTTTAATGGACATTTTTGAGATGCAAGTTTCTAAAATTGGTGTCCGAATTTCATTGAGGTCGAGAAAGTTTGAGTATTTTTTAAACGTGGAGCATTTTTTTGCGCACTGCAAGCACATGTCTGTTTTGGCGTCTATCTATCTATCTATCTATCTATCTATCTATCTATCTATCTATCTATCTATCTATCTATCTATCTATCTATCTATCTATCTATCTATCTATCTATCTATCTATATATCTATTTATCTATCTATCTGTGTGATCAATCTGTGTGCTCTATCTATCTATCTATCTATCTATCTATCTATCTATCTATCTATCTATCTATCTATCTATCTATCTATCTAGCTGTGTGGTCTATTTATGTGTGTGCTCAATCTATCTGTGTGCTCTATCTATCTATCTGTCTATCTATGTGCTCTATCTATCGATCTGTCTATCTGTGCTCTATCTATCTATCTGTCCATCTTAGTGCTCTATGTGTGTGCTCTATTTATCTGTGTGCTCTATCTATCTATCTATCTATCTATCTATCTATCTATCTATCTGTGTGCTCTTTCTGTGTGCTCTATCTATCTATCTATCTATGTGTGTGCTCTATTTATCTGTGTGCTCTATCTATCTATCTGTCTATCTGTGTGCTCTCTCTACCTATCTGTCTGAGTGCTCTATCTATCTGTGTGCTCTATCTATCTGCGTGCTCTATGTATCTATCTGTCTATCTGTGTGCTCTATCTGTGTGCTCTATCTATCTATCTATCTATCTATCTATCTATCTATCTATCTGTGTGCTTTATCTATCTATCTATCTACATATAGATCTATCTATCTATCTATGTGTGTGCTCTATCTATCTGTGTGCTCTATCTATCTGTCTATCTGTGTGCTCTATCTACCTATCTGTCTGAGTGCTCTATCTATCTGTGTGCTCTATCTATCTATCTGTCTATCTGTGTGCTCTATTTATCTGTGTGCTCTATCTGTGTGCTCTATCTATCTGTGTGCTCTATCTAGCTGTGTGCTCTAGCTGTGAGCTCTATCTATCTATCTATCTATGCGCTCTATCTATCTATCTATTTGTGTGCTCTATCTATCTATCTATCTATCTATCTATCTATCTATCTATCTATCTATCTATCTATCTATCTATCTATCTATTTATCTATATGTGTGCTCTATCTATCTGTATGCTTACATCTGTGTGCTTTCGTGACGACCCCTTAACTTGGCATGATCCAAAATTAGCATGGGAGGGTAAGATGGTTTGACGAATATGACGTGCTAGTCAAGACATGATTATGTTTCTTAAGGGCTCGTTTTTTACGTGTTTTGGCACATTTTAATGAGATCTAACAGACAATAATGCCAAATAATATTTAGGGGAATTCATTAGACCCAATTGTAATGTAAATGTGAAGAAGAAAAAGTGAGAGAAAAGATAACTTGCCGTGAGCAGGAACCGAACATGCGACCTTTGAATGTTCGATGCGCGTTCGATGCTTTACCACTGAGCCACTACGGCGGCTATCCGCCAAGCCACGTTATTGGTTTATATGTGAATTTAAACGTGGCAGTGTCAGTTAGCGCCACCTGTAGCCATGGCGGTGAGTGTGGCACACTCTTTGTGAGCCTGTTTGGCGTCACCTAGCACGTGAACTTATTGTGAGCTGGCAGCTGACCAATAGGTACCTCGTATACAACCTAATGGCACCAAGTGCGCTAGTACGAAGCCCTCGTTAATGAAAAAGGTAAAGAAGTGTATTCTTAAGGGCTCGTTTTTTCCGTGTTTTGACACAAAAATAATGAGGTCTAACAGACAATAATGGCAAGGAATGTATAGGGGAAGTTATTCGACCCAAATGTAATGTAAATATGAAGAAAGAAAAGTGTGTGAAAAGATAACTTGCCGTGAGAAGGAACCGAACCTGCGTCCTTTGAATAATGCATTCGATGCTCTACCACTGAGCTACCACGGCGGCTATCCCCCCAGCTACTTCATTGGGTTTATATGTGAACTTGAACGTGGGAGTGTCAGTTAGCGCCACCTATAGACATGGCAAGGAGTGTGGCACACTCTTTATGAGCCTGTTTGGCGTCACATAGCACGTGAACTTATTACGAGTAGCAGGTTAGGTTTCTGCTCACGGCAAGTTATCTTTTCACCAATTTTTTTTCTTCACATGTACACACAATTGGGTTGAATAACTTCCCCTATTCATTTCTTGGCGTTATTGTCTGTTAAATTTGATATATATATATATATATATAATCTACACTGTGACCACGACCACCGCTACTGTGTGAAAGAGAGGGCGAGAGACGCAAGAGAATTTGAATAAGATAGCCATGCTCACGCCCGGTTAGCTATTCTCCACTAGGGCAAGAGAAAAAGGGTGAAAAGAAGCCCAAAGTACAATAGATACATTAACATAATTGCGCGCGTACATGGTTGAGCACATGAAGTCTGCAGGTTGCCTACTGCACCTTCAAGGCATGTGTGTCTCCGTGGTCCTAGAATCCTGAAAATGTCTCGAGTCAAATTGGCTTGGAGGTCTCCCTTTTACGCATTGCACAGTGTCATAGCGACCGCAGCTGCACAGGATGAGTTCAATTTTCTTTTCGATTCGGCAGGAGTCGCATGTGGACATGTACGATAACCGAATGGAAAAAAATAACCGGTTGCATCAATGAACCACGATTTCTCATGTGTGCTTTCCCATCAGATCCGGGTGAACCACGGAGCATCGCCATGGTTGCTAAGGCTCCGCCCACGACACGCATTTTGTGGGAACCACCAGCGAGTTTCGACGGCACTCTGGGCGTCTACAAAGTGAAGGTGTGCAAGAAGTCGACAACTTGTGACGAGAAGGAAAAATTGGCAGGCTGCGTTGAGCGGGAGGTTTCAGATGCGTGGATGGAGTTCGGCAGTGTCGAAGACACCTCGTACTGCGTCTTCGTCTCGGCAAGCGCGCGGTGTGGTGAGAAGGCACTGGCCGGCCCAACAGCGTCACAGGAAGTGAGAACGCCGCTATTCGGTGAGATATTTTGCACTATATGTAGAATAGGCTGCGCAGTACGTAGACGAAAACAATGTGACGTCATTAAGCGTGTTATCTATTTTAACGTGAAAGTGTTTTATTCCGTGGTCCACCGCGGCTGTGCTGACGTATGTCCGTCACGGATATGACGTTGTAAATGCATACTCTTTTAATGAGCCTGTTTAGAATACGTATGCAGTCTCTATAGAAAGTGGAAGTACACTTGAAAGACATGAGAAGTAATTGAAGCATCTGTCCACCAGAGTGTATACTGACGCAGTGCGCATTTACTCAAACCAATTACTAAGTATTGCTTTTCATCTTTTTGTGACCCAATTGAATCATCGGAGGCATAAGCTAACTTAACTAAGCTAGTTCCTCTTCCGTCTCTACGAAAAGTATTAAATATTGAGAAGCAGTGGGAGCCTGTCTGCGCCACGTCAGACAAAGTACAGGACGCTGTCCTGGGTTCGACAGGGAGAGTGCCCAAAAACTGCCGTTAGTGGGAACCTCCCGTTGTTTGCATTTCCTTGCCCCTTTGTTTTCAAAAGCAAAAACAATGCTGTTACCTGCATGCCCATTTAGTCGCTGTATTCAATGCCCCGATCATTTAACATAAAACAATACTTTTTGGCATTTATTTCTTTGCGACCTTGTTTTATTTATTTACACATTTATTGGTCCATTTTATCTTAAGGCCTAATTTTCCCTCCTTTGGGTGACGCCGACGAGTGGCATGTAACGGAATGCATGATGGATAAATATTTTGCCTTTCAACCAAGAGCTTTCTCTCTGTTAGTCTATTGAGTTGTCTACAACTAAACTTTGCTCTCGTATATTATAAATCTTGACCATAGCGGTTGCGTGAAGATTCACGGGATGAAATAATAATATCAAAAATAACTTAAAGCGAGTTGTGGGCAAGATACTTAGGACGCCCGGGAATTATTTCTTGCCTTATGAGGTTCCACAAATGCTTCTGCTGCCATGAAATTATTTGTGGTGACATGATTTTCACTGAAAATTATCTAAAGTTTGGAATGTTCAATGCAGGACTTCCGGACGTGTCTAAGCTAGCAGTGCTAGCTGTCAAGAGTGGCTACGTTACCTTATCCTGGCAGCGCCCCAAGAGGCGCTTCGACTACTACTCTGTCGAGGTAACCGAAGACCAAGCCAGATCTACGAGGAATTCCCAGCAGTGGCACCGTTTGTGCGCCAACGGAACCATCATTCGTCCTGACCAGACGGAAGTGACCTGTGGTCCCTTCGAGCCGTGTACCTTCTTGTCATGCACCGTTCATACTCACTTCAACGGACCACCAGAGCACAGGTCTCCTGGACTGACATTAAAAGACATCTTCATCCCCGCTGAAGGTAAGCCGTATAAATTCTGACTATAAATGCCAACAGCCATTATTAAACATGGGGACCTTCTAAGTGCGTAGCTCTTTAGCAGCCCGGTTCGTCTTTTATTCATTTTTTTCCTGTAACGTGGCCGCGTTGTAGTCAATACAAGCCAGACAAAGGATATCGATGCTCAAACGGTGTAGTACAAGCTACAAGGTCAAAAGCATTAGATGCTACCGAAAAAAAAAACCCATACTTAATCGTGATAATTCACCTACAATTGCGAAAAAAGGCTTCTGAAATATTCGGCTGATACGCGCGCCGCCCAAGAGACAGCGCCACCGCCTCGGCGAGCTTTTGATTGCCGAGAGAAGGGCTAAGTTGCCCGAGCTATGAACTTCCCCATGTTTCACGGTTCTGGGTTTATATTCGGTGTAGGAGCTAAAGCTACGCCGGTGCCTACGCAAGAAAGTCATCAACGCTACGCTAACCACAGAATTAGTGCTATAATACAGCAGGGTCATCACTGGATTGAACCAGTGTTGTTTACCTTATGAGTGGCATTGCAAGGCTGGTGAATAGAATCAATAGTGAATTTATCATATTCATATCAAACGTTAAAAAGAAAGCATTGTTGCGAAAAAACCACACACAGAGCAGTAATACCAAGTTCTTGAACAATTATATATTAAATCATTGACATTATACCATAAATTAGGTATGCGTATTCCTAATGTTTCTTATGCAAAAAGTATATTAGTTGGACTATGTGTAAGATCAACTTCCGAGGAAAAAAAATAGAAGCACAGTCGTAATCGCAAATATCGAGCTCAAAAAAAGCGGGAAATTATTATATTGAATGATTCTATATTGAAATTTAAATGAAATTGTTGCATTTCATGGACGAATTTATAGGCTCAGCTTTGCTTCACGGAACTGCGTCACGCTAATTTAGGAAACATGGCTAGTCGTCAATACGTGGCTTTATGTATATATATATATATATATATATATATATATATATATATATATATATATATATATATATATATATATATATATATATATATATATATATATATATATATATATATATATATATATATGTATGTATGTATATTTTTTTGTGGTTTGACCTTGCTGAGGCATAGTACTTGGCAGGGGCGAGTTCAACCAAAAAATAGGATGTAAATGTACATAGTGCTTCAAAATGTGCCCAAGTAGCTGTGCGCACTCGTCGGGTACCAGAAGCCTGCATTTTGACCCTACGGTAACTTCTGCTCTCTTATTTGACGATGTAAAAGACGTAGATGCAGAACAGGGACGGTAGAACACGGAACAGGACAGGCACTGCTCTGCAATTTACCGTCTCTTGTCATTTGTGCTGCACTTCATGATTAACCAGTACCTACATGGCAAGCTTTTCGCCTTAACGCCGTTTTCGTTTCTCCAATATTGTTCACAGTGGGCTTCTTGGGATACTGTGCGCAGCGGCTACGTGAGCCTTCTCCACTTTTGGCTGAACTGAGTACCGCAAGTTTTGTGGATAACAGCAAGTTCTGGATTTAAGGCCTGCATCGCGTTAGCAAAACGAGCGTAAAAACAAACGCCGACCCCGCAGCACGGACCAGATGCTTGTGGAAAAGTACACTTACACGAGAAAACACCAAATATTTGTCAGCGAAAGCCAACTTCTTCTGGTATTTTACGTTACTGGCATTCTATATAAGATGTCCTCTAGATATTTTTGCTCGATGTTGTACATTTTTTCTAGGCATTAAGGTCAAAGCATTGCCTCGTTACCAATTGTTTGATATGAAAGATACTTCTATTTACCCGAGTTCTATCTAGTCCGGTTCGACTGTAATATATGTTTGCTAACATGTTGCTAACTTACACATCTCAAGCTTTACTCATAATATTATCATCCCACAGAGAGTAGAAATATCCTTAATAATTTTGGCTGATCACGCCTATTTCATCTTAATGGGATTTAGTTCCTTTATTTGCCCTAATAATAGCTAGAAATTCTCGTATGTATAGAAGTTTACATAGCCTAAGAAGAATGTGTTGTTGTGTGTAATTTAACGTTGTGAGTTGAAGATGTCTCATAAGAACTGAATTGTTCGGGCCTAGTTTGTTAAAAGGCGAGGACAAGCTTCATACTTGAAAAAGATTCGGGGCTATTTCCTTCAGCTCGAAACATGGAACAAATTATTCCAGGGGTTCGGCATTTTTTTAGAGGAAAACCGTTGAAAATCAAACCTCAACATCGCATTTATAAGAGTCAGGTGTTGTCACTAGGCATATCTTTGTTCACTTTGACAATAACTTTATTCGTTTTCACATCTTTCACTTGTTGAAGAGTGATTTTTTTCAAATGTAGAATACACACACACAGACAGGATGTGGTAATGTTTGCAATTTCATTTCATTTATTCTACCCTCAAGACTGTAGCATTGCACAGGAAAGCGCTAAGAAACAGTATTGCGATCAGCTATATATGGTTAACAGTGGGTGTTGGCGCTTAAGATATCAACATACTTCAACTCTTGTTGCTAATTATCGTGATAATGCATAGCCTTCTTTCATTTCTCCAAGTAAAAATTCAAGAGTAGCTTTGTATGAAAACTGCGAATCAACTTAATCTAAGTATCTTTTTAATGCACACCATTGCAATGCGCGGAACAATCAAATAATTAGTGTACCGCTAAGATCACAAGCTCGGTCGTGTTGTTTCGTTTTATATTCGTGTTTGTTTAAATATTGTGCCAAAAATATTCATACCTTGATAAATAAACAAAGATCTTTTATCCCTTCCTTCTATTTCAGATCCGAGCCCGCCAACAAACGTTACGATGATCCCCGAATCACCGTTACGGAGCACGCTGCGCTGGGGTCCGCCAGACAAAGTGTTTGGTACCATAGTGTCATACAGTGTCAATGTATGCAGCACATTCGGGTCATGCGACCCAGCTGAAAAAATGAGCGATTGTGCGGAGCAGACCACGACAAAAATGTGGACAGTGTTTGACAGCAAAGCGGACACCTCGTACTGCATACTGATTGCGGCAACGATACGCTGTGGGGTGGACAGAATCACCAGCCGTCAGATGGCGGCACAAGTACGGACCCCTATATTTGGTAAGCATCTCGTAATGATTTTTGCAGTATATAGACGTATAGCTGGTTCACACCTGACACAACAGCCGACTGTGCGACTAAGTTGGCAACAAACAGTTCCTAATAGCGAACGGTCTAATAGCAAACGGTCCCTGCTTTGGTTGCAAAGCGGTTGCTTCGACTCAGTCTCTCGTTGCTCCACGTTTCAGTCACGTGACTTCATTCTTATTCCTCTGAACCCAGGAGTCAGCAACCTGTGGCCTTGTGGGCACTATTATGTGGCCCCTGGCATGACGTCACAACACTTTCTCACTTTCCTTGTGCCTTGATATCTGGACTGTCAAAGTTCCATCACAACTGCAACTTCCTCTCTCCACTAAAAAGAAACTCTTTTGATAATGAGCAAATATATTGCGGTATTAAACAAAGCCATCATTTTGCTATCAAGCCATTCCAGTTTTAAAAACACATTATTTCTGTTTCCGTTCGGTTTAATGTCATCAGTTCACCTATTTTATTTTTATTTTTGCCTTCCGAGGCCCCCGCCCATCCCCGAGTAATATTTTTTGCCATCCACTTCATTCAAAAGGTGCCTGACCCTGCTCTGAACCAATTATATCACATGAAGCTTCATCATATTTTTCAGCGTATTTTGCAAGACCATGCAACCACAGAGTTTACTATATATACACAACAGAAAACTCTTCCGTTAGTGTCTATGGTAGTTGCGACGTGTGACGCTTCAGCCACCATGGATAATACACGGATTTGTCTAAACATTCTCCTTTCGGTTCTGTTTAGCTCCATGCGGCCAGCGTTTTCTTTGTCGCAAAACGGTATTCGGCAAACGTTCGGTAGTCCTGCTTCACAAACTTGATCGTTTTAGGCTCACCAATTCAAGCCAGTTTCCGAAGTATACGATGGTATATTCTTTTAATCAAACTAAAATCACACCACTCTGGTTCCTCCCTACCTTCTCGATATTTTTTCTCTATCTCTCTATAACCCCACCGCAACAATCATTTTTCGCTGCAGCTCGTTTTTCTATGGTCCATCGCAAACTGTCTGACCTGTGCTAGTACTACTTGTGAATGAGCCTTAAGTTTTTCAAAGCGTCCACGTCCTTCACGGCTATGAAGTTCCCACCACTACTTAGGAGAAAAGATCGAGCAGCGAAAGATTGGCAGCTGGGAAGTTGCATGTAAGGGGGCATGGACTAATTTAAAAAAACCGGATTCGGGGACAATAATACCCTGAAGTGTAAGTCGTAGCTATCTCTCACAATAAGAAAAAAACAAGAAATAAAGTTCATTTTCTTGTCATACACGACTGTTCTCTGTAGCAGTCAACTGTCCTGCCTAAGGACTACGGGAGTGTATTTTTCCTTTCGTGGTATTTACTAAAACTATAATTTTCATTTAGTCCGTATTCATTGCAATCGAAATAGCTTGCGCAGTCTCCTACAACAGCATAATATACAACACAGAGCACAAAGTTAATGCAAACTTTGCTCTATAAACGTAGTAAAAAGATACCTTTCATATCCAGTGGATACCACTGCATTGGAGCTGTGCTTTGTCACAAAAGTCCTTGAATTTCAAAGCCATATCTTGAGAACAAAAGTAATTATATGCTTTTTGTCATGCTTCTACCGATTCGGATGGGCATTTGCTAACAACTGCTCTTAACGAAAAACAATTCTTACAGTTAGACAGACGAGAATGTTAGATGACATTATTAGAGACGCTGCCGCACTTCTTACATGCTTGAAAATTGCGCTGAAGTTTGTACTTTTCAACAGAAAATAATGTGCGCAGTTATGCTAAGAATGCATCGCAGACTCGTCCCTGCTGTACGAAGTGTCGCGCCGTATGTGTTCAACTACAAGTAGGCGGCTTATTGTCCCCCAACAATTCCAGAGGGCTCGGTCATGATTCGTCATCATCAACAACCTCAATATCGCCAAAGTATTCACCAAATTATACATGAGGCACAAATGGCGACATTCTTGGGTCTCGTGGTCGCTTTTTGCCAAGTGTCTCAAATTTCCAGGTGATAGAGCCATTATACAAGGCATCCTTTTTTTTTTTCCCTTGAAACAAATTCTCCTTATAACAACTTTATAGCGATTGGTGTGACGAACCTCTCACTACAACAACAAAGAATACACTTCCTGTATAGCATCTATTACCCGTTCATTGCCCGCATTACTTGATATTATGCTTATTCTCTGGATTTAGGTAACTTTGATAGTCCTTATCATGACTAATCGCAAATGTCATACACCACAGCTTCCGTCTTTTTTTTTTCAGATCTGCCCGATGTAAGCAACTTCAGATTGCTTTCTGCGGTGGATAGCTCCGTAACAGTTGCTTGGAGAAAACCTGACGCTCGCTTCGATTACTACTGGGTCTCCATTGATGAAGAAGTGGATCAGCGCAGTAGTGGTGAAAAGGTGACCCCTGGATATTGTGCAAACGGCACAATTCTGCACCCTCACATGACCCAGCTTACGTGTACAAGCCTGAAGGCTTGTGCCAGAGTCGACATCACACTAGGTACGCACAGAAACGGACCACCAGAGCATACATCTCGTGGAGTTCGCCTCCAAGGAATCTTTATCCCCGGTGAAGGTGATTATGACTTCAATGGCGTGTGAAGTGCTTCTGAATATACCACTTTTTTCACTTAAAAAAGATAGTTTTGATATCCTAATGGTCGAAAGTTTGCATCGACATAAATAGATTTTGGTTGCCTGCAAGAAACTGTTTAGTATTTACTTGGTAAAGTATTGCGCCTTCAATCCACAATAGGATGAAGAAAGGGGGCATAGCGAAAAGCTTCTGAAATGTTGATTGTTTATTGCTATTTAACGAGACCTAAGTTTAGGCTGACGGGGCTCCAGCATTTCGCTTTTTCAGGCTTCGAGCCTCATAAACACTAGATAACCATGGTGGCTGCTTTAAAAGATAGGCTACTCACATACACAAAAAGCATGAATGTAAGTTACTGTTAAGAATGCCGTTTTCTTGAGTAGCAACAAGTGCCAACCACATTGCTCTACAATTTAACAGCTCCTTTTCTTTGTTAGACACAGTAATCATGAAAACTAACACACAAAGATGGCAAGGAAAGTATAGGAAATAGTATTATACTCGGTGACAACATTCCTTGGCCCTGAAGGGAAAGCTACCGACCTAAATTACGTGATTTCCACTACCAGCGATTGTACTTCCAAAGTGGCACGCGTATTTTCAATGTGAAATCATCATCATCATCATCATCATCATCATCATCATTTATTTTACCCTTAAGGGCCTCTCTCAGGGCCCTTAAGGGTCTCATAAGGTGGGGGGGAACAATGCAAGTACAAATTTCAATGAAAATGCAGTTCATGGTTACAGTTTTTGAATTACTAAAACATACAGGTAGCAACAAAAAACAAAAAGAAAACAGAGCATGTCAAATGAAATATTCAACAGTCAATTCGCGGTCCAAAATATACAGGCGGCAGAGAACAAACAACAAAGAAAGACAAACAGCGATTAAGAGTCAAGGGTAGCTAGTAATAAATCTCTAAATTTAAAAGCAACTTTTTCGCTGACAGTAGCATCCGTCAAACCGTTCCACTCATCGCTAGCCGTAAGAAGACATGATTTATTAAAAGCGTTAGTAGAACCAAACAGACGTTGGATACTCAGGGAATTAAATAGGCGACGAGATGTTCGGATAGGCGGAAGTAAAAGTGAGCCATGTAGGTGAGGAAAGCTGTAGTAAAGTTTGTGAAAGAGACAAAGACGTGAAATTTTGCGTCGAGCTGACAAAACGGGGAGACCGAAGGATGATTTGATTTGACTGATGCTTGCTCGTTTGTCGTAATTTACGGAGATGAATCTGACGGCACGATTTTGGACGGATTAAAGAATGTTAATTAGGTATATCTGATGAGGGCTCCAAATTGCAGATGCGTATTCCATTTTAGTACGAACAAAAGTTTCAAAGGCCAATTTGCGAAGGCTTGCAGGTGATAATGACAATGATCTCCTAAGATAGCCAAGAGTTTTTGAGGCATCGGCAGCTAGTTTGGTAATATGCTCGGTCCAGGTTAGTCTGCTTGTAATTACAACGCCCAGGTATCGGTAAGAATTCACTTGGGATAACACTGTTGAGTTTAATGAATACGGATGGATGACGTTAGTGTGTTTTCGTGAGACAGGCATGAACTTACATTTGGAAGTATTCGGCCTCATCATCCACTGGGCGCACCAGTTATCAATGATGTGTAAATCTTGCTGTAGTATTAGCTGATCTTCGGGAGTTGATATACGACGGTAGATGACGCAATCGTCAGCAAAAAGCCGAACCGTTGATGAAATGCCGGAAGGAAGGTCTTTTACGTAGATTAAAAAGAGGAGCGGGCCGAGAACCGAGCCCTGAGGGACGCCAGAGATTACTGGAGTAGTATCAGAATGGGCACCACCGATAACAGTGAATTGCGACCGGTGGGTTAAGAAGCACTTAATCCATGATAAGGTCAGGGGATCGAGGGAAAGTGAAGAAAGGTTGTTGATTAGTCGTTGGTGAGGGACGAGATCGAAGGCTTTTGAAAAGTCGACAAAAATAACATCAGTCTGAAATGACGAATCAAGGTTGAGATGAAGATCAGTCGTAAATTCAAAAAGTTGAGTTTCGCATGAGAGCCCTGAACGAAAACCATGCTGCTTATGAAAAAAGAAAGAGTGATCATCGAGGTGACGAGCAACATGTGAATATATTGTGTTCCATAAGTTTGCAAGCGATGCACGTTAGTGAAATGGGGCGATAGTTATATGGGTCAGATCGCTTGCCAGACTTGAAAACTGGTACAACCTTCCCAAGTTTCCAATCATCTGGGATGAAACCTTCAGAAAGGGACTGTTTAAAAATTATCTCCGAAAATTTGCTAGAAATGCTATTAGTAGCCTTTAAAACTTTGGCAGGAATATTGTCAGGTCCGGGGGAGCTGGATATTTTTAATTTCTTTATCAGATTGCTGATGCCTTCGGAGGTAATGTCAATGGGCGGCATTTGTGAAAAATTAGATCTCGGCATGACTGGAATACTATGAAGTGGTTCAGAAGTGAAGACTGAAGTGAAGTAAGTATTCATAACGTCCGCCCGCTGTGGGAGAGGAACGTGGGAACCATCGAAGTTGGTTAAGGATATATTGTGCGTGTTATTTTTAGGGTTGAGAAGTTTCCAAAACTTCTTTGGATTAGTCCGGGCAATGTTAAGCAAGTCATCATGAAAAAATTTCTTTTTGGAGCGCTTCAACAAGTGAGTGTATTCACGAAGGCATGCGAAATATTTGTTCCATTTTGATATTGACTCAAAGTTTTTAGCAGCGCGAAAAAGACGCTTTTTCTTTTGAGATAGTTTCTTTAGGAAATTAGAATACCAGGGTCGCTGAGCATCGCCTGGAACACGAATAAGGGGGACGTGGTTATCGATAAGGGTTAATAATTTCCGCTTGAACAATAACCAGTTTTGGTCAACTGTTCGGGTAGAAGCAGACAGGGTGAAGGAGACCAAAAATGTATTAAGTTCTGAGTTAATCGTCGAAAAGTTGGCGTTGTTAAAGTCGTGTATTAATTTTTTCGAAGGTCTTCACGAAGGTAAGGCAATTGACAATGAAAACTATACAACATTATGGTCACTCAGACCGGGAATGCATGACACTGACTGAATTAAATCTAGGTTGGAGACAAGAACAAGATCAAGAGTGGTTGTGCCACGAGTTGGCATTGTGACTGAGTGCGATAAGTTGAAAAGGAGACACAGTTCGAGGAAATCTCTGGATTGTCGTGAATTAGCACACAAGTTATCCCAGTCAATATCAGGGTAATTAAAGTCCCCGCAAAGCAAGAAGTTTGCGTGAGGAAATATAAATGTTCCTCCTTTATTTTCTACGTGTAGCTATTTTAGACAGAACGCAGCTTGCACTAGGTACTTTTGCTCACACCACTAAGATATTCGTAATTCTTTTAATTTATCTGTCGTGACTTCGCGTTTATGAACGTGTGAAAAAGTCCCGTCATTTTACGTGCACCTCAAACGCTAAGCGGCGTCTGCATCTACATAAAACGCTGATGGTGCACCCCCGTCACTCTCCATAGCGTTACGAGACGTGCACCAAAACAAACTACCTCGCGTTGTGCTACATGAGCAGAAGTTCCACCTCCGTAGCTTTCCTTTCAGTTCCAAGAAAAGTTGTCGCCGAGTATAGGAGTAATCGTAATACGAGTGTGCAGAAAGTAAAGTGAACAAAAAGATAACTTGCCATTGGTCTGAAACTGCAATATTAAAGGTCGCAGGTTCAAATCCCACTGAAGGCAAGTTATCTTTCTTCATACTTGCATTAATTTAATTCTAATATATCTCCTATGCTTTCCTTGTCATCCTTTACTATTTAATATTTATTATTATTATTATTATTATTATTATTATTATTATTATTATTATTATTATTATTATTATTATTATTATTATTATTATTATTATTATTATTATTATTATTATTATTATTATTATTATTATTATGTCTGATCACATTGATCATACACAGAATGGCATTTCAATCTCCATTCTGAGCTAGCATACACTCGCTAAAGGATGCTAGAAGTAATTTCTTTAGCGCCTAATATTGATCCAGTTGTGATGCATTCATCTTTCTGTCGTTGCTGCACTAACCAGGACACAGACACAGTTTAGGAAACGTACAAAACATGCACTATCCTGTAGGTTTTCTAAAGTTTGTCCACATTTTTGAAACTCTATTCTCAAGTGGAACAGAATGATATTGATGACTTGAAACTTAGTCCTTGTCTCGAAATAGAAGCATGGGTTAAACAATCATTTGATTTGTTCAAGCATTCTAAGAATGTCGTTAGGAATTTTGTGTGGCGTATGAGAAAACCCTTACGCTGCTTCCACGTCATTTGTCCAGAACCAGATCCTCCGAAGAATATAACCTTGGTCGGAAAATCATCTTCGCTTACACGCCTACAGTGGGAGCCATCAGAAAATGTTCCCGGAAGATTTCTGGCATACACTGTGAATATATGCACCACGTTCGAATCTTGTGGCAAAGAGGATAAGACGAGCAACTGTACCGAATTAGAGACCTACGATACTTGGCTTAATTTTCACAGCAGCGTCGACACCAAGTACTGCATCATGGTTGTGACAAGATCGCAATGCGGTGAACATGTTTTAAGAAGTCGTCCAGCGGTAGCGGAAATGCGGACGCCTCTATTTGGTAAGCTTCCAGGCTTTTACATTAGCGCCTACTATATAAAACATTTTTAACATCATAAGCAATCAAATGCATCAACTCAAACCGCCTTGGAGATTATTTAGCCTAGATATCGTTTTATAAATTAAACCAGCTCGTGACAAAAAGGAAAGCTATCTTATTTATTATGAATGGAATTCGTTTAGGCCGTATTTTATAAATTTATTCAGACAAAAATAATATGCGTTTCTTACTATGCAGCTGTATGCGTTTCTACTATGCGTTTCTTTGAAACTATGCTGCTCATTTACTTCTGCTTATGGTGTGTGACAATACAGCGGGATGCAGAGTCATGACTGTCTGCATAGCAGAGGCTGTTGTAACAAGGCAGGGCATAGTTATGAAGTGCCATATTATGAATTATGAATTTGTAAGATGGTTGATGATTCCACATAGCGGCTTCCTCATATGCACACCACATGCTATCCATTTTTCTCTAGTATATATATATATATACATATATATATTGATAGTACACCTTTAGTGGTGAGCAGAAGAGACGTTTACTTTGTGGAAAACGTAGCGGTAGAACCGACCAGCTGTCAAGCGGAGCGAGCGCGAGCAGCAACAACACTCTTCCTTCTCTTCTTCAGCTGGCGTTCCGGCCTGTGCCAAATATCAATGCTACAAATCACTCCCCCTCAGAAAAGGAGCCATCCTGGCGACCTATGGAACGGGTACGACGGGTGGGTCGTAGTGCGGCTTCAATCGATCTACGTGAACAGTCTCGCGGCCTCGATGCCGTCGGTCTGTTGATGGTTGAACCGGCTCAACAATATAGTTAACCGGTGAGGCCTGACGTAGGACTCGGTAGGGGCCTTCGTACTTCGGCAGTAGCTTGGTGGAAAGACCAGGAACAGATGAGGGAACCCGAAGCCATACCAAGGCGCCAGGCGAGTATGACTGCGAAGACAGGTTTTCGTCGTGACGGTGCTTCTGGTACGCTTGATCTTGTGCGGTTAAGGAACGCGCGAGTTGCCTGCATTCTTCTGCATAGGTGGCGACTTCAGATAGAGTTGTGGATTCCGAAGCGTCTGGATGATACAAGAGAATGGTGTCCATGAATGAGGAAGGTTCGCGCCCGTAAAGGAGGAAGAACGGAGAGAATCCTGTCGTAGACTGAGTGGCGCTGTTGTAAGCGTAAGTTACAAAGGGCAGTATGCGGTCCCAGTTGGTGTGATCAGCGGACACGTACATGGATAGCATGTCGCCCAGTGAGCGGTTAAACCGTTCGGTCATTCCATTCGTTTGCGGATGGTATGCGCTGGTTGTCCGATGCACAACGTTGCATTCGCGAAGAAGGGCTTGTACCGCTTCGGAGAGGAACGTACGGCCGCGGTCACTGAGTAGCTCACGAGGCGCGCCATGGCGTAGAATGAGATTGTGAAGGATAAATAAGCCAACTTCACGTGATGTGGCCTCTGGCAGCGCAGCAGTTTCAGCATAGCGTGTCAAGTGATCAATGGCGACAATCACCCAGCGGTTCCCGTTAGGCGTATAGGGAAGGGGACCGTACAAGTCAATTCCGATGCGGTCGAAAGGGCGGGAGGGGCAAGGCAACGGCTGCAGTTGTCCATTGGCTATGTGTGGTGGGCTTTTTCGGCGTTGACATTTGGAGCACGAACGCACGTACTGTCGGACAAAGCGGTACATTCCGCGCCAATAGTACCGCAGCCGGAGACGTGCATACGTTTTTATCACACCGGCGTGGCCGCATTGAGGATCCGCGTGAAAAGAGTCGCAAATGTCGGCACGTAGGTGGCGAGGAATCACAAGCAACCACTTGCGGCCGTCAGAAAGGTAGTTGCGACGGTACAGGAGTCCATCGCGGATGGTAAAGTGTCGAGCTGTGCGCTGCAGTGAACGATTGGGCGTAACTTGGGACGGCTGAGACAGTAACTCTATCATAGAGGCTATCCAAGCGTCTTGGCGCTGTTCATAGGGCATGTCCGCGTACGAAAGTGCCACAGCATCGAGGCTGGATACAGAAGTACTTCCGTGTTCATGGGGAAGTGGAGAGCGGGAGAGAGCGTCGGCATCTGAATGTTTGCGGCCTGACCTGTAGACGACACGGATATCATAGTCTTGGAGGCGTAACGCCCAACGAGCGAGACGGCCAGATGGGTCTTTTAGTGACGATAACCAGCAGAGGGCGTGGTGATCAGTCACGACGTCAAATGGACGGCCATAGACGTAGGGTCGAAATTTTGTGATTGCCCAGACGATGGCTAGACATTCTTTTTCTGTGACTGAATAATTCTGTTCAGCCCTAGTAAGAGTGCGACTGGCATAAGAAACGACGTACTCGTCGTATCCAGACTTGCGTTGAGCAAGAATAGCGCCAAGTCCGACTCCACTTGCGTCGGTGTGTATTTCTGTAGGGGCATCAGGATCAAAGTGACGGAGAATCGGTGGAGATGTCAGCAATTGACGTAGTTTCGCGAATGCCTTATCGCAATTGGAAGACCACGCCGAAATGCCCTCGGTGTCAGAAAGTAGCCGTGTTAAAGGGGCCATGACAGATGCAAAATTACGGACAAATCGACGAAAGTATGAACATAAGCCGATAAAGCTCCGGAGTTCCTTAAGTGTCGATGGCTTCGGAAACTGGGCGACAGCACGGAGTTTTCCAGGATCAGGTAGAACGCCGTCCTTGCTGACAACATGCCCTAAGATGGTGAGCTTCCGGGCGGCAAAATGGCACTTTTTCAAATTTAGTTGGAGCCCAGCATGTGTAAGGCAATGCAGGACACTTGCGAGGCGCAGAAGATGGGTATCGAAGTCTTTTGAAAAAACGACGACGTCGTCCAAATAGCAAAGACACGTCTGCCATTTAAGGCCTCGAAGTATGTTGTCCATCAGACGCTCGAAGGTGGCTGGGGCGTTACAAAGGCCGAACGGCATCACGTTAAACTCGTACAAGCCGTCCGGAGTTACAAACGCAGTCTTGGCGCGGTCAGCTTCATCCATGGGTACCTGCCAGTATCCCGATCGAAGATCCAGCGAAGAAAAGAATTCTGCACCTTGCAAACAGTCGAGAGCGTCGTCAATTCTGGGGAGCGGATAAACATCTTTGCGCGTGATCTTGTTAAGGCGCCTGTAATCCACACAGAATCGGATGCTCCCGTCCTTCTTTTTGACCAGTACCACCGGGGAGGCCCACGGACTGTTAGACGGCTGTATAACGCCACGATTGAGCATATCAGACACTTGATCGTCTATAACTTGGCGTTCGGCGTGGGAGACCCGGTATGGACGCTGACGCAATGGTGCGTGGGTGCCAGTGTCAATACGATGGACAATTGCAGATGTTCGGCCCAGACTGGTTTGTTTGAAGTCGAACGATGAGCGGAAGTGGTCGAGAAGTGTCAAGAGTTGAGTTCGTTGGTCAACAGGAAGGTCAGGATCAATCGATGGAAGGAAGACGTCGAGGGAAGAGGTGGCGGATGTGAGAGCGGAAGTAACACTGGCGATCTCAAGGCTTTTTGCTTGATAGGGCAGTTGACTGGTGCAAACACAATCGATGTCCTCAAGGCGGCCGATGCATTCGCCACGGAATAGGGTGACTGGTACAGAAAGGAGATTCGTGGCATAAATGTTTGCGCAAGTGGCTTCGACCGTCAGAAGAGCAAAAGGCAGAAGAACGTTTTTTCGAGAAGTGAAGTCTTCTGACGGCGTGAACATGACGTCCGAAAAAGCGGCATGGTCGCACGAGATCGGCACAATAACAGAAGACATAGGTGGAATATCAGTCTCCGCGGCGACGACAACACGAGAAATAGAAGGCTTATTATAATCGTCGTCGGAGAGCGATGACAATTCTAGTTCGGCCCGGGCACAATCAACAACGGCATGATGTGTGGAAAGGAAGTCCCAGCCTAATATGACGTCGTGTGAGCAGTGTGGAAACACGATAAATTCAACCACGTACAGAACGCCCTGGATGATTAACCGAGCCGTGCACGTCATAGAAGGGTTCACGTGATGCGCTGTTGCCGTACGAAGGGAGAGACCAGAAAGCGGAATCGTAACTTTTCTTAACTTGCGACACAATGCTTCACTCAATACAGACACGGCAGCTCCGGTATCTATTAATGCTTGAACGGGGATACCTTCAATCAAGACAGTTATTTCATTATTCGGTAGAGAACGAGGCCTTGTGGAGTTCGACGGTGGCGCAGTTCTTGCCTCCGGAACTGCGATGGTCAGTTTTCCGTTTGGGCAGGTGGTGCACGCCGAAGCATTGGTGAAGGCGAACGTCGGCGCGGGGAAGGCGATCGGCGTGGGTTGAAGGCGCGGCGGCTCGGCGGAGAAGTGTCCGAAGCTGCATGGAACGGCAGCGTCTGTGGTGGTTCTGTGGGGGCGTAGCCGTAGGTGCCATCAATAATGCCTGAGTGAGGGACGCGCCGGCGACAGAACCGCTCAACATGGCCAGGCTGACGACAGTAATAACAGATAGGTCTGTTATCCGATGTACGCCAAGGGTTGTTGGGAAGCGTTGAAGGACGGCGGTAAATGGGAACATGCGAGCCTGCCGGTACGCGTGTTGCGTAGAAGGCGTTCGTTTGGTGGGCAGGGTCGACGACGTTTGACGGCGCATGTACCTGCCTTCGCGCGACGTCAGCGTAAGTCAGGGGAGCGGACACAGGTGGTGGCTGGTACGTGGGGGGAAGTGCCTCGCAGACTTGCTCTTCGATGGTTTGGCGCAGTGACGAGGTCAGCCCATGCGTATTGCTGGGAAGCAAGGGGGCAAGGGACAACTGGCGTGCCACTTCCTCTCGGATAAATTGCTGGATTTGCGGGGTCAATACAGTCTGTTCTGGAGATATTGCACCAACGGTCAATGCTGGCTTGCTGGTCATGTCGAAAGTAGGCCGTCGCGTTGAAATGCGCTGTTTTCGCAACTCATCGAAACTTTGGCAGTGTTGGATGACTTCCGAAACTGTTTGCGGGTCTTTAGCCACCAGCATGTGGAAGGCATCGTCTTCGATGCCCTTCATAATGTGTTTTACCTTGGCGGTTTCCGACATGCCAGGATCAAAGCGACGGCAGAGGCCTACGACGTCCTCAATGTAGGACGTGAAACCCTCTCCCGACAGTTGGGCGCGATCCCGCAAGCGCTGTTCTGCACGGAGCTTGCGCACTGTCGGTCGGCCAAACACGTCCGCGAAGGTGGTCTTGAAAGTGGCCCAGTCGGTAAGCTCGGCTTCGTGGTTGTTGAGCCAGAGCTCTGCTACTCCTCTGAGGTAAAAGTGGACGCGGCCCAGTTTGTCGTTTTCGTCCCACCTGTTGTTGACGCTTACTCGTTCGAACGAAGAGAGCCAGTCCTCGACGTCCTGCTCATCGGTGCCGTTGAAGATGTCTGGATCTCGCTCTCTCGGGACGCCGGGACAGTGGACAGGTGGAGATGTAGGAGCCGTCTGCTGTGCAGCGTCGATGGACATTGTTGATGGCGAAGGTAGAGTTCGGTTGCGGAGTTCCAGGATGGAAAAAGGTACCCAGCACTCTCCACCACTTGATAGTACACCTTTAGTGGTGAGCAGAAGAGACGTTTACTTTGTGGAAAACGTAGCGGTAGAACCGACCAGCTGTCAAGCGCAGCGAGCGCGAGCAGCAACAACACTCTTCCTTCTCTTCTTCAGCTGGCGTTCCGGCCTGTGCCAAATATCAATGCTACAATATATATATGGAGGGAGAGAGAGAGAGAGAGAGATTGATAAATAGATGAATTGATTCGCACTTAAACGTACAGGCTTTACGTCATTATAGTCTTTGAAAAGTTTATGCAGTAAGAGATTCCTTTGTCTCCCCTACAGAGTGGACATGTCATGCTAGTATTAATTCCACCAATGCTTCTAAGCATATCCTCTTATCGAAGGAACCTCGAACATGCTCATAAAATTATCACTGTAACCTCGAACTTATAGAGTATCAGTCAGAAAGTACAGCATGCTTGCGTTTCATAAGACTTACATGAAACCATTTTGACAAATAAGATAACTTGAAATTATACCAAACAATCATCGATAGTTCACAAGAAAAATTATGATTTTCTGATAATGCGCTCGGATACTACACACCACTTCGGCTGGAAACAACTAGTCTCTCCAAAAAGTGCTAATGGGCGTTGTTCAGAACTTTTATCTCATGTAGAGGTGGGAGCTACAGACAAAACCACGAATTCCTGTAGAATGGGTTCGAAAAAGAGAATGCACCTCACACGAGCTTTCCGAGCTTTCATTTTCTTCGTTTGGGTCACCTTGTCATTCTCTGTTGGCTTTTTCAGTTTTAAAAGTCATTGACTTCAATTTCGATGCTACAGTATTTGGTAGATAAGTTTAGTAATACAATCAAGTAAAATTCGCAAGAAAGTTTACGTATGTCACTGGTTCTACTGACCGCGTACTAGTTCTCTGTTTTGAGGAACCCCATGGTCACAGTTTCTTACAAAGTGGGTGAACCATTCGGCCACTATGTAGTAGGAAATTAGACGTGAGTGTAAAGACAGGATTGAGTTAAAGATTGATGCGAATTTATAATAGCTTCTTAAAGATTTGTCAGGGAGTAGTAATACATTTATCCACATTCAAAGACAACCGGCAGTAGAGGTGGCAGGCTGAGATTACCTCAAATGTAAGGACAATGCACAATAAAGGCATGAAAACAGATTCAAATTTGGCACCACTTTACAGCTTATGAAAGTGTGCACAGCAAATCATACTTTACAGTGCTGACCGCTGTTTAAGGGAACACGGCCGTTATCACTGTTGACAATACCAACCCTTTAACAGCACGTGCAGAAATAATCAAATTTCACGCTTGACGCTAGTCTGCCACAGAAAGTCAAAACTGACAATCAGAGGTAGTATAACGCAAATCTAAGCCTCTATGCTTTGGCAACAGAGGTAAATCCAAACGTACTGCGCACCTGAGTGTTCCCTTTAAGAACAGACCCGTCTCTACGTACGCAAGTGATTGTAATAATAAGCTTCTCTGTGTTTTATTCACAGATCTACCCGACGTAACCAATCTTGACTTAGTGGCTGCCGATAATCACTATCTCACTGTGGCTTGGCATCGACCTCGGCTTAGCTTTGACTTCTACTGGCTCAATGTCACCGGCGGCTTTGAAAATGGAAGTGACAGTCTATCGATGCGCACTGCGCGTGCCTGTGGCAATGGAACCATCATTCACCCTCAGCAGACTCAGATCACCTGTGGCCCTTTTGACTCCTGCTCCAGCGTTGATGTCACCATTCGCACGTACAATAAGGGACCACACGAACTCATGTCAAAGGGAACTACCTTAAGGGACATTTTCATCGGTGGTGAAGGTGAGTGCTTTTTGCACGGTTCTTTGGCTCATAAGTATTTGTGGTGAGCAATCGATAGCCTAACCGCAGTTTCCTGAGAAATTCAATCTCTAAGCAGTAGATCGACAAAAATTATGGAGCTCATTCTGGCTCGTTCGTCAAATATATTTTGTGCTTACGGCTAACTTGAACTCAGAGTCGCCAAAATCTACCTGAGCCGGACTCATTCAGCCTCACACTCACGAAAATTTTCTGCAGTCTAAAGCTCAACTTAGACTGAAGCTCCCCAAAGAAGTTGGCCCCGTATTTGCATGTTTCTGCAAATGTCGTCGAAATACGATAGTCTTGCGTGTGGAGAGAGTGAACAAGACATCTATTTGATGTTCTGCCCAAGAAAATCGGTGAGTAATATTCTAGAGGTGCTGCGTTAGAGTGCCTCGAGCGTGCAGCGGAAGCGAACAAGTGCATCAAGCACGTCACACGTGAGACATGAGTGCCATCTGGCAGGTTTTTTACAAAACAAAGCGCGTGGCTCTGAGACGGGTGTGCACTCCCACCTTAGAGGTGATAAGGTGTAGAACGCAAAGCGACGGGTAGGTGCCACCACCGTCTCGTCTTAGCAAAGCGTTGGGAACACGTTCCTTTCCGTGCAAGCGTTTCATGGACAGCGCAGCGTGATAAGCGCTACGCTCCTTAATATTACTTATGTATGCCTTTTCTAGTAAAAGGCAAACATGCATAATATATACGAGTTGTTATGGTGCCGCAGACATGCGCTATAATTGCTTTTTAATTGACAATTGCCCAATTATGAACGCTCAACCTTGAGCAAGATTAGCGGGCACTGCGGATGGGGTCGACCGTTTCAAATAACCGATGCCGTTAGGAGTGGACAAACAGACAAATGTACAGACAGGCAGACAGACACAGACAGACAGACCGACACCCAGACCAAAATTTTTGCGTCGAAGGTGCCCAAGAAAGACTACCGTCTTTTTCATTACCCACCCAAACTCCCTAAGACTCATGCTCACGACTTGATCTGAGTTCGGGTGAGTCGACTCATGAGTGAGTTGATCAACCTAGGTCAAGCACTATGATTCCAATATCTAGCAATGCTCTGCAGTAGGCATGTTTTACACTCCATACTGGTACGTGTATCGTGGCGAAATTCTCTCAAGATATGGCATATCATCTTCAGCGTGCGGCTTATCGAAGTTTGACAGGTTTTCTGATAAGGAAGCGGAAGCCTCAAATGCTCTATCAAGCGCGAAAGCAATCATCGGCGTTAACCGGAACAATTCATAACTTCACGGGGTTCCAAATGAAGATGAAGTCGCTATGTCATCAATTTATGACGTTGTCACGTGGTGAAAAGCGGGTCGATCCCGGAGGCTCTGTAATAACAAGTGTGATCCAAGAAGACTTGGAGGAAGGATAAATGCAATCAACTGCGAAGAAATTTATGATGGCTTATCTCATCTTAGCTGAGTGTGCAGAAGGCCACAGTACATTTTTTGGAGGGTTGTGCCTTGAATTTGCTCACGGGAACACTTAGAACGATACCTCGGGGTAGGCAAATCTCGGTTGGGACAACTGTGCCGTGTGAAGAAGAAGACTGTATTTTAAAGTGTGTGCTGCGATAACGCCCGTGGCCTTACCAGCTCCTTCCACGAAACCTCCCTACAACCATCCCCTCTTTTAATACACCGAGTTTGGTCATATTGAAGCAGTGGTGGCTTCAGTTTCCTCTGGCAATTAAGAAAAATACTGATAGTTTTAATGTTTTGATCAGATGCTTCATATATGGATATCAGAGTTCTCGCGATACGCTGCAATAGTACGTACCTCCCATGCAGCCACCACTCGAGATCTTGATGATAGTTTTGCTCTGCTGAAATATATTTTGTGTTGCTAGGACTCCCACGCATTGATTTTATGTATCAGCATATGTTGTAGGAGTGCGCAGAAACGATAATACGAGAACTTTTTTACACAGTTTTATTTTACTTCAGGCAGCCCTTTTCTATAGCCATCGCTGCCAGGTTACGTAAAGATTGTATTGTCATTTGGTGCAGTTATCTCTCAAGCTGGGGTAATGAGAGATCCATGAGTCAGCCCTAATTATGTATGCCCCTTCTCTTGTGCACCAGATCCAAGTGAACCCAGGAGCATCAACGTGGTGGCAGAATCACCAACCTTGTCTATACTCAAATGGCAGGCTCCCTCTCGTATAAGTGGCATCCTTGACGTGTATCGTGTAAAAGTTTGCGAGGCCTTCACAACGTGTGACGACAACCAAAACACAAGTTACTGCGCGGAGTACGAGACATTGGATGAGTCGTTGGATATCAACACCGCAGAGGACTCCCTTTACTGCATCCTTATCACGTCAAATGTGTGGTGTGGCCGAAATGTCCTCACCAGTCTCCCAGCTACACTGGAATTCAGGACGCCTCTTTTCAGTGAGCATTTCTTTTTTTTTCTCACTCATGGCTTATCGCATATGAGAATGCATACCATTATTATTAGGATGAACAATTCCCTTTCTTCTGTTTTGCATTTGTGCTGTATTTTTCAGTTTAAGTTTCCAGTTCTATACATGCAGAATACAAAGTTTGCCTTCAAAGTATGCAGACTATGGTCCTAAAGTCGGGCGACTGTGGTCGGTCCCTTCGGTAACAATAGCAATAGAAGGTATATTTGCAACCACATGTAATAATACACAACATAAGTGGAAGTGAGCAGTGAAAGTACAAGAACACTACAGCGAATAAGTAACAAAACAAAAAACACTCTGAATGCGATACATGTACATAATGATCAGTCATAGAAATGAAATGAGCAAGCCATCAAAGAAAAAAACAGTCTAAAATTTCTAATTACTTACACTTTTAGAATATAAATAATAAATGTGGTCAGCCTAGTTATACAAGATGAAATTTTTAACTTCATGTTTCAATGCATGTAATGATGACAATGAAATAAGTAAGTAGCTTAAATAATTCCAAATATTAATCACCCCGAAGGAGGATGTCAGTTTGCCATAGTTGGTGTCACGTTTAGGTAAAAATATAGTTCTGATTATGGGCGCACCTAGTGCTGTTGATGTTAGTGAGTAATCTAGAATTGATTAAATCAAACATAAGCTGTCTTTCAGTTTTTTAAATATTATTATGATTACGTGAAATTGAAACAAGCCAGACACAGTAATAATGCGATTAGCCTGAAGGAGTGAAGCATCATTAGAAAAAAAAATGAACTGCTGGTAAAAATTTGAATGGCCTGATTCAGTGAATGTGCTGTGCGGACGAAAGATGAATGTTATCGGTATTACGCCATGAAGTATAATACCATAGGTGATGTCACTATAAAAGCTAATTATACACACAATAAGGCTTCAAGTAAAAAAAGTGGACGACATTTATTCAGTGATAATATATCATCTAGGTGCTGTTTCTTTTTAATTTAGGACAATGTATATGAACAGTGAACTTCAAGTAAGGCTATATTTCATGCCCCGAAAACACACGCAGTAAGATCCCGGAATTAGGTGGTGATTCATACACACTTGTAGTATAAAAAGAATTATTTTTAGGGGTTTTAAAAATCATGAAATGAGTTTTAGGTGGATTTAAAAGTGAGTTGTTCACACGACACCATTTTACCGACATTGGTCAGTTCGTTGCTCAAATTATTGATCAGAGTAGTTAATGATTCATGCGACATGAAAATAGTCATATCGTCAGTGTAAAAATTTAACATTACAATGATATGATATGATATGATATGATTGCTTTATTTGCTTCGTCACAGTACAGTGTAACAGGAGGCGGAGGGAAAAGCCGTAATGACGGCTTGAGGGATCCTCCGCCCCCTTTGTGAAGAATGGCAGCAGATGAAGGACATCACAATATCATACACTTTCACATTGTTTTACGTAAAGATCATGCCACAAAGGAAGGAAACCTGAAAACGTAGTTGATACATAGCTTACACAACAAAGGAACTTTCAGCAATCTTCTGCACCTGAATAAATACATAGTTTATAGAACATATAACATAGTTTGCTACATAGTTTATAGAACAAAAAGAGCCGCTAATTCTGCGACACTTAAATGAGACACATCTATACCTTTGCTAATATAAGTATTCAGAATTCATTATAAGTATTCACAATCATTAAGATAGATACAAAACAGTATTTATAATAATGATTCCGTTCAGACAACGCGTTGAAAAAACATAGGTAGCAGCAGCATTTTGACATTACTGCGATCCTTACAAGCTGCGTATCGTATAATTGGAGGCATCCACCACGATGAATCAGTGGCTACAGTGTTCAGCGGCAGAATCAAAGGCCCCGGGTTTGCTCAGAAACACGGCGCTCGCATTTCAGTACAGCTGAAATCATTGAGTCACGTGCATTGAGCGATGGCATTGCACGTCAAAGAGCACCAGATGGTCGAATATTCCGCAGCCCTCCACTACGGCGTCTCTCATAATCGCATGGTAGTTTTTGGAGCGCGAAACCTCAGATATAATCATTATTGGTATATTCGGAGACATACTTGTCGTTAAAATAAGCTTCGCTTCAGCACCTAGAAAATTTTGGGGAAAAAAAAACTCAATTTATTCTACGCTTGTTCAAAGCGCGTTTGTACAAACAATGGTGCAACATTTTCGGGATAAACTTAGTTATTGCGGTAGCGAATTATTCATCGGTTTGTTGTCCAACAACACAGGATTCGTGTGCTTGTCTCCTCTAGATACAATAAAAATATCAGGTGCTACAAACCCCCTAGTTTTATGATAGTACTTTCAAAAATATGCCAGACTTGAATGCTGTTATTTAGGTCTTGAATAGATCGAATTCTCGAATTTGTCGTATGCAAACCTAGGAGGCCCACAAAACTATCACGACCGGTCATTACGGGCGCTATTACAGTCAGACATTTTTACACTACGGAGTCAAAAATCTCACGTAGATTGCACTCTTCATTATCTGGCATGGATCAATATGGAGCAGGAAGTAAGTTCTTGGCCAGTAATTATACCACTTTGTGAATGCTCATTGCAGAACTCCCTGATGTGTTCAACCTGGCACTGGTGCGCGTCAAGATGGGCTACGTAACTATATCCTGGCAGCGACCCAAAAGTCGCTTCGACTACTACTCTGTCGAGGTGTACGAAAACGAGGATAGCGGTGCAAGCGCTGGCCATCAATGGCACCGTTTGTGCGCCAACGGTACCATCATTCGACCTGACCAGACGGAAATGACGTGTGGACCATTCGAGTCATGCACCAACTTGTCATTCACAGTGCGTACTTATTTCAATGGACCACCAGAGCGTAGGTCTCCTGGAGCGACACTAACGGGCATCTTTATCCCTGCCGAAGGTATGGCGTGTTTACTTTGACAATCACCAAGCGTGAAGTTAGGACTGGTCCAGATGGGAATCGTTGAAAATTTGAACCTTAAAACTGCGTTAATGTCCAAACTTTAAGAATAGCAGGGCAACTGGGCTGATGACATAACTTACGTACTCTGGCTTTCGAGAACGTCTCTGCAAATTCATCTGGGCCCGCAGCAGTAAAAACTACACTTTACAAGGTTTATCAACCCCTTCGTATATATGTTCAAAAGATACTGTGAATTGCAGAGCTGATACTTTCAAGAACGTGCTTGTTACACTATGTAACGTCAACTTTAACAGGCCTAGAGGAAAAGCTTTCACATATGTTTGAACAGACTCCTCTAGGCTGCAGTCCCAGAAGTCACCGAAAACTTTTTTCGGGTGTGGTGGGGAGGTTCTACCACTCTTTTTCATGTGTGTTTTCATGTGAACATGTATATATACAGATCTAAAATTGTACGCCCCACCCGATGGCTATACCGATGGCTTCGTAGCCGCAACTTTCCAAGGATTCGGCACGCGTCAGAGCTTTGTTTTGGGGAACACCAATGATTGCTGATTGCAGAAATCGTTGATAACGCTTGCTTATCAGCTAACATGCTCTGTTATCATTGCGGTACTGCAGCTAGCATGATAACGCTGTAATTTATTTTTTTGAAAAGGTAACGGACTATTTTCAAGGTCCTGGCATATAAATGGCACGTCTGTGCATTGAAGGCATTTATTGTATTGTGTTTTTTTTTGTTTTTCTGTGAGAACGAACTACATTACTTGAAATTAAAACATTCTCGTACGTAGAACAGGCTTTTGGCTATACACTCAAAAATAAAAGCATTGCCAAATGAAGTGAACAGTTTGGCATCATTTTTAAAAACCATACACACTGAGTATAAGGCTGTGCAACTGAGTGTATATTGTTAGTTTAATGAAAAGTCGCTTGCACTGTAGACTATTTACAACAGTATTTCCGACAGTGATCCACGTAGCTGACCGGCTTCAGCGCAGAGAGCGAGTATGCCAGATATATTCGTTTCTCTTTATCGGGGCGCACGCACGCATGCTTCGAAGACTCTCTCTATGAATGTAGCAATACATTATTTGTTCGAGCTTGTTGTCAGTGCTTTGGAGCAATGACTTGTATGTGCTCAACACGAAAGAAGCGCAGGTTATGCTAACTTGTGGCGATGTTTTCAGGGGTCCGCAATGGCGTTAGACGTGCGAGTTTGTACTACACAAAAATGTTCAAGCACATCCCATTCAAAAGCTGCGTTACGTGAGCGCCTTTTCGATGATGACGCGCATCACGGACTCCAAAAAAGTTGTGAATTTGAGTAGTATAGACATCTTGCTATATCAGGCACGTGCACAACGGACAAAAACAAAAAAATAGCCGCGTATCAGCGTGCTCTGCTGCAGATGTCATCGAAAACCGATAGTCTGCTGTCTGGAGGCGCTGCGTGAGATATAGACGCCATCTGGCAGTAATATCAGGAAACAGACGCTTGTGTAGAAACTAGAGCTACTGGTGAGTAAAAACCTCGTATCATCTAAGCGAAGTGTAGGAAACGCCTGGATTTTTGTGCATAGCGTCGCATTGTCAGTACAGTGTAAGAAACACTAGGCTCTTTAGAATTGCACAGTTATGCATTTTCTGCTAAATGTTTCACTATGTATTGACGTAGCACCTCAGATGTGCGGAGTACTTACAAGTATGAACGCGGCCACCGGATTAATAAGAGTGGCGGTTGAAGGAAGTGTAAAGATTTAGGCCGTGTAGCTGAATCGTTTCAAATAACAAACAGCAAGACATACAGGCACACCAAAATATCACCGTTGGAATGTCGCATGAAATACTATCATATTTAATCAATATAAAAATGCAAAGACAATAAGAGTTCTCGTGTAGCCTCTTCTGCGTGGATGCATGTTTTTCATCAGTACATTACAAACATAGATTCATTAGGTTGTTTTGATCTTTCAGACGCGAGTCCTGCTACGAACGTCACGATGATCCCCGAATCACCAATGCGAACTCGACTACAGTGGGGGCGGCCGGAGAGAGAGACCGGTATTATAGAGTCGTACAGTGTGAAAATGTGTGCCCAGTTTAGTTCATGTCACCCAGATGAAAAGTTGAGAGATTGTGCAGAGCAGGTGACGACAGAGATGTGGACTTCGTTTGACACCAAAGAGGATATTTCTTACTGTGTACTGATTGCGGCAAAAATACGCTGTGGCATGGACGAAATAAGCAGCCGGCGTGTGACAGCAGAAATTCAGACTCCATTGTTTGGTAAGCATCTAATTTTCTGCTTTATAAAGTTGTCACTTTGTCTATTGTAGTCACCTATGAATTACGTTTCACTTAAGTTCAATCCTCTACATCAAGAAAAAAAAATTGGCAGCATATCCACGGAGTGAGTGATGGAGAGTGGGGCGAAGCATTCGTCCGTCCATTCGTTCTTGCTTCCGTCCGTCCATGTGTCCGTCTGTGTGACCGTCCATGCGTCCATACACCCGTTCGTGCTTGCGTCTGTTCGTGCGTCCGTTCCTGCGTTCGTCCATGCATCCGCCCCTGCGTCCGTTCATGCGTCCATCCATGCCTTTGTCAGTGTGTCCGTTCGTCCATCTATTCAACACTCCAAGTACCACCATCTCGCATCTTTTCATTTCACAGAAAGTACAGATTCGACATTAATACAATGGTGAGCCCTGAATCGTTGCCTAAATTTTAACGCAGGCTGCGCACTCTTTGATAACATTGCCAAACGTATCTGTCATCCAAGAGACAGTGGTACCACAAATTGTGTTTGCTTTGATGGACCATGGAAACTGAAAACTGACGACTAATAAAATTTACGGGAGGAAACATCAGCGCAGTTTTTATCACCAAGTGCTAATCCTGGGTTACCTTCGCGCAAACAAGGTGTCTGTGAGTGTCACAAGTGATTTTGAGGTCGATTTCCGCAAACATCTGTACTGTTGGTTTGCGTATTTTATGTATGTATATACTGATGATATCTACTATAGGTGGTGTCTAGCTGATTGTAAGCATTCCGCGTGCCGAAATCGTGTCATGTTTTCTGCCTTCTAGCTAAGCTGCAGTGCTCTGCTGCTGACCTGGAAGCCATGGGTTTGAATGCAGATGTGGTGGTTGGCACGTTAAGAATACGAGTTGCTTAAATTTTCAGAGCCCTCCTATGTGGCGTCACCCGTATTCGTACCTTGGCTTTAGCACACAAAAGCCTGGAATATTAATAATAACAATTTCATTACTGAGATATGTTGAGGCACTCTTTTCATAGCCAGTCCCCATGGCTTGTATTAATGGGAGTTGGTGTAGTATGAATAAGATACATAAGTAAATATACACACATGGCACCTCTTTGTTGATCAAACACTGTGATCACTCAGAACAGTTTTGTGTTGCACTGGATACTCCCATGCGACTTTGACAAACATATGGGGCTCTAATATGGACGAATATGAAGTTGCTCCTTTTTTTTTCAGACCTGCCAGATGTAAAGGACCTCAAACTCCTCTCCGCTGGTGATAATGCCGTAACCGTTGCGTGGAAGAAACCGGAGGTTCGCTTCGACTACTACTGGGTCTCTGTTGCCGCAGAAAAAGATGGGGATAATGAAATGGGCACCGTAGGATCGTGCGGGAACGGCACAATTATTCATCCTGATCAGACCCAAGTGACATGCACGAACCTCGAGGCTTGTGACAGAGTGAACATTACCTTACGTGCGCACAGAAACGGACCACCTGTGCACACATCAGGGGGAGTTCGCCTTCAAGATATCTTTATCCCAGGGAAAGGCGAGCATTCCTTTGTATTACTTTTTTCAACATAAATGCTTTCATAATTTCGAACACAGAGATAAAACGCCATAGTGTATAAAATTTCGTGTAGTGGAGTATTACACCGGGTATTCTAGCTGTTAAATATTCTTTGAAAATATTTATTATATATTTTTCTTCAGTTGGCCGAATGTGCTTTCATGACTTGCTCTTTTTGGTTTTTGAGAAACAATTTTTTTTGCTTGCACACTCTACAAACGGTGTGACCGAGGGTATAGAAACTTCCTCCTCTCTACATCAAGCCAGTTAACACCTAGAAGAACAGGAAAATGGAGGCGCCTACAAGCAACCGCCGACTAATTGTGGTGTCGTATACTGTATATCAAATGCTCATAGCTTGTGTCTGTGCTTTTTAGCCGGCGCCCTTCTTTTTTTTTTATTACGCTGCTGACCTCGAAATTCTCACCTGTTTCTGCTGTGTTGGGTAAGACTCCGGTTATTTTGAACTGATTAGCTTTTCAACCTTCATTATTCTCCCGACCATTTTCTAGCTTCCCTGTTTTATGGGGAGCAAAACTAACGCGATATTTTTTGTTTGTGAACGAGGTTTTCATCTAAACAAATGAACAATATCTCGGGTTGTGCTGAAAGTGTTGGGTGTATTCGCAATGTAGGTACGTAAGATTCAAACCATCATATTGTCATCTTGACAGTGACGTTTCGCTTACGAGTGTGACGTCACCAGTTCTATTCAGGGCTGCTTTTGTCTGACTTCGAAGGAACCAATATTCAAAAACACGCTGATACTTCATCCCTCCCCCCCCCCCCCAAAAAAAAAAGTAGAAGCTCGAGGGACGATCAAAGCTTGAAGAAATGAGATATTCGAGAATGCGGGGTGTCAATAGAGTGTACATTTTGACAAACGCACTTCTCTTCTTCAAGGCTTCGAGGTTCGAGCCTTCAAGACAAGTCCGCCTGTTGACACGGTGCTCCAACGGCACCTGTTTAAAAATTTTCAATGCTGTTACTTTTTTTAGATGCACGTTACAATACGGTATAGGTGATAAAGACAGCTACGAATGTCAACCATTTGATGTACCCTGTCGAGAAATTTCTATTCCGAGGCTAAATCATCTGGGAATTCAAATCTTTCGCGTTTATTTAATGCTGTTTAAGGCTTTCTGCACTGGTATTGAGGGTGTGTTCGAGATTTCGTACGTTGAAGAATGTGTGCCAGGACTAAAATATTGAAAAATTAGTTGTTGCGAACATTCTTGGTAACAATTCAGCGCGTACACTGTGAACGTGAAAACGAAAGACCAGAAGACAAACAAGCGCGATGTCCTCAAACCACCTCGCCCTGCTTTCTGTACTAACAATTGCGAGATGTGCCAAAATTAAGGCAGTATATGTTTATGCTGACCTATTTTGGGTTATGAGAAGGTTCAGGTATTTAAGGAAACAATCTCTGATTTGCGTGACTACCAACCTACTGTACCATTCACAAAAGACAACTGTATGCAAAGAGATTAATATAAACATCTGCTTTTATTTGATTTACCATCTTGATCAAGAAGGGCATAGCACGGTGAAACCGGGTAGGATAAAATTCATAGGATAGCACACGCACCATATAAATTGTAAGGTGAAGCACCCACATTAAGTAGGACACGTTCATTAGAGTATCATTCTCATATAAAAGTATAGAGTAGTTGTGTAACGCCCCTTTACGACAAAAAATTTTCGTTTTTTCAATTGCTTTCAACATAGTGTAAAAGTGCACGATTTATAGACTTTTTTTCTCGCATAAACCTACTCAAAGTAACATCGTTCATTTGACGACAAGTGAATGCGTTTTTGCTGTCTAATCAGATTACGTGAATATCAGCACTTCATGTTTTTCCTCTACGTTGTGTGTTTGTTCATAGCGCTGCCAAATCTTATGGATCGACCCGTGCCCACTCTTCCTTATGCCGACTGTTCAGTATTTGGTTAATTCAAAAGTACGCTCGTGACGTTTTTGTTTCTCTTGTTCAGAGCCAGATCCGCCGAAGAATATATCTAGCGCTGGCAGATCACCAACACTTACCCGTCTACGCTGGGAACCGTCGGCGCAAGTCTCGGGAAGATTTCTCGAGTATACCGTAAAAATGTGCACCACGTTCAAGTCTTGCACTCGAGAAGCGGGCATGAGTGACTGCGCCGTAGTTCAGACTTACGACAGCTGGCTGGATTTCCACAGCCGCGCCGACACCAGCTACTGTGTCGGAGTTTCAGCGAGCTCACAGTGTGGCGAGAATGTTCTCAAGGGTCGTCCAGCAGTAGCAGAGATACGGACACCTTTGTTTGGTGAGTATTCACACGCTTGTTTGGTGAGTATTCATTGACGTTAAAGGACAGTTGTATAGCACGTGTTTGTTAACGCTGAAGCCTCAGTTGTCTTATCAAACATGGCCGTTCGCTTCAGAACGCGTGAATCAAGAAGTCGTCATGTGATGTCATCCTATTAAGTCACGTGCCTCTAGAACGTGTGATGTCATCGTGACGTCTTTGTTACGTCATATGACGCTGTCGTCACACGACATACTAATTTCTTCAGAACTTGGCCGATCACGAAGCCATTGGCAAAACACGTGACGTGCTCCAAACATTCGATCACTCTGATCCCGAAGATGGCGCAGAGCTGCGTGTGAGGAGAGCTTTCACGTGCAATCAATAAAATCAACTGACAAGAAAAAAAAGATAAGTGGAATTTCTAGTCCTATAAGGGCCATATTGAAAGGCCGATGCGTTTTTTGGTATTGAAAATCATTTCATGAAACTCTCGCTGTGACATTTTTGAGAGATGTTTATTTGTAATGTGTGCTTTTATAAAATTTTCACAACTTCTGTGAAAATTGCAATAGGTGAGACAGTATCCACGTTAATAATGTTTGCTAAGGCCAATACTGTAGCAGGACTTAAATTATTTCTAGCCCGGCCGCGGTGGCTTAGTGGCTAAGGCACTCGGCTGCTGACCCGCAGATCATGGGATCAAATCCCGGCTGCGGCAGCTGCATTTCCGATGGAGGCGGAAATGCTTTAGACCCTCAAACTTGGGTGCACGTTAAAGATCCCCAGGTGGTCGAAATTTTCGGAGCCCTCCACTCCGGCGTCTCTCATATTCATATGGCGGTTTTGGGACGTTAAACTCCGCATATCGATCATCAATCAATCCTTCACTACGGCGCTTTCATAGTCATATGGAGGTTTTGGGACGTTAAAGCCTTCATATCAATGAATTTAAATATTTTCTATATTGTCAATATTGCAATAGTGTTTCGTGGTGAATCCCCCTTTGTCGCTCCGTAGCTAATTCCAAAGTCACGCCGCATCGCGTATTCCTGTCACTTGACATGTTCTGGCGTGAATCTTGCACTGAATCATTATTGTTCTTTTGCAGAACTACCCGACGTCTCAAACGTGACCACAGGCGTAGAAAAGGGTTACATTATGCTATCCTGGCAGAGACCCCAAGGTCGCTTTGACTACTATTCTATAAATGTCTTCGTGAACACCAGCGGGATCGATTCCCAGGACAAGCTAGGCTTGTGCGCCAACGGCACCATCATTCGATCAGATCCGACGAAACTCGCCTGCGGACCATTCAAGCCGTGCACGAAGTTGTCCTACACCATGCGTACTCACTTGAAGGGACCACTAGAGCTCAGTTCCCCTGGTGTGACAGTAACGGATATCTTCATACCCGCTGAAGGTAGGTCGTTTCGACACTAATTCTGCTGTCGCGGGATCATAAGAGAAGACTAATGATGCCCCTGATGAGCATACAACGAGAAAGAGCTCAAACTTCAAACATCCTTTATCCATTTTCCACAAAAAGCGTATCGCAAATGCCCTGAAATTCATAAAACGTTGAGGCATTAGAACTTCCTGAAATATCAACCTATTATCTCTCCACACTTGTGCGGAATGTGAGATGAAATGTACAGTAAAACTGTGGAGAAGCGTTGAAATGCAGTGACATTTTATACGGAGGACAAAGGCGCTAACTATCGGCCTATTCCCGTTTCTTTTTTTTCTGCTATTATAAAATTAGGTCTCTTTAGATTCATTATGACACAAAATGGCTGAGTGGATGATACGTAGGGTTATTTATTGACTCTTTGATGCACTTTACCTTTTGCAAAAGAGAATTGAACGTGAAAATATTAAGCTCATGTGGTCTCAAACCGTGAAATAGTTTTTTTTTTTGTACTATCATGGCTTACACACCCATTGCAAGTGAAAGTGATAAAAATGACTGTGTTCGCGTAACACTGAAACATTATTACTGAAGCATATCAAAAAATGATGCCTACACAGGTGACCCATATAGTCATTTATCGATACACATTGATATCCTAGAGGGAGCGGGGGGTGAGCTACTGTTCCCGCAAGCGTAGTGGATTTGTTTGTTTATTTATTTCCCATTTGTTTTTATTTATTTATTGTTTATATATTATTTGTGTACTTAGAATGAGTTGTATGCAATCATGCACATGGTCCTTTTTAGGGCTAATTGGCTGTAAGCACATAAGATGTATATCTATTTTTGTTGCTTATTAGAGATATGGGTGCTCTCAATAAATAAAGACATTATTGCTAAAGGCCAATAAAATTCATAGCACCCCTTTGATGAGGAGTGTGCGAATCTATCACGCGCAGATGCTAAAAACTCGGCAATATGTTAGAGACTTCGTCTATTTTTTGCAGTGGCACAGCACTATAAGCGTAGAAATGTCAACTCGTTATCTGCCTGTCGCTAAACGTAATGCATGTACCACTTTTCAATCGACGCGCAGTCAATTTAGTGTCTGTTTCAGAACCACATCCACCAAGAAACATCACTATGGTACCGATATCATCATCACGTACCCAACTGCACTGGGACCATCCGGATAAAGGGAACACAGTTACACATTCTTTTAACGTGACGATATGTCGAACGTTCACGGCATGTGCCAAGGCAGAATACTTGAGAGATTGCAAGGTGTACATGGCGCCGGAGAGGGCCATAACCTTCGACAGCACGGCGGATACGGCCTACTGCGTGCTTGTTACCGCAAAAACACGCTGCGGAATGGACGAGATCATCAGCCGGACAGCGGCAGCAGAAATACGGACGCCAATCTTCGGTGAGCTTCTTGTGAGACTTCATAGACACGTTTGGAGTGCGAAGCATTTCTTAGCGAACTTAGGCGACTTTGAGCGTATCTATCTATCTATCTAGCCACTTACGTTTGGGTGCTCTCGCGGTAACCCCCTTGACTTGGCGAGGACCAAAATTAGCATGGGAGGGTAAGATCATATTACGCGCTGGTCAAGACATGAATAATGTCCCAATCTCGTCGCGTACGTCGTCAAACACTTCCTGAGAGACCATGGCACATACCCACGGGCGGGTATGTGCCGCTGGTATGCGGGCATGGGCCTCTGGTGATTGACACTTAGTATCTACCCAGGAACGAGGAGAACACGCATGGGCGATTTCAACGCGCCAGCGTTAAGAAATACTCCACATCGTTAGCGTCGAACCAACGTATGCAAAGAATAAATGTCAGGGTCCCAGATAGAATCGAACCCAAGCATTCCGCGTGGCAATGAAGCAAATTGACGCTAATTTTTGTGAAACGTCAATAGTGGTTGCAGTGCTGACTGCCCAATTTTATGAACAATATATATGTACTCCTTTGATACCGCCGGCAGGTATGGTTAACGTAAATTTTGGTTAGTTGCCATGCGCTGAAGTTTATTTATGTAGCAGTGTCCAGGGCCATCATCCTCGCGAGCATCAGCGCTTCATATCATCTTCTGGCGTTGCTAATACGCATCTTCCAGTTGGCATTGTTACGCAAGTGCAAACAACTGGTTATATGAACATCAGCAACTAGAAGATACTAGGACCTTGGGCATCTGCCTCAGTTGCGCAGAAAGCAACTAAAGCACTGCTTCTTTACCTTAAGTCAACAAACCTGAGCGACCGCCTGTGAACTGTGTGTGCTCCCCGAGTGTTCTCGTGGTTTTGTGTACCTTCTCATCTTTGTGCAACCTCTTTTCTCCCCTTTATCCCTTCCCCAGTGCAGGGTAGCAAACCGGATGTGCGTCTGGTTAACCTCCCTGCCTTTCCTTGTATCTTTATCTCTCTCACTCTCTCTCTTCAACATATGTCTTTGTGTGCAACATTTGTACATTTAGTTCGCGTCATTTCATGACGTGTTGCTCAATAAAAATAATTTAAACACGGTCACCTTCCCTCCACTTGCTTCGCATAACGTCAATTTCCAGGTACGTGGGATCTGCCGAATTTTTTCTCAATTAGGAAGTTTAGATGTGAGGCGAAATGTGAGCAAAAGACAGCAGCAACGCAGAAACGATCAAAATTATTATTTTTTATTCTACTCTTGCAGAATGTCAAGTTCAAGCATGAACAAACTAGTCTGGGCCATACAGGACCGCTTTCACATTGGTGCAGATAGGCCTAGCTTCACCGCCATATCGTGGGCCTAATGTACTGTTCATAGTTGTGTCATAGAATTCTGATTGCGTAGCACAGCATCCTGCTTAGCCGATGCAGAGTCTTCATCAACCCGTAACACAGGGCACCACCAGAGCAAGTGATCTATGCTGGCCAAGTCTGAGCCTAAAGCGCATGAGTTTGACGTCAGAGTTCCTGGATATATCCTGTGCAAGATAATGGCGCTGGTATATGCCCCGCCCTGCGTGAGTCTGAGCATCAGTGCCTGAGGCCTAGTCAAGTTACTGTGCGTCGCTCAATACTTTCGCCTCCTCAGATAAAACTTTTTAATGAGTTTATCGTACGTCGTTGGAGAATTCTTGTTTTCCCGAACCTTACCGTCGCATCATTCTGTAGCTAAGTGGTCGAAGACACCTCGTGCTGCTCTGAGGGCCTCCTTTAGCTGAGGTTGAAAGGAGCCGCTTTGATCCGTCGCATGTGAGCGGGAACCAAACGATTGTGTATCTCGGAACTTCCCGATTTCGTATGAACTGCAAGGCTGATTACGAAATGGTGACCATATCGAATGCTCCAACTGTCGATCTCGAGTCGCCCTATATTGTAGTTCTCTCGTCATCTAGCAGGACTAAGGCTATTGTGACTGTCGCGAAGTTTGTAATTTTTGCCTAAAAAAACCAACAATGTCTTGCCACATACTGAAGCATGTCCAGCACTAAAATAGTCAGTAGTCAAGAGATCTACGCAAGTTAGTTTTGTGAAGCAACATGAGGAGGAAGTAGAGCTTTCTAAGTTAAAGTAAAAAAAAAACTCACAAACTTTGTTGGTCAATAGTATAAATTTCTTTTGCAGTACAAAAGGGCAGAGGCGTAAGTAGGATATCATGCCGCATTGAAAGGTGTAATTATCCAAACTTACGACGATCCAGCAACTAGGCTGAAGAAAGTCTGCCGGCTAATTACAACATTTCCCAGCAGCATATTTGGCATCAGAAAAAACTACAGCTACATTTCTCTATAATCTAATAGCAAACTTCCATGAAACTCTAAAATGACTCTTTGAGTGTTTTTTTTTTCTTTAACATGTGTTTGAATACTAACAGTGCAGCATACGTTATTATGATTCAGTCGTTATTACTTATGCAATGATATCCGTTCGCGTATGTACGTTTGCCCACAAGTGACTATATCGAGAATATACCGCATAAAAAATGTGCCCCACTCAGTGGGCTCTATTTAGCTTACAATGAAAAGCCGAAAATTGTTTATGTTCCATTGCAGAACTTGCTGTTGTCTCCAACTTGGTGGCTAAAGGCATCAAAAATGGTTTCGTTACGTTATCCTGGCAGCGGCCTCATGGTCGGTTCGACTACTGTTCTATTGAAGCCTTCGAGGACAAAGCTGGTAACAAGAGCAATGATGAACACGTTCTAGGTCTCTGCGCAAACGGCACCATCATTCGCCCTGAGCAGACACAAGTCACCTGTGGACCATTTAAGCCTTGCACTACGCTGGCCTTTACAGTGCGCACCCACTTGAACGGTCCACCGGCACTTATTTCTTCAGGAGTAACTGTAGAAGACATTTTTATACCTGGCGAAGGTAAGTATTGGCGCCACCACCAGCTTTACTTACTCGTTGCAGGTTTTTTTTTTATTTCCATGGCCCTTGCCACTCTGCAATGAAGTTTAGGACATAATAGAAAGATCGAAATAACATATTTTATTCACGCGAATTTCTAAAGACAATTTCACGTGCTTATTAGGCATGTGGGAGAGAGACTACCAGGCTTACGCTAGGATTTTTTTTCTGGTCGCAGGATAACATGGGATGTCTTTGTGCATTGCGCCCAATGCGTCCTTGCTCGTACGACTTCGCATTGCGCGTTGAGTTAATGTGAATGAAAATGTCTTGCCCAGAGCGAAACAAGGGCAATGAAATAATTATGGCTGTAGTATTTGCATGGTTGTAAAAATCCCTGTACGTAAAACAGAGTTGTCAACAATAATTTGTGTACATTGCTCGATTTCATGCCAAGCATTATCTCCATTCCCAAAGAGCAGAGAGTTGTTACGTTCTGCCTTACGGTGATCTAGCTATCTCCATTTTATAAAATGTAAAAAAGGTGACATCAAATAAAAATGTAAATTCTTTAAACTGTCATTCCAAGGTTCTTTTGAATGCGCGATTCGTCGTCCATCATTACGCTGGAGAAACTTTCTGTCTCACCAATTTCTTTGAAAGGACACAAACATAAACCTTACATCATGCCTAATCTATGATATGGAAAGGGAACGTGTTATTTTTTGTGTGCATCATAACATTGACACAGCATATAGTGCTTTGTCTGAAATAATTTGGTCTCCTTTCTCATCCTCATACAAAGTAGCAAGGCAGCAATATATAAAAGCTGGCCAAAATTTCTGTTTTTCTAGTGAAGTGTCTCTCTATTTCTAGTGCTTTGTCGGTTATTTAACAGTCATATCAGTTGGAACATGTATTTATGCTCTAACACTATTGTAAACTTGTCTTTTTTTTCTTGATCCATTCATGTCTGACTATGTAGACACGCAACATGGTACATGGGTTCTGCACGCTAAAAACACGTGTTTGGCTTGTCAATCACTTCGTGTGACGCTGCGTATCATATGAATGTTGAACAACACAGGCAGACTTCATAATTTGAAACAATTTGGCACCGATTCCATGGCCTCTACACTGCAAAAGCTTGTCTCGCAAATGATTGCCAGCTTATCACGAAACCTTCTCAATATGGCTCTGATGCTCACCTGATGCGGCAAAGCAAGCTACGAAAAAAAAGTGAGCTTCCACTCAGGCAAAGGCACCAGAAAGTAAGGTCCAGGATGGAACTAGCCACAATTTAAGAAAATTTCGCCACTCTTGGTCACTTATTAAGTAAGCGCTGTACCTGTTTTTTTTTTTTAATCTCCTAACACGGTAACGTTTAAGGGCTCATTTCGCAGAAATTTAGGTATCTGCGTCGGCGTCAGTGACGGTGTCGGTGGTTGTGAGTGAAAAATTATCTTGTCCATGACGTGAAAAACGAAAAGGATGCAAATAAGATATCTAAGAAAAAAAACCGCGGTGCGAGGAAGGATCCTATTCAGGCCATCTGCATGAAAATCAGGTGTTTCCCCACAGAACCATGATAACGAATGAAAATCAAAACAATATGTTTAGTGTCACGCAGTGAAAGAAGTCTTATTTGGCAGGTGACACTGTGTGACAGAAGCGTAGAATCACGCAAGGCGTCTAAGCATGTGAATTGCGCAACCAGTGGCTGTTTCAAAGGCCAGCTCATTACAATGCGCTCCGGCGTATTCATTCGTCATCAGCGGCAAAAGCACCAGCAAACTGGACGGCGCGTAGTAGGTTTGATTGATTGATTGATATGTGGGGTTTAACGTCCCAAAACCACTATATGATTATGAGAGACGCCGTAGTGGAGGGCTCCGGAAATTTAGACCACCTGGGGTTCTTTAACGTGCACCCAAATCTGAGCACACGGGCCTACAACAGGCGCGTAGTATGTTTATGTACTGTCTTATGGATGTAGAGTGGGCACTTCGCTGATACGCGAAAGCAAGCATTATGGCGTAGTGGTCACTTCACAACTGTACTTGCAGTAGACATTCTAGGGTTCTGTGAAACGGTGAATGTTACGGGCACAGATGGCTGTTTCCATACGGCACGGTTGAGATGTTCGCGATGAACTGAAGAGAGGCTGGCATTTCAGAAGGTGATGGACCCCGAGCACGCTATCGCGTTTTACTCTGGAAGGCGATGCTCAAAGGATCCTTCCAGTCTTCTTTTTTTTTCCTGTGAACTTTATGTTTGGTATTCTTCTGATAGTGAAGAAGCATATTTTGTGCTACAAGAATTTCGCACTGAATTTTAACGAACCACCATACCACACTGGTGGTTGCGCCATAAAGTTTAGTAATTAAAATAGTGCCAGAATATGTCATCTGACTGCCTGTTATGCAACAGTGCCTTCATGGCTTGTACACATTTTTAGGCCTTTAAAACATTTTATCTAGTATGATTCGTCTTGGCTCATTTCACTGACTAATCTTTGTTTTATTTCTCTGCAAAATTATCTTTTTCAATTGCAAATAGAGTTAGAAGCATTGGCATAAGACCCCCTTTCGATAACATTTACATTGATTAAAAATAAGAAACAGTAGGACTTGCTTTGTAACGCTCAGATGTGCCTGAAAAGATATGCTCTTTAACGTAAGCTTTAGTGCTTATGTGTAGAGCTTAGTGTTTTTGTTTTTGTTTTCTGAACTTGGCCTTATGGCGCAAGTTTCTGGTCACAAAGCTGACATATGCGTGATCAAACTTAGAGAATGCTCATCCCTTATTATGACAAGTTCTATTTTATTTTATTTATATATTTATTTAGGTACCCTAAGGGCCCAAATGGGCATTACATAGGGGGGGAATGGGTTGAAAGCCGACACAACGTACAATATTGTAAAAAGAAAGAATCAACACAACAAAAGTGACATTACAATATCATGAAGGCAGCAAAAGTACACAATTGCAAAGTACAGCGTGAAACATATAAAAAAAAGTGTAAAAGTGACAGAAAATCTGGTATTTGGAAGGCAGGAACACAAATTTACAGCCTAAAAAGATGAGCATGATGAAGACAAGTTACAGTGTATTTTGAATAGCTAGAAAAGCGAGGAGTGCGGTTTGAAAAGAAGAGGTGTCTGTTTGGTCAACTAGGCTACTAGGTAAAGAATTCCATTCATTGATTGCCAGAACAAGGGGTGAGTTCTGATATTTGTTTGTTCGGGCAAAAATTGGGCCAACTTTGTGAGCGTGGTCAGCGCGTGCGGACGTATAGGGTGCCGGGAGTATAAATTTGCGAGCAAATGGTGTTGGATGATGGTACAGGGTGTGAAAAAAAGTTAATCTTGACAACTGCCTGCGTTGGGTGAGAGGGGGGAGATTAAGTTCGTCCTTCAAGGCAGATACACTCTGGTATCTTGAGTACGATGACAGAATGAAGCGCGCGGCCTTGTTCTGTACGGATTCAAGCATGTTAGTCAGACACATCTGATGTGGATGCCAGATGATTTGCGCGTATTCTAGTGAAGAGCGGATAAGAGCATTATACGCGTGAAGTCGTGTCTCTGAATTAGCTAAATAAAGGTGACGCTTGAGCAGGCCGAGCTTTTTACACGCCTTCGATGTGATTTTTTCTATATGGGGGGGGGTCCAGCTTAAATCGGAGGTGAATGTAACTCCCAGATATTTCAAAGATGAAACTGTTTCTATTTTGGCATTATCTATTAAGCAATTATAAGTTTCGGATCTTGTCGTAGACGCTTATAATGGCCTTGTATCAGATGTTATTTGCTTGTTTGAGAAGAAGGATGGCCAACTATTACAATAAAGTGATGATAAAGATCCTATCAGACATTCAGGTCGGCAAAAGGGCAGTGTGGAGGGGGGGGAAAGGGGGTTGAATGCTGTTGTTGAAGATGATTTCAGGTAATTTTAAAACTTTCTTTTTTGAACTTTTGAACTTTCAACTTTATTATGAATAAACAACATACAGTAAAGAAAAACATGTTAGCAACATCTGGATCCTTAGCAGAATGCTAGTATGGATCCATGCAATTATAACATACATTAATTAGATGCAGGAGAAAGAGTTGTATAATGAACGACATTTTAGTTTAGGATGCAGATTGTTTTAATAAACATATCACTTATACACAGATACCGAACACAATGAAAAGGAAAAATCCAACTTATATACTACACTTTGAACACGTTTGTGGTTTGCATACTTAACGTAATACATCTGATATTTCTGTGCATCAGGTAATAGCAATCCTGGTCACCATACAAAACATTAGTTTAAAATCATGTCACTTTTCATCATTTCACGAAACTTATCAGTAGTCTAATAGAGCTCTTTGTAATGACGTTTAAGCATTAATGTGAAAGCATTATGTTGTTTCACTTCCACTGGTAGGTTATTACACAATGACAATCCAACACTATAAAGTCGTCTTTTGCCATAAACATTTTTAACCAGTGGTTTTAGGAAGTTACCACAATGACGGGCTCTTGATTTGCAATTGTGAGGGAATAAAAAGAGAGCGGAGAAGAGTGATATTGCATGTTAGAGACTTGTACACGATTATTGTTGTTTTATAATTTATTACTAGTTGTAGAGACATTTCCTGGTACTGTCGAAAGAGTGGTTAAGATGAGGCCATATAGTTTGCGTTTGATATAAATCGGATAGCACGTTTTTGCAGGACTATAAGTGGCTTTAGGTACGAATCGTATGTATGGCCCCAGTTTTATTTGAAACTGAGTTCTTCAAGGCGATACGAAAAAGTGTTGTCCTTGTGCCCTTATTCTTTGTATTGCAAAGTGTATATCACCATATATGCGTGCCAATAAGTGTGAGCCCTCTTTCAGAGCCACCTCCGCCGAAGAACGTTTGGATAATTCCGTTATCCTCAACGCTGACACTACTGTACTGGGACTATCCGGATAGCGTGACCACCGCCATCGATTCTTACACCGTCAAAATTTGTAGAACATTCAGGACATGTGGCTCGGCTGAGAACCTAAGTTTTTGTGAGGAGCACGTGACAGCGCAGACTTCGCTATATTTCAACAGCACGGCCGATACCCCTTACTGCGTGTTGGTCTCGGCCAATACAACCTGCGGAATCGACAAAATCAGCAGCCAGCCAGCAGTAGCGGAATCACGAACGCCAATTTTCGGTGAGTTATTTGATGCAATCTTGCGAAATATTTTTCTAACCTAAGCGCTGGCTCTGTGTCAGTGCGGGAACAATTATATCGTCTAGGACGTGGGGCAGTTGACTATGTTTGTTTTTCAGCTCCTCTAAAAAAATACAATACATACTTTTACACTGCCTTACATCCGTTGCACAGCGGGCACTGCTCACGAAGGAAATATGCACTTATTGGCCCTAGGTGCATGACACTTGACGATTGCCTGTTCCCAGAAAAATGTGCTTCTAGGCATGACCAGGTAATCGAGGACTGCTAACTTTCTAAAGGAAACCGACTTGGTCTCGCGTTTATAGACGTTTTTTTATGTGCCAATTCATCTAGAGTTACGTGTGTTTTTTTTTGTTTTTGTTCTCTTCTCCCGTCTTTTTTTTCTTTTCTGTCTTCCTTTTCTCTACGTATTCCCTTCCCGAAAAAGCAGGCAAGCGCGTTACCTTTATGAGGAAACTAGTTTATTTTATTCATGAGCAAAGAAATTACACTTCAAGACGAGAGGGCTAAAGGGATTGACGCCTGAAGAGGTCCTCCCACCTGAAAAAGGCAGTTGTCATGTTCCCTTTCTATTTCTTTGTGTCTCGTGCTTTGTATATATAAAAATCAAATAAATCAATAAATATCACTTGCATAAAAAGACTTACATTTAGAGCCTTGAAGAAATACCCTCTGCAGTATGGGACTTCTTGACATTTCTATGAAATAAACAATAACATTAGGAGCATGGAAGCTTCAGCGAGTTTACATTACATCAAGGAATTATTACACTCTGCAGAAAATAAGAAGAGATGAAAAAGAGGGGAAGCCTACAGCGCTGAGTTGAAGCTTAGTTTATCACAAAACAAGCCAGAAAAAAATACATTAGATGGCGCGTGTGAACGCACACTTCCGCAGATGACTCACAAAACACAAAAATGACACATCTCTCAAGTTCAGGCGCGACAATATGTCGAAATTCCGTGAATGTTCTGGCCTTTCCAATAAAAAAAGAACAGTAGATGCCTACCGTGACTGAAACTGCGGAAGAGTTAATTTAAACCCATGTTACCCAGGCAAGTTGAACGTGATTACGACCAACCGTGGTCGACCACGGAGAAACCATGGTTAGCATGAACCATGGCTCGCCGATGTTACATAGCGAGAAAGTGTCCTGTTTTGTTTATGTTTATCTATGAAAGAGCCTATCTCTCTTTCTCCTCAATTAATGAGGCTAACATCACCTGAAGTACAATAAACTGATGCTGTAATCAGCAGATTACTGTCCTGTATGTCACTTATTTCTTGCATCATCATCATCGGCAGCCTGACTACGACCATTCCAGGACAAAGGCCTCTCCCGTGATCCGTCAACTAAGCTTGTCTCGTTCTTTCTGGTGCCACGTTGTACCTACGAGCTTTTTATTCTCATCGGCCCACCTAATTTCTGTCTTCCCTGTGCGTTTGCCTTCTCTAAGAATCTAGTCATTTACCCTTACCCTTAATGACCAGCGGTTATCTTGACTACGCTGCTACCTGCCTGGCCTATGTACATTTCTTCTTGATTTCAACTAGGATATTCTTAATCTCGGTTTGTTTCCTGTTCCCCTATGATTTTTTCTTGTCTCTGAAAGTAACACATATCAACCTCCTTTCCACTGCTCGCTGCGTTGGGTCAATTTAGGCTAATTCCTTTTTGTTAGGCTCCAGGTTTTTTTTTGCATGATGTTCTCCAATGGAGAATTACGCAAGTATATGCGAATAAACACTTTCAATTTGAAAGTTATTGCCACATATACAGCTGCATTGTTTGACGGGGACAGCAACTTACTTGAATAATTTTCCTATAGGATTTATCAGACTTTTTCCTTTCAATGGCTTCCAAGTCATTGTGGAATAATTGGCAATGAACGGGCCGATCGAGCTGCCCGTTCTGCCCATACTGAAAGCAATGAAATATCAATTCCGCTTTCCAGAACTGACGCTGCACGGAAACACCGCATGCTTGCTCGCAAGCGCACCACGTCACAATGGAACGAGTCACATTTCATCCATGCACGGTTAGGTACTTCAGATCCAACTCTCAGTCTTCGAATTCCTCCGGAATCACGCCGACGAGACGCTACTATGCTGTGATGATTATGGTTGGGCGTCGCATTTACCGATGCGTACGCGTTCCGCATAGGAATGGCTGACACTGCTGCATGCGGCCATTGTGGCAGTGATGAAACAACTTGGCACATTCTGTGTGAATGCCCACAATACTGCTCGCAGAGACAGTCACTCTGCAATGCACTAGATAAACTGGACAACCAGCCTCTTTAGGAAGAAAGACTCCTGCGCTACCGACAGGACTTTACGTCGCAGAAGAAGGCTGTGAAGGCGCTCCTGCGCTTCTTGCGTTCAACCACCCTCTCCAAACGACTGTGATCAGAAGTCCCTGAATGTGTGCGCATGTTGTTGTTTTTTCTAAATTATATTATATCTCTCTATATCTATCCTCTTTCCGACCCTTTTCCCCAACCCCGTACAGGGTAGTAAACCATTTCGTCTAGGTTAACCTCCCTGTCTCTTTCTTTTAATTATTTCTCTCTATCTTGTAGTTCTTACCGTTCAGTTCGCCCGTTTTTACAGCACGCTCGTCGCCACATGCTTTCATCACTCATGGGCGCCGCCATTCTTTCGTCTTCCTCCAACCGTGGTTAGCGGCATTACCGTGGTTTCGCGTATGGTGTAACATAAGCAAACTGTGGTTACGTTAACTGTGGTTCAGGCTCCCTGCTTACGAAGAATATGACTAGTGTACCAACGTGATGTTGTACCACAGTGACATTTTCAGTGTATTTTCTTTTCATCGGAGAGGGCAAATATGTGGAGCTTTCTGAGCAATTGTGTGCTCATCTGCATCATATAATGTGGTTTTTCTTCTCTGCTACTTTTTGTAATGAATTCAGTTAAAAAAAAGGATTCCCGTTCCCGCTTGATGCAATATGTGATACACTTATGTCATCACCACGTCGGACTGCTATATATATATATATATATATATATATATATATATATATATATATATATATATATATATATATATATATATATATATATATATATATATATATAAGATGCACCTTTGTTCGATATGTTGCTGCAACATTGTGATTTTTTAAGGACCCTCGTCACGATGTATCTTACCTTTTAGTCCTGCTTTTTCTCTTGAACGTTAATAGAAAATCTACAATAATGATAGTTTAGAATCGATTGCTAATTGAGTTTTACGACAGTCTGTCTTTGCTGATACCCCTCTACCGCTCAAGATGACGTATATTGCGTCGCGCATCAATTGGTGCCACTCAGAACGGTCTAATGCAGAAATGGCTTAAAATTACCAATGTTATTTTGCAGAACTTGCCGAAGTGTCCAACTTGCTCGCGTACGCCATCAGGACTGGTTACGTTGTCTTATCCTGGCAGCGGCCACAAAGTCGGTTCGACTACTACTCTGTTGAAGCCTTTGTGAAAGACGTCGGCTGGAAAAGAATTGACACGCACAAGCTTGGCTTATGCGCCAATGGAACCATCGTTCATCGTGACCAGACGCATGTTACCTGCGGACCATTTGAACCTTGCACAACATTGTCCTTCGTTGTGCGCACTCACTTGACCGGCCAGCCAGAGCGTGTGTCTTCTGGAGTGACAGTAAAAGACATCTTCATACGTGCTGAAGGTATTACTAGGCTATTAGGGCACATAAGCATATATGCAGAGGGAGGGATGTGCATATGTTCCAAGGAACAGTTGATGCACTTGTCTAGAGGACACGCTGTGTGCCTGGCAGGAATGCTATGGGAAGGGTGTGGAACACAGTGTGGCTCTTTAGCCGATGTGTTTCGACGGGAGGGCTTGTCTTCGTCGGTGCTACAACTGGGACGTCATTATACGCAAAGATTGTTCGCTGCGTCAACATTTCAGCTTCCCTTAAAATCCCACCTTACATAATAAAAATCTCAGTGTTCAACTTGTTCTTGCCACATCGCCTATATAAATATGTGAATTACCTTACTGTTAGCAACACAGGGCCAAATAGCCTCTCGAAATAACCCAGTAGTGTCTAGCTTACACAAATGTTTTTGCTACATGGTGTTAGTGCCAGCGGAAGCTACATCCATGCAGATATTTTTCCGAGAAACCAACATGATTAATGTATTTTGTATGGTTGTCCTACGCACATGGTACATGAAACCCTGTGTATCTGAAACTGTATAGATAACGAATGATTTTCTTCACACACCAAGTGCACACAGCGAGAACATATCTGCACAACGCAAGCAAGCTTAAAATGAGCTATTGTTTTTTCCATTGAAAGCATTGAAATATTAAGAGCTTTTGATCAGCAAATTTGATGTGCGCCATAGGGCGAAAAAAATACTTAACCCTTTTGATTGCGCGACGTTTGACGCACATAACTTCAGTGAACACAAAATGCTGGAGATTGTATTCTTCGATTTGTCTGCATGATAAGAAATCTCAAGAAAGGCCAAAATTTTCGGACTCCTCCGCTACGGCATCTTTCATAATTATATCAGTGTTTCGGGATGTAAGATGGCAAAAATATTGTTGTGCCTTGTGAATACCTTTGTGACTCTTCAGAGGTGTGTGTAAATGTTTTATGTAGATGCATCTGCTTGTTTTTTTTTTATGCAACGGTGCGTCAATGGCTAAACTTTTACATGTACTACCACTCAGCAGTGCCGGTTCATAATGTATCGTAACTTTGTAACATTTCGGGGCACTTTAGCGTGTTGTAATGGGACATGGCAACTTTACGCTCGTACCAATTGCAAAGCAAATATGGACGACCGGCGGCTGTGCTTGCCGGCATCATTGTACTTTGAGCCTTTCTTTCTTAATTGCGCACAGGATTGCACAGTGAATGTTCAAATCGGTACCTGCTTGATTTTAGCGTTCCTCGTGCTCACAGACATGCCCATGCTCGAATTTTTTGTAGACTGTGTGCATGCACTTAGACTATAGACACTTGGACCTGTAGGCGCTTAGGCCTGTAGATTATACATAGAAAAATTAACACTTTAAGGGCTATGAAAGTCACAGTTTTCTACATTCTATTAGGTTGAGGGTGCAGTTCCATTGTCGTGTGAATACCATCCTTAACTTTACTTCAGCTGAGTATTCGGATCATGAGCGTAGTGTACAGGGTGCTCTCACTTTACCTCAGGCAAAGTGCAACAAGGTTAATAAGTTCACTTCTTACTTATACGTCTCATTTGAAACTGTGTATTAGCATTTATTATTTATACTGTTAATTTGGTGCTTTCTTTCAGAACCACACCCACCGAAGGACATATCAATTAGTTCGGTATCCCCATCCGTGTCTCGATTGCAGTGGGACCATCCCGATAAAGGGACGGCCGTCCCAGTGTCCTATAACGTGACGATATGTAGAACGTTCCGGACATGTGGTCGAGAGAGAAACCTTGGTGATTGCAGGGAAGAAGTGACGGAACGCATGTCGGTAACGTTCAACAGCACTCAGGATACCCCGTACTGTATACTGGTTACGGCCAAGAGACGCTGCGGCATGGACGAGATCAGGAGCTGGCCAGCGGTAGCGACGCTGCGAACGCCGGTACTGGGTGAGTTTACGAGGTCGCATGAGTTTACAGCATCTTTCAAAGTGTTGGCATTTCAGCCTTTCACGTTGAGGGCCACAGTATATTGTTGCCTATAGCACTTTTCAAAGGAAAGCTGCGACTGCGTGTTTAAATTGTGCGATGAAACTTGGACAAGATTTCGTGTCCAGGGCTCAACAGGCTGATCGTTATAAATCGTTGTTTTATTCCAAACATAAAAAGACTGTCTCGTTTCTCGATGCTGTGTGACACGAAAGAGTTCACCGTGGTGTTTTTTTTTTTTTTACTGTTGAGTTTTTGTCGCCGTAGGGACCGGCAAATGCACTGAAAAAGAGGGGAAGTGTATACTGAACACAGCAAAAGTATATATAAGAGAAAGACTTACAAAACAAACAAACCAACAAAGCAAACAAAGAGCCAACCACAGGAATTTATGTCGCATAGGCGCATAAATCTTGCTTTCGAAGTGTCACAAAGAAATTGAAGTTTAGTGGCAAATGTGCCAGCATGACAGTCGATGCGTGTGATTCAGCGAATTTTTTGGATGTTCGGAGATTTTAGCTAGCCATACACGTTGAACTTCAAAAAAGATATTCTATTCAGGTGCCCAAGCCATCGCATCTGACAGCTAAAAACCTAATAATTAGGTGCGAGATTACTGAGCAGCGGTGGCCATAATGATGCTTTTTTTTTCACTACTGAGCACAGATTTATATACTCTAAATGATCGCCACAAGTTATGAGATAAATACAGCAGGCAAGTTATGTAGATAGAGTTAAAGAACGGGTAACCTGAAGCGAAGAATGTCCCAGTTAGGTTCTACAAAACGTATCCACTGACTTGCCAAGAGCACTGTAGGATATTCCTGAGACGTATGATTTCAAGAATACAAGGCATCGCTAAATCGTCAACAAATTGAGACTTTCAGTAATTAGCTTTTGAAAGCGCCGAGAATTGCGGATTCACGTATAGTTTCGGTGCGATGTCGGTTGCTGATTTAACGGTGAATGCTCTTTGTGGAGTTATTGAAGATGTGCACGCTTTCCATGTGCTTTTTCGCACCGTCTTTTGAGGAGGCGTCACAGCTTACTTTATGTGCTTGAAATATCTGGAGGGGCTATGGTCTGATTAGCTTAATTTTCGGTGTACTGTCCTTTATATGTGGAATGTAAAATGGTTGGTATATGAGGCAGCTGCGTTCAGTGTTCATGGAACTCATATACTACGAGCGTATGGTCGATTGGAGGTAACCCGGAACTTGAGTCATCGTTTCACGCCGCTAACGTTGATTGATTTGAGATTCTTTAGGTCAAATACAGGGTTGGCTCTAAAGAAACAAACCTTTAGGATTAGCTGTCAATCATCAGAGGGAGCATGTAGCGGTTACTATGTACGCGTAGTGGCGTGTTTACACACAAAAAAAAAATGTCATTTGCAATTTCAATTAGACCTTTAGTTCGTGAGCTGCAGCTACTAATGTGAACACATGAACAAGCTGTTTTTCGAGTCAGTGCGGACGTGAAGAGGACGGAATTTTAAGAACAACGTTCATGTGTAAAGCTTAGTCACAAATTTGGGGAAACTTTCACGGATACGTTTGCGTTGCTTAGCCAAGCATAGGAAGGGCTGTATGAGTTGCAGACACTTGTATGAGTGGTTTAATCCCTTCGAAGATGGAATAATCTCGCTTCGAGAGGATCCCAAACCTGGATGATATTGCACATAATGGTCACAGCTTCGAGAGAGTTCGAACAGCGATTTCTGGAAATCATCCGACTGTTCGAGAAGTTGCCGCGGATGTGAGCATCAGCGCACGACCACGTCAAAAAGTTCAGAAGAACGAACTTGGGATGCGTCATTTCAGCCCTAAATTTGTGCAGCGTTTGTTGTCGGATTAACGGAAGAAAATCAGCAAGGAACTGTTCGCCACGGCAAATAATGACGAGAACTTTCATATGAACATCATAAAAGGTGTTGATGCATCAGCTTTCGGCTATGATGTTCAAACGAAGCCGCAGTTATCACAGTGGCTGGCCAAGGAATTTCACGGTGTACCCCCTCCCCCCTAAAAAAAACCACGCATAAGTTGGTCGAAAAGGAAGTTGATGTGTTCTTTTGCAGCAAATGTGTTGTTGATCGAAAATATGCACCACATGGTCAGATGGTAAACAAATAAGCTTGCCAGGGAATCGTTGCGCCTTCGAAAGATTCTATCCACGTGCATTAAAAGGCCTGAATTGGGGAATTGATTGATTGATATGTGAGGTTTAACATCCCAAAACCACTATATGATTATGAGAGGCGCCGTAGTGGAGGGCTCCGGAAATTTGGACCACCTGAGGTTCTTTAACGTGCACCCAAATCTGAGTACACGGGCCTACAACATTTCCGCATCCATCGGAAATGCAGCCGCCGCAGCCGGGATTCGATCCCGCGACCTGTGGCTGAATTGTGGGAAAACCAGACTTGAATGTTGCGTCATAGCAACGCCCGACAAATGCGTTGCTTTTTATCTGCTGATATATGGCAAAACGCCACACTTCTACCACAGCACCCAAATTCTTTAAACTTTATACCAGCTACTTTTTTACGTTTCCTAAGCTCAAAACTACGTTCGAAGAACGTCATTTTCATATCTTAGTGGAGATCCAGGACGATGCGATTACATATGTCCAGTAAATCCCAAAAAGTGTGTTACAGAAGGTTTTTCAAAAATGAAAAAAAAAAACAATGGTGAGAGTGCAATACCACTAGAGGAGACTCCTTCGAGGGAGACACAGAGGGCGAGATAGCGCAAAAACTGGCGGCGAATAAAGGTGACCAAATTCAAGCACTGACGAACAATTGTGAGTAAGTTCATTACACCTGAAAATATGTTACTGAAAAAGAAACAAGCCTAAAACAGAGAGAGAGAGAGAGCTCTTGAAATTTTGTTTTCATTTGTTTATGGAATAATGCGGACAAGACGTTAACCATGGTTAGCAATATACGCAAGATACAAACTAAGTAACAGAATGAAACAGGCTTGAAAAGTGCTTCTTTAGGCGATATATTTGAGTTGAACGTGCTGCGCTGGGACTTTACGAAATAACAAAAATTCATCAAATTACTCACAAGTCAATCATCATCATCATCATCATCATCAGCCTGTCTACGTCCACTGCAGGACAAAGGCCTCTCCCATGTTCCGCCAGTTAACCCGGTCCTGTGCTTGCTGTTGCCAATTTATACCCGCAAACTTCTTAATCTCATCTGCCCACCTAACCTTCTGTCTCCCCCTACCCCGCTTCCCTTCTCTGGGAATCCAGTTGGTGACCCTTAATGACCAGCGGTTATCCTGTCTACGTGCTACATGCCCGGCCCATGTCCATTTCCTCTTCTTTATTGCAGCTATGATATCCTTAACTCCCGTTTGTCCCCTAATTCACTCTGCTCTCTTCTTGTCTCTTAAGGTTACACCTACCATTTTTCTTTCCATTGCTTGCTGCGTCGTCCTCAATTTAAGTTGAACCCTCTTTGTGAGTCTCCAGGTTTCTGCTCCGTAGCTAAGTACCGGCAAGATACAGCTATGCTAAAATATAAAAAACAGTATTTACACAATTGTAGCTGTATATACAAGTCATGGGCATTGGGGAATTGCTTCGCTTAGTTCATTGATTATTTGAGCTATTGTTTGTGGGAAAAGGAAGAGTACAAAAAAGAGTTTGCGAATATTTGGGTTAGACGATGACAGTGGTGCCTAGTACGCCTTCTTAACAAGAAGCATTAGTATGCTATGGTGTCCAAGGCTAGCCTACGGTTAACTATGCCGGGAAAAAACTCTAATCGACTTTTGTTTCTTTCAAATTGTAATATCTCTACACCAACAGAAGTTAGTAATGCTCTTGCAGGAGGGTAGATATAAGTTTACTGTAAACTATACCTCTTCTCTTGAAAACTTTTCTCGGTTTTCATGTTAATTTTTGTGTGGGAATCCTAAACCACGGAGACGAACTCATGTTTTGGCCTAATTATAGAAAAGTAGAAGAGGAGTTTCACACTTGGTGGGGCAGTGTTGAGCTTGTGGCTTAGACTGATTCGCGTAGTTGTACAATGTTGTACAACTACGCGAATCAGAAGCTTCCATGGCAAATGTTCGGTTTCTCTTTAATTGCACTTCATACTACAATGAAACAATTGGTACGACACTGCGAAGTGATACGTCGCGCTGTGTAGAAGAACAGAGCTGAATGACACGAAAACGCGAAATGGTTCATGTTTTTGTGTCATTCGTCACTGATCTTCTATGCAACGCGTAGTTACACTTCGCAATGCCATGCCAATTAGCCTCAGTGGAAGCATTTTCTAAATGGTAACGCAGTGTCCCCGCAGCTATTGTAAAACTGCCGAAAAGAGCTGGTGAATTACTGCTTGTTTTATGGTGGCGACCTGGTTTCAGTTCCTCCGGATGTTACCAAACTACGCGTCGTGAGAGTCGGTGCTGATTTCTTCATTGCTGCCTGGGAAAGGCCCAAGATCAGCTTTGACTTCTACTCGGTAGAAGTTACCAGCACCACCAACAGAAGCAGGACCGGTGTAGCGCAGGATGCAGTAGGATCCTGTGTTCAGGGTACGATCATCCACCGAGACGGACGCGCATCGTGTGTAGCCAACTCCCGACGTGTGTCAATGTGCGGTTCACGGTACAGACACATATAAACAAACCAACTGCACGCTATTCACCGGGCGTCACAATAAAGGACATCTACATTCCAGGCAAAGGTAAGAAAACACGAGTCCGTAGATCTACAAGTATAGAACGTGGGCCTTCTGTGAACGTATTAGGAGTACATTTTACAAATCATTTGCAATGGGATGATAATGTATGCTCGGTACTCAAAAAACTTTGCTGTATAAAAATTGTTTTAAGTTGTTACCGACCACACTTTACTCGTTCCTGTAAAACTCTTTATTTATGATGCTTTATATATTCTCACATTCATTATGGGCATCTAGTATGGGGCATTACGACTCAGTTCAACTTGAATGAACTATTTCGTATGCAGAGCAAAATAATACGCATTGTCGCTAACGTAACCGTATTTGGCTCATACCTAAAACCTCCTTAAAAAATACAACATAACTGAAATCTATAACACCTACAAAACTAGACGCTTGCGCGAATATTATTTTAGTGCTAAACGCAATACTTCCCTACTGGAAAAACGTGCAAAGCTATTTGGTAAGTTATCCTGTTATAGCACTCGTACTCCAGGAAGTGTGGAAGGTTCCACGCTTTCGAACAAATTATAGTTACCAAATGCTACTGAGAAATCTTCCTAGACTTGTTAACTCATTAACGGAGCAGGCAATTATTTACCGCATTTATCTTTGTCAGCATTTAAAATGTTATTGCACTGCCCTCTTCAAAGTGTTTTCAGGAAGTTAATATAGTTTTATGTTTTTTTTCTTTTTTCTTGAAAAATATATATATATATATTTTGTTCCCGCTTATGTCTAATGTAATCTACATTGCAAATGTTTAATTTTTCTTTTGCTTTTTCATCTATTCATTTATATCTTCCATACCTTATAGTCACTGTATGAGTGTAATATACAAGGGTATTATGTGCCCTACCATATGCAGCCATACTGCACTAAGGGGGTGAGGTATCCCTCAAGCCACGTTTATGCGGCTTTTTTCTCCCACCCACCTTCATTTACCACTATGTTCCACATGTGTGTAAATGAAAAACAAGAAATCAAATCGAATGGCTATCATAAAATCAGTTACCATTCGTTTTCAAGGCGTTGTCTTCCTTGTTTGAAAGAGAGTCGGGATGCTGTGTACACCTAGACTCTTTCATCGACGTAACAAGTAAGATAAGTTATATTTTCCCAACTTATTCAACTTGCAGATACATAGGACGGCTTAACAAAAAACACATTTATTTGCAACTTTCAACCAAATAATGACTACAATTATTAAAGTTTTCTTGCAATGACAGTATATAAAGCTGCCATAGAAATTAACGGCAAACTTGTATTATGACACAGTTGAATATGCACTTCGTCTGATATGCGTTGTAGGTCTTTAGTAATCACTTCCACAAATGCCCTGTCTAAATTCTCTCAGAAATGAACAACGTGGTCACCGGGTATTTATTTATTTATGATACCTTACAAGCTCAATGAGAGCATTGAGTAAGGGGGGTACAAACTTCAAAGAGTAGTAGAGCGGTCATCAATAACATGTAATACACAGAAAATAACACAACATCGTGACAAAGCGTGTCTAGTCACTGACACTCAAACAAATGTAATACGCGAATGTTTCCCGATATGCAGAAAGCTTGAATAACAAGAAATTCATGGTACATGAACGAAACACAATAAAAAAATTCGGAGGGCGTAGGTGTAGAATTTAAGTGAGCAGCAACGGCGGTGCAACTGAGCAACAAAAACTGGGAGAATAACAAGAACTGGGAGAACAATGGCAATAAAAAACAACATACACACGTATGTAGAAAGCTGCTCTGCATTAGGTCGTTCGGTTTATTTTCTTGTGACCTTTCGGCGTGTCAGTGCATACGCGATAGTTTATCTTACGTCCATCAGACAAATATTCGTGGCTACTTAAGCCTGTGGAAATGGACGTTACAGATACCAGTTATTATAACTGCCGTAGTTATGGCGCCACTTTCCTCGTGACTCCTCAGTGAACACACTTTCAGTTTTAAGAATGCAGATTTGTAGTGATTCCACATAATGAGTGCACGAGAAATATAGATAAGTGTCGTTGAAGCGTTTAAGTTCTCGTGCCTCTGTGTCAGAACAAACTGCTGAAAAAATTCCTATTCTTTTTCACCTGCAATCACCTATTGTTAAGGGTTAAGTTTACAGTTACCACGATTTGAAAACAAAGATGAAGGGCACCTGAATGAAGTGGGATTGCCCTGAAAATTCAGGTCTTTCGCAGACAGCTGGCTATGGTAACAGTTTTCTGACGAACGCCGCAGTTGCCGTGAGGAACCTGACCGTGAGCTACAGTGGGAGACGACAACTTCACCTTGACTTGGCAGAAACCGGAAGGCTGTGTGGACAACTACACAGTCATGGTGACCGAAAACAGTGCTAGAATCAGAGGTAATGCAATCAACGGACTAGTGTCCTGCAACAAGGGAGGTGTCATCACTTCGAGCCAGACAAGTGTCACGTGCGATCAGCCAGTGCTGTGTGCTAACGCCACTATCAGTGTGAAACCAAATGTGAGGGGAGCGGCTAACGACACGTTGAGTGGAGAGACACTATCGGGAGTTCTCCTGCCTGGAAAACGTACGTAATTCCGAGTAATTAGGCACAAGTATTTGCTTTCGGTATAAACATATCTAGAGTCATTTGTTCAACCTAATTTTGGGCAATACGGATGAGGCGCCTCCTCGCAGCTCCTTAGCTCCCGTAATCAAGAACGTTTTTCCACTGGAGGCTTTATATTGTGTTGAGAAAGTCGTTAATAGGGTCCTCTCGTCAGCGTTAGTGGTTGCTGAGCTTCGTAAATTAATCCTGGCTAGTTTCGAAAAGCGTCACATCTCCGGTCTATGGGTGCGTTCAATAGTAATTCAAAGAAACAGCTTTGATTCCAGAATCGCTTGATAAGACAATATCAAACAGATTATTTTCTTCGAGTGGGTTTCGGTGTGCCTAAATATGCCCTCATTGTCGGGAGTGATGTCCAAGAATATATAAAGTTATCTTTCTTCAAATGTTAGCCCAATTTAGAATGGGAAATTGGCCGAATTAGGATAGTAACACTAGGAATACATAGGCTCATAACACATGACAAGCGTTTCCGATCATATTTGACACCTTTCTTTTTAAGCATCAACTGGAAAGTATATTTGAACGAAAAATTGAATCACGTTGTTTACGTGCTTAGATATAAGTTGTCCCGAACTACTTGTGAACATGTGTGCTCAGTGAAAACTTTGCTGCCACAAACACCACAACTGATGGCACAATAGATGTACTGAAAGTGCGGAAAATCACAGAATGGAAAACCTGGGCCTGGGGTGACCTAGATGACCGCTTGGAGATATTGCTCCCGCGCTGCCTCCGCGGCTCGCTGGACGGCCCAAACAAAGTCGGTCCGCAAGTTCTGAAGTGTGCAGTGCGGCCGACCACCACACTCGCAAATTTTCCGGAGAGACCGCCATATTATCTTGATATATTGACCATCTCCAAAACGTGTGTTAAAGGGTGGCTGTCGCAGACTTGCATAGTTTGCTTATATCACTCGCGCACTGAAAATTTATTTGTTTCCTTCAATAACGTTGCTTCTCCCTGTCTGCTTTTCCATGTCTCTGTTTCGCTTTTCAACACACTTCCCTGCCTTTGTAAGTGTTCGGTGCGTTTAAAATAGCGCTTTGGAAATGAAAATGGTGAGGCATTTACTATGAAGTTACGCTAATCTGCGGGATTTGAAAACACGTGGTGCGATATTTATTGTCGCAAGAGATTGTACTCCATGCATGAAAATAACTGTAAACGTCTGCCAGAATGGGTGCATAATAAGCATGTGTGCGAGCTCTTTCTATCAGAAGAATTACTGATATCATGGACCATCTCGCACGACAGGTATTCCCTTGTTTCTATTGTCGGTTGCATCTTATAGGATACCCTGCTTTCTTTTTCCATTTCAGATCCTCCCCCTGTAAGAGACTTGCGACTCTCAGGCCATCACGCACAGATACTTCGAGATAACATACAAGGCTCCAAAAGAATGCTACTCCGATTTCGACCACTATATTTCACGGGCCAACAGCAATTCCAAAGCTAGGTTGAGCTATTGCCGTGTGCCACAAGACGTCAAGTCGTATTACTGCAACCTGCAATATCAAGGCCTGCGGTAGAGTCAACATAGGAGCACAAACGAAGTCTACCGGACCGTCAAAGCGTGGCTCACTTTGGGCCGAATTAACTGGACTCAACACAAAGGAAAGGTGCTGGCCGTGGACTAGCATCTAGTAGTACCGCGTTTTGTGACCACGTATGTCAGGTGTCATTTGTATGCTTCCGTTGAATGTAGCGCAGTTTCTAAAAAGCGCAATTGTGCAACCACGTGGCGTCTTTCCCCGATCTCTCATTGCTTTGCGGCCTCATGCAGCAGTGCAGAACGTAAGTGGTCGCGGAATCGAAACCCGGTCACAGCGGCTGCATTTTCAATGAAGGCGGAAACGCATAAGGCCGTGCACCTATATTTAGCTGCACGTTGAAAAACCCCAAGTGATCAAAATTTACGGAGCCCTTCCGCTGCGGCGTCCCTCATAATCACACCGTGGTTGGCGGACAGTGAAAGACCGCACACAATTAGTGCCTCTAGCTCGTTTCCAGCCGACCACCTCTGGTTAAGTAGAAGAGGAACAAGAAGGCCATTCTCGTGTGAACGTTCGTCTCCAGCTGTGTTGGAACGCGCTTTGCTCTAGTAGTTTTGGTAGTTACGGGTCAGGTAACTTGATATCTTTTGTGTCTCTTTTCTGTTCTCCTGTGTTAGTTTGGTTTAAGGGACTCTCAAGGAATCGCGTAAATTTTTAACACTCCTAGGCAGGGCAGTTCGGCATGGACAGCCTCTCGTCGACCGAATGATTTACACCTTCAACTTTTTCTACGCAACGGCGTTAGCAGAATTTCCCTTTCACTGGTGCCCTTGGGTAATATAACGATCCGGTTGAACAACTGCAGGATTCAGGAGAAGCTTTCATGCGGTAGCCTCTGCACACGAATGCGTCACCGATGTACGACAGTTTGGCCGCGGAGGTATTGTGTGCAGACCACAAGACACGGATTGTGTAGCGGATCTTCCTAAATGCTCATCTGCTACTAATCTGATGAGTGCATATATCCCACCTCATCTTGCATGCACCAAGAATGTTGTACGTGTAGTTGACTCAAAATTGAGCCCGCTCGGCAAACTCTCAATGGCCAGAGTAATGGCTATCTACCGGCACAATCGAGTAGTGGACAACGCGAGAGTATCCGATAAAAGCTTGGTCACTAATCTCTAGGGTTCTATCGTTAGCATCGCGTCCCCTGCAGTGTAGAAATTGTTGGCCATTTAGCCATACTGCTGGTAGGTGTAAATGTGGAAGACGGTGTGGATTTCTTGGTGAGAGTCACTCACACGCCACTGCACGGTCCAAGCTGAGAAGTGCTGCTTGAGTGAGCGCGCTCATAGAGCCGATTATTGTAGTTGTCCCGTTCACATTCAAGAGAAGCAACTGTTTGAAGAAATTGGCTGGAGACGATGCTCAAGGAGAAAAGAAATGGCAGTTATCAAGGAAAGGGCACAAGGTCACGCTGGAATTACCGCTCAACAAAATGCAATGGGAGATGCTATAGTTTTCGCCCAAACAAATGCGGCAACAGAAAAAAAGGCAATGTCAAAAGCAATGGGCAAGGTATTTACCAGCCGCTTAGAATGGTTGTATCAGATAATGACCACTCAGTAATTCCGCTGATAAATTATAGTACTTTCTCCTCAGAAAGTACTACGTTGACAACTCAGCAGGCACATTATGCAGCATGAGTGATGATAGGTTGGCCCCAGTTAGGTAGTATAATAAGCATACAGAGAAAGAACGTCGACTCTCTATTATATATCTGAGTGTCAACACTGACGTTGAAATCAATTCGCCTGCCCAGAAGCGTAGCTTATCAACCTTAAATTCATCTTTCTCGTCGTCACACACAAAAGCAAACCAGCGCAGCCTGAAAAGGTCGCAATGGCCAGCATACATATATATATATATATACTAGAGAAGGTTGTTTCGACTGTTGGTATTGCCCACCATTGAGCTATTGAATTCTTACAGTGGTATTGCTGGTTCATATTTTGAGTTTCTACATACTTGTCTCATTGTTCAAAAAAAATCCTCATTTAAAAATGTCACGAGAAACTTGGTTTAATCCAAATCAACACTTTCTATAAAGATGTCTATAATTTTATCTAGATCCATTTTTAAAAATGGCCATTTATGGTTGGTTTGTTTTTATAAAGTAGGGAGAAAATTGATACCATATACACGGAGTGAATGATGAGGTGTGGGGCGAAGCGTACGTCCATCCGTCCATCTGATTCGCGCCCTATAGTGTGGTAGGAGCCGGCGGACGGATGGGCTGACAGGCATACAGACACACGGACGGATGGACGGGTAGACGGACATACTTTTCGCCCCACTCTTCATTCAACTTAGGGATATAGTATAATTTACTTCCTATTCTTATGCATGCTTATCACTATAAGCCAAATGAATTACATTGCTCTGTACTAACAGTGTTTTCCTTTCTGCTGTGCTGAGCACTATGTATATTGGTACTTGGTGTAGAAGACTGAGGCGCAAAAAACATATCGTGAAGCAGGAAGAGCAGAAGAGAAAAAAGAACAGCGCTGTCCTCTCTTCTCTTCTGCTCTTCCTGCTTCACGACATGTTTTTGCAGCCCCAGTCTTCTGCGCCAAGTACGCACCAACTAGCCCAAAAACAAGTCCTTTTGGCAGAGTGGTATCCTTTCTCAACAGAATGGGACTTGATGTGTTTTTCGCCAGTGCCTGTCACGCGTCATTTATATGTTTTCGTTGAATGCAGCGTATGTAGAAGGCATGCTGTATACAATTATGTGGCGCCATCTGGCGAACTGGCATTGCTCGAACAATTATGAAATAAAGCAAATTATTCAGCCAGCGTTCCTACGCTGCTAACGAATTCTAAATGCCTTGCGGCGGCTTAAGTAACATGGTTCTCGTACAATCTGCTTTATATCTGCACGCTCTTTTTTCTCTTCAGCAATTCCAATAACGACGTTCTAACCTTCATAACTAACTTTAGAGAGTTATAGTATACCGGGCTTACCGTGATACCGGGCGTACCGTGATACCGGAATCGAAGTGCGCATGCGCAGATACGTACGTTACGCGTACCACTTACCGTACGCGCGGTATTTTTCAGATTTAAGGTAGCGTAGGTGCACGTAGTGTACGCAAACATAGCGGCGCTCTCGGACGCCCGCTTCGAAGTGATTTTGGCGTAGTTGTTGAAAGATTCACCTTGTTCGCAGCAAACGACTGTTCAAAGTGGCTTCGCTTGCCTTCAGTTAGCTTCGATGACTGAGTATTACGGATAAGTTGGCGTAGTTTTTGAGATAGCTTCCCATTTCGAACGCGCCTAGGCCTAACTACAAGATCAATGTAAACGAATCGGCAACGTAAATGTTTTCGCGTTTTGTACGTGGTTCATATTTATTTACTCTTATTATCACAAAAATAAACTTCTAACAAGGCTTCGCGTGGTGGCATAGGCAAACATTCTCGTTTTATTTTTATTTTCACTGTTTAACTTATTAGCCATCTAATAGGTGGCGCCATCATCCCACTTGGGGGCACGTAAACCACGTAAGCGCTATTTCGCTAAACTATAAGACGCTGCCTACAACAAACATTTGCTGCACGGTAGCGTCATTTCCTTAGCCTACGCTGTCACGCTAACGCTAAACTATAACTGTCTTTTGTTTCTAACTGACGGGGGCTGTCGAGCGAGATCATGGTAGTTATATTCACAGTGTCCAGTTCGTGTACGTGTCTAATTCGCCAAAGAACGTGCAGCTATGCAAAAAAAATGGCCTCGTCAGCGCATTGAAACCGCCATGACATAATCAGCGTAAAATGAAACTAGGTGGATGAAATACTAGTAACATGACTGGTAAATGAACTTGACAAGTCTGAACGTGTGTATGACTATGTTGAGATGTTTGACGAGAGATGCAGTGAACCTTTCGGGGGCGTCAGGCGGGCGGCCGCGTTAAACGTAATTCAAGGGCTAACGCGATAGGAGCCTATGTAGAGCCTCGGAGATGTGCGTCTAAAAGCGGATTCGGGGGGCAGCGTTCGTTGTGGCGAAACGCATTTCGTCTATTTCATTTGTTTCGAGAGGCTTGAAGGCTGCGTGGCGTCAAAATTACGTTGCCGAAGAAAGACGCGAAACAGACGGCGCGCTGCTAGCCAACTCCAGCCAATCGGGACAGGCCGAATTGGACATGCCCAGGAGTTAAACATCGCGAGAATAGCTCCTCGTATGACTGGCCACACAACAACAATAACGTAACATTTAACACATCCTCCAACATCACCTCATATGGTTAAGCTTATATTTCTTCGTACCAAGTCTGCTCAAGAGTGTGACTCGCACTCGCTCACACATGTTCCACGCTATTCCTGGCTTCCCAGTGAAAGGCACGGCAAATAAAGATGCTTGTATTTGCTACACCTGTGTCACTACATTGCTGTACAAAGAGTGCAATGCTTACCACCGTTGTGCATAACACACGCGAGACCAGAATTAATCCCTTTCATTGTTCAGTTTGAATGCTTTTTGTCTTAACACCGACAAATCGCGGCGTACCAGTACCGTGAATATATGATCTGTTAACTCTACTATTTAACTCTACTATGAACTGCAAGACGATGTACACCTAAGCGAAGTGTGTGATCAACATGGGGCGCGCACAAAAAACCAGGTACAATTCATCTCCTAATTGTGGCGATAAGTCAATTGCTACCACATGGTTAATGGTGGGAAGTAGAAACTTCCCCCCTTTAACCACCACGAGTTCATGGTATATACTAGTTCATTGTAGTCATGGCACTGCGGCTTAATGCTCGCTAAACCTTTCTAAAACTAAGGAGGTTACATACAGCAAGTATAACGTAGCAACCCTTCCTTGTCAGATAGTGCTCAATGTACACGCCAATGGCTGCTAATGGGGAATGAGAGACAGGAGCATCGGCTTTTAGTTAACGCGCACGCTGCGATTTTTTTTTTTATTGTTCGACAACGCACAGAATAAATCTCCCACCGGCACCACCTCGGAGGTCGATATGTAACACTTGTTATACACTCACTAAACTCACTATACTTATAAACTCACTATGCTTGACTTATGTATTTTGTTGTTTTTGTTGTCGTGCGTTGCAACCGGGTTCACTGATTTCCCAGTACCAGGACTCGCCGAAGTCTTTTTTTTTTTTGAACGCTTTTAGCGTAAATACCTTTTCTCAATACGCACTGTGATGCATAAACCGAACTTGACATAATTGCAGCACTACCTGCAATACCATCTTTTTGGCCTTGAATTTGTGATGCACGTGCTCATAAATTACACAATTCAATGAATGAAGGAAAGTGCAAATTTAATAAATGCTCGTTTTTTTTCTTGTTAGACACAACATTATTGAGAACTAGCAGACAGTGATGCCAGATAAAGTAGAGAGGGTGTCAATATAAGTAATTGTATTGTGAATGAGCAGAAACAAAGCGGATGGAAAGAACTTGCCACCAGCAGTTACCAATGAAGTGCAATACGCGTATTAGCTCAAGTGATGTCATTGTGCCTTAATTGTGCCTTCATTCAGCGCTTCTCAGATGCTTTTAAAGCAGTGCATTTACTACTTACTACTAGTATATTGATATTAATATATTATTAATATTATTATTATTATTATTATTATTATTATTATTAATATTGATATTATTATTATTATTATTATTATTATTATTATTATTATTATTATTATTATTATTATTATTATTATTATTATTATTATTATTATTATTATTATTATTATTATTATTATTCCTGATAGTAAAGCACAATGAAATGTGTGCACCTCCCAAACACTTGTGGGGCGTTTTCTTGTTGTTGTTTTTTTTTCTCTTCATTGCTGCTTTTGTGAAGCGGCCTTGCTGCGGGGATACATGCTCCCCATTCGTCCCTAAACTGACCGGAAAGGGTGTTCAGAACCCTCGCCCCTCCGGCGCGCGGCGCGCTACGTCTCACTAGCTGCCGTGTCAATGAGAACCTGTTCTGATTAGTTCGTCTTTTCTCTTTTTCGCTAGTCGACGCGCAGGTGTCACGAAGTTGCACCAATTTCGCCCGTTACTCGATTCCTCGTGTGATTTTGAAACACTTATTTGGGTTGGTGGACTTATGTAACTGACGTTGATACCACGTAACTGTGTGCTTGCGATACTGATTTCCTCGTGTGTGGTGAAGTTAAGCGCTGTGGAAGTTTTCTCGTGTGAGCCACACCAGGTTGTGCACTTCCTGCGACCTGGGTCGCTGTTGCATTGACAGTTAGTCTGACCGCTTCACTCCGTGCCACGGAATTCTTCAGGTGTAGGTGTTCATGGTTTCCGCAAAGTGAAGTCGTGAAATTACCAAAAAAGTATTACCGGCACGAACACAGACGTGTGGTAAAGGCCTGCCACTTTTTCCGGATGAGATCACCACAGTGAACAGCCGGCAGCCCAGTGCTTCGAAGTAGACTTGCCAATGCCTTAGCAGAGCTTCTATCATTCGCATTTTCGACGTTCTGACACGTTTAAAACACTTATATTCGCTATGATTTTGAGAAAAAATGGCAAGACTATAGCCTTTACAAATTTTCGATTTTTCAAACTTGCATAATATGCTGATAAATCGTTTTTAGGGCCCTTTTGAGACAAATTGAAAAATTTTTAGAAAAATTCCCAAAGGGAACAAATTCCCTTTGGGAATTATTAATTTTTCAGGGTTGCATCAAATGCTGATCAATCGTTTTTAGGTCCTTTTTCGGACAAAATGGCAACCTTTTTAGCCTTCGGAAAGCTTCTATATTTCGATTTTCTCACGTTTTGGCGCGTTTCAAATCATTTGTATTTGGCATGATTTTGAAAAAGAATGGCAACACTACAGCCTTTGGCCCAACTTTCACACCATCTTATCAAGCCGTGGCAGTAGCACAGCGGTAAAGTGTTCGACTCACAATCGGAATAGCAGTGGTTCGAATCCCGCTTGCGTTCTCATGTCTAAGAAGTGTTCCTAAAGCTTTTAAAATTTTATTTTCTGAAGTTTATTCGCACATTGTTGAAAGTGACAGATTATTTGTCACTGAAGTTCCCACCACAGAGGTAGCATAATGGTATGAGCGTCTGCTTCCAATGTGGGAGGTGCCGGGTTCAATGCCGTACCGGTCACCGGCCGGAAAGCCACCGGATTCAAAGGCAAGAGGGATGTGTTGAAACCCGCTTGCGTACTCATGTCTAAAAAGTGTTCTTAAAGCTTTTAAAATTTTATTTTCTGAAGTTTATTCGCACATTGTTGAAAGTGACAGATTATTTGTCACTGAAGTTCCCACCACAGAGGTAGCATAATGGTATGAGCGTCTGCTTCCAATGTGGGAGGTGCCGGGTTCAATGCCGTACCGGTCACCGGCCGGAAAGCCACCGGATTCAAAGGCAAGAGGGATGTGTTGAATCCCGCTTGCGTACTCATGTCTAAAAAGTGTTCTTAAAGCTTTTAAAATTTTATTTTCTGAAGTTTATTCGCACATTGTTGGAAGTGACAGATTATTTGTCACTGAAGTTCCCACCACAGAGGTAGCATAATGGTATGAGCGTCTGCTTCCAATGTGGGAGGTGCCGGGTTCAATGCCGTACCGGTCACCGGCCGGAAAGCCACCGGATTCAAAGGCAAGAGGGATGTGTTGAATCCCGCTTGCGTACTCATGTCTAAAAAGTGTTCTTAAAGCTTTTAAAATTTTATTTTCTGAAGTTTATTCGCACATTGTTGAAAGTGACAGATTATTTGTCACTGAAGTTCCCACCACAGAGGTAGCATAATGGTATGAGCGTCTGCTTCCAATGTGGGAGGTGCCGGGTTCAATGCCGTACCGGTTACCGGCCGGAAAGCCACCGGATTCAAAGGCAAGAGGGATGTGTTACCCGGACCTGGCTCAATCCACTGTGGAACACCCCTCGCCCTGGGGATTTCTCGGGGTTAACGCGAGCGCTTCGCAGTTGTGCTACGGCACGGTGAGGCTTGTCATGCTCGGGGGGGTTGCTTGAGCTACATGGCGGCTATTTGTACCCTGGACCTTCGGCAAGTCCAGAGCCGCCGTAGCTCGTGGCCCCTACTTTTGCAAAAAAAAAGCTTTTTTTTCACGAAAAATAAAAGCATCATTTTGTTTGATACCAGATTTTTTTTTTATTCAGGCGTGTAAGCCACAACTGCAGAGTACCATTCCGTATTTCACTTTTAGCGTGCAGCATTGCGCGCATTTCAGGGTTGATACGTATGTATTTGGATGATATCCTGGTGTTCCGGCATTTTCCGCTCTGTATTTCGAACCATCAACCTCTTGGTTATGAGCTGAACACCATATCCACTGGGCTACTGCCTCGACACAGGATACACAAATTATAACTTGCTCTGCACAATGTTTTGCAGGTCAAATATAAAAACAAACAACAAGCTTACGCGTATTAGCGCCATTCACCGCATCGCCTTGTTTTTTTTTTCCACCCTACTGGCACCGGGATTTGAACCAGTGACCTTTCGGTTTAGAGCTTACCACCTTACCGACTCGGCTATTCTGCCACGGCATGATAAGACAGTGTGAAAGTTGTGTACATTATGCAGGCCATTCTTCAATATTAAATGGCGAACTTCTGTGTCCGAGCCTTGGCGCACGATCTTTGATAAAAAACAGAAAGCCTAAATTGAACTTTTCGATGTCGCATCCAATGCTGATAATTCACTTTTATGGCACTTTTCTGACAAAATGAAGAGCTTATAGCCTTCGGAGAGCTTCAATGTTTCGGTTTTTCGACGTTTTAGTGCGATGCCCTCGATGACCAGGTGTGGGCAGTCCAGCAGGCCAGGGCCGTCGCTGAGGACCTCAAAAGATGTTCCTCAAACGATGTGTCGCTGGCAGCCTAGCCCCGGGCACAGCAACAACCGTTGGGCAAATAAAGTTGGGCTTCTAGTGGACACAATTCTGGCACAGTGCAATAAGTGGGTGCCATAAACTTAGCTTACGAAGTCTCAATAAATTTAATCGAGACAATGTCTATAATATACGAAAATACATTGTGGAATTTTCTACGTCACGCGTGTAGATTACGGCGCTAAATTTGAAAAAGTCAAACTTCAGCCTTGATTTTCTACGCTAATAGTAAACTTATGGCAGCGAAACTTATGACACCATAATTTTTAGAGTGCACCTTATCAATATAAAACAGCTCATTGTTTCTCTTTGGCGCCCTTTCAAAGACTGAGCACGTATAATGTCCAAGAAGACACCGTTATAGAAAGTGGACTCGAGGAAGAGCTGAACCACGTCTATATGGCGTTTATTCATGAGTCGTTGGATGTATAGTTCGATATAAGGTCTATCATGTCATGGTGGAGGAAGTCTTTCGCATTGTAGCCGAAGATGAAGTCCAGGTGACCGAAATCTGGATCCGGCATTATCTTCCTCCTCACGAGGACTTTTTGAAGTCGCCCGGCAAGGTCTTGCACGTCTTGTGGGTCGGCGAAGATGTCCCCCTCTCCTTGGTAGATTGCGAAAGGCACTCTAATGTTCTCCAACGGATATGGTGGTGGATCGGCCTGTAGAGACTCGTATTTATTTTTATTCATTTATTTCAAGGTACTTTACAGTCCCCTGGTGGGGGGGGGGGGGCATTGAGTAAAGAGGGCGATACACAAGCTACATGTACATAAGCATATAGAATTATAAACAGAAAGCAATATAGTTAAATATATACAAGTGAAGATGACGTACGCATGCAAACAGGATGTTTTAAAACATAAAAACTAATACCATGCGCGATGAATATTAAGAGAAAACTATACATTTCATAGCCGCAGCAGAGGGGTCAATTTGTATGCGAAGAAAAAAATTAGGTTATTGGTGGGATAGCTGCCAGTCAGAACGAGCTGATGATGTTGATATAACACTAATGATGTTGATATATGGGTTTGAATGATGCAAGAGCCACGTTCGGCCACCGAGCACCATGTACAATTATGGTAGAATAGCAATCGTCCACGATTTGAGGTGATATGTATAAGACATTAACTATGATAATGTTTTGCGGCTGTAAGGAGCCTGAAAATACGACGCCCGGAAGCGGCTTAAAACATATAAGGATTAAAATCGTGAGAGTGACGTCGTATTGGTGTAGCGGAGGTTTAATGTTCATTGCAACAAAACTAGAGTAGGGAGATACGCGACTAGCACGAATGTCTCGTCAATGCATGCCCTAACAATGACATGACCTAATGTTGAATCTATGAGGCAGCCTGAGAGGTGACCTAAACTTTTCCCTAAAAGGATTACTTTTTGCAGTTATACGTAAACAAGCTTTGGGATTGTTAATTAAAAGCAAACTTTTCTAAACGCTTGTTCACTAAAACTTTTCATCGGTAGCGGTGGACATTTCTGACAAGCTGTCTTGGTGTGCGGGACAGCCTGGAGTGAGCGTTTTTGCACATGGAATTGTGGCTGTGTCCAAAAAAAGTTTGCGTAATTTAAGTCTACCGCCAGATTTTCAACTCTTTTATTGCGACGACAGACAGCAAAAGGTCAACGAAAAACCACTGGACTGTCTGTAGTTGTCCTAATAACTACATAAAAAGCAAACTGCTCTTTCACGTAGCATGAAACCGGCATTTCTATCCCGTGGGCTTCTTCAACGTGACATAAATGACTTGCTTGTTGGTACATATGTTGAAATGATAGTTATCACCCGTTTTTTTTTATCTTCTTTTCCACTCCAATCTGTTTTTTGCGCAACTACGACACGGCACGCTTGTGCCTCGCGGGTATTTGTGTTTGGCAATACTGGCATGCTTTGGCTGCAAATAACACAAAGTAAAGAAACACTCAACGCAAGCACAAGTGGCACTTCCAACTAAAGTAGTCGGGCATGTCTGTATGTTGTTACTTAAGTCTGAATTTGCGCCCGATACTTTAGTTGGAAGTGCCGCTTGTGCTTGTCGTTGAGTGTTTCTTTACTTTTTGTTTGTGTTATTTGCGGCCAAAGCATGTCTGTAATCAAGTACCGACTGGGCCGACAATCAGTATTATTTGGCAATAAATTTGACTGGCGATAAGCCACTACCTCTTTATTATTAACCCAGTTATTACGAGTATTTAATAAATGTTACACTTAGCTAATAAATAACACCAGTCTCTGAGAACGGCTGGCTAACGGCTACATATGAGGAATATGAATTAATGAGCTGAGAACGTACCTGCCCATATAGATCTTTATTCTTCGTCTCACCGTAGTCGAATCTCACTAGATTCTTCGCACGGAACACCTGTAACGAAATTGCTGCTCAAGCACTCCGTGCAGATGGTAGACTAGCGAAACTGAATTGAGCGACACTGGTGTTGATCAGTGGGTTACTTCCTCTGTTTATTATTTTTCATGATCACTGGTTATGTTTGTCCGAAACCAGAACTCTTTAACCGTTTCGTTTTATAGTTTTGTGTTAAAAAAGTGTAATTTTTCTTTGAACTAATATCTCAAATTTTTCTTCGGAAAAGCATTGGCAAAAATAATGGAAGCGCATATCAATTCGGATTAGCATAACTAAAATTAATGTCCTATGGCGTACCAGTACTAGGTCCTTCCCGATACGCGAAAAGAAAAATAGAGAGAAAGTATCCAATGTAATACGACAAGTATATCAACGTATAAACTTCGGTATTTTTAGCGTCTGAAGAGCCGCGCAATAAATAACGTCTTTTTTTCGTCCCTGTGTACAAGAAACGAACCCGTCGACTTCGCTGGGCAACATTTTCTAAACACAAGACGCGAAAAATGCGAGACGACAGTTGCAAATAGCCACAGTTTCGCCGCAAGACCGAAATGTCACACGAAGAACGGCATGCAGCTCAACAGTTGCAGTACGCCGCTTAAACACAAAGAACGTTTGAAAAGAACGCAGAGGTAAACGCAGGAGAAGCGGGAACAGCGTTCGGCCAAATTTGTTACGCCTTTGGGTTAGGGAGCCTGCATACTTGGGGTTAGAGCAGCGTGCGGCAAGCGTCGACAGTACAGAATCAAACGCTCTTAGATATTGTAAATGTTCCTGGGCCGGTGCATGACTGCTTTGCCTTTTGCGAATTCGACGAGAAAAGCCAGCGCCGTTAAATGCTAAAATATTTGATGCAAGATAACACCAGAAGAACGGTACTTTCAGTTGAAGCACCACTGAAGTCACAAAGCACAACTAAAAGTACCGTTCTTTGATCTATTGATCTCCCAAGCAGTGATCAATAGAGGAAAAATAGGCTCAATACAGTCTCGCATAGCTTTCTGTATTCGGTGCCTGGCTCTCTCGAACTACATTTCCACCTACAGATTATTACGTAGATCCTAGCAAATAATCTGCGACGTCTTTGCGAGTGGGTTGCGGGAACTGCAGTTACGTATCGTTCTTTCCTTGCGTATTCCTGCGTAAGCGTCTCCTGGGGCGTATAGTGGTGTCCTAGGTATTGAGACCAGTTTATTTGCCGTAGAAAAAGCAATTGCTTTTTTTTTCTAGTGACCTACATTGTCATCTCAGACATACTAGTAATTAAGCACAAAAGACCGACTCACTTACCTGGGCATAGTGAAGCACGTTTTGGCTGGAGGAGCCCACAGGTAAGTTTGTCACATAGACAGGCACCCTCGTCTGCGTGGGTGAAAAGAACTGTATATTAATTTATTAACCTGCCTCAGAGCCTTTTCTGTTCTGGTAGGTGGCCTGTAAGAAAGCTCTGATAAGAACGGTGCTTCAATTTAAGTCTGGAATTCAGGGTGCGAGAAGCACGGCTCGATTATAAAAAATCGCACTGGCTATAGACTGCCGATTAAGTTTGACTATCCAAAACTCTCTAACAAATATTAATATGTTTGTTTTATTGGTGCAAGGGCCACGTTGCAGAATTGTAATAATTGTCGGTGTATAGCGATGGTATGTAGGAGCGTGGGTTACGATAATGTTACGAGGCTGTATAGTGGTCTGAAATTCCGCGTCATGGGCGGGTTATAGTCATAGATACTAAAATCGTGAGAGGGACATGACGCCTGGATTGAGAATGAATGATAAGTGATCGTGGTAATAAAAGCAGAGAAGAATAACAGCACATCTGCCTTATTAACAAACCTTGTGTCCAAGGGCCGCCAGGCAGGCCTTTTTAATGCAGCTACCGCAATAGAAGACTAGGAGGTTGTGCTACAGATTGCTTGGAAAGATACCGTGATCTAACAAGTGCGAATGACTAAATACATGTTTTTCTTAGTACATATAGTGTCTCTCTCTTTTCTCATAAGCGCCACAGTTCGGGCTAATTGGTATGACATGATGATTGTTGTAGCACGAGATCATAACGACGACAAAGGGTCTTCTGTATGTCCTTTACAGTATTTTTCTGAAACTTGCGTACCCACTAGCGATAAAACTCGAATATTCGGCGGTATATGTATAAAATTCCGACGCGTTTTGCCATCCGACAGTTTTATTGATGACCAACCGACTCCAGAAATTTTCTCGACCTAAGATCCCTTCATAATCATCATCATCATCATCATCATCATCATCATCATCATCATCATCATCATCATCATCATCATCGAGCCTGTTTACGTCCACTCCACGACAAAGGCCTTTCCCATGTTCCGCTAGTCAACTAGGCCATGTGCTTGTTGCTGCCATTTCGTACCCACAATTTTCCTAATCTCATCTGCCCACCTAACTTTATGTCTCCCCCTAACCCGCTTGCCTTCTCTGGGAATCCGGTTAGTTACCATTAAGGACCAGTGGTTATCCTGTCTACGCGCTTCATGCCCGGCCCATGTCCATTTCCTCTTCTTGATTTCAACTATGATTTTCTTAACCCCCGTTTGTTCCCTAATCCCCTCTGCTCTCTTCTTGTCTCTTAAGGTTAGACCAACCATTTTTCGTTCCATTGCTCGCTGCGTCTTCCTCAATTTAAGCTGAACCCTCTTTGTAAGTCTCCAGGTTTCTGCTCCATAACTAAGTACCGGCAAATTACAGCTGTTATATACCTTCCTCTTGAGGGATAGTGGCAATGTACCTGTCATAATTTGATAGTGCTTGCCGAATTTGCTCCACACCATTCTTATTCTTCTAGTCTCTTCAATCTCGTGGTTCGGCTTCGCGGTTATTACCTGCCCTAAGTAGACATAGTCTTTTACAACTTGAAGTGCACTATTACCTATCTCGAAGCGCTGCTCTTTTCCGAGGTTGTTGTACATTACTTTCGTTTTCTGCAGATTAAAGTTGCAATTCATCTCCTGAGTTACTCAGCAATGCAATGTCATCGGCGAAGCGCACGTTACTAAGGTATTCTCCATTAACTCTTATCCCTAACTGCTCCCATTCTAGACTTCTGAAAACCTCCTGTAAGGACGCGGTCAATAGCATTGGGGAGATTGCATCCCTCTGCCTTACACCGTTCTTGATTTCTGTGCTGTTGCTTTCTATGGAGTACTATGGTAGCAGTTGATCCCCTGTAGATTTCTTCCAGGATGTGTATATATGCTTCATCGACGCCCAGATTCCGCAGTGTCTGCATGATTGCTGATCTACTGATATTTCGACTGAATCAAACGCCTTCTCGTAATGAATGAAGGCTATGTATAGTGGTTGTCGATATTCTTAGCATTTCTCTATTACGTAATTGATAGTATGAATGTGGTCGATTGTTTAGTAGCCTGTTAGCAATTGCCTTTACAAATAGCTTTTATACGGCATAGAGCAAGCTGGTTGGCCTATATTCTTCAAGTCATTGACATTTCCTTCCTTATCTATTAGGATGATGTTAGCGCTCTTCCAAGATTCTGGTACTCTTTCCGTCAGGAGACACTTCGTAAACAGGGTGGCTAGTTTTTTGGAAAAATCTGTCCTCCATCTTACAGCAGATCTGATGTTACGTGGTCCTCACCAGCAGCTTTGCCTCTTTGCACTCCCTCCAAGGCTTCTCTGACTTCTTCTCTATCATCACCGGTGGAGTGCCATCTGGGTTACTTAACGTGTGCCTAAATTCAACAAAGTGGACGTCCAGCGTTACACATCCATCGAAATGATACCATCGCAGCCAGATCAGCAGCTGATCATCTTAACCACCAGTTTCATTGTAGTTTCATAGTAGTTTCATTGTAGTTTTATTGTAGTTTCACCTTGCTGGAACTTCTTGACATCACCTAGCCTCTCTACCAGTGGACCAACCGCGCACATCTTACTGCAAAACAGTGACCGCAAATGGCGAGTCCATCCCAACTTCGTTCTCTCCTGCCGCTAGACCTGTGACTCCACCATGATGCCTCGCTCAACCAATGATTTATATTAACATACCTTCCGTCCAGATAAAGGCGAATTTGTCGTCACCGGCTCTCAAACAGCTCACACTACTTCTCTTGTATGAGAAATACCCAGACTCCACACATATATACACTGACGGATCGGTTCAGCCGGGCAGCTCTACAGGAGCAGTAGTGTTACCAAGGTTGGCCATGACAATTATTCAAGACATCTCAAGCAACAACATCAACGGCAGCAGAATTGGCAGCACTTCGTGTCACGTTGCAATTTGTAGTCGATCAACCTACACGCAAGTGGACAATTTTCTGCGACTCGAAGGTGGCACGGCAGTCTCTACTATCAGCCTTACGCCGTGGACCACACGAGCAGCTGGTAATAGAGATAGCATAGGTTATACACCACCTGACTGAGAAAGGACACCAAATTACATTTCAGTGGTTGCCGAGTCACTGCGCAATCATCGGCAATGAACGGGCCGATCAAGCTGCCCGCTCAGCCCACACAGAAGATCATAAACTACGACTACCACTTTCTAAAACAGATGCTGCACGAAAGCTCTGCAGGCTTGCTCGCCAGCAAACCACATTACAATAGAATCAGCCACACTTCAAGCATGCCCGACTGTACTCGCTTGACCCTACGCTAAGTCTTCAAGTGCCGTTGAGGCTTTTCCGAGCAGACCAGACCCTGTTATGTAGGCTGTGGTTGGGCGTTGCGTTTACCAACGCCTACGATTTACGCATTGGGATGGCCGACACCGCAGCCTGCGGCCACTGTGGCAAAGAAGAAACGATCTAACATATTCTTTGTGACTGCCTAGAGTAAAGTAAACAACGACTATGCCTTCGCAAGGAACTCAGCAAATTAGATAATCAACCACTGTCGGAGCAAGAAATTCTACAATTTCGAAAAGATGCAACTTCACAGAAGAAGGCCCAGAAAGCGCTACTACACTTTTTGCGATCGACCAGCCTTACTGAACGGTTGTAGCTAGGACGCCCTTCCTGTGTGTGTTTTCGTTTTCACATGAGTGCACGTGCGTGTTTTTTTTCTCTCTATCTACCCCCTCTTTCTTGCCCCTATTTCCCCGCCCCCAGCGCTTGGTAGCAAACCAGATGCCAATATCTGTTTAATCCCCCGGCCTTTCCTTTCTCTCTCTCTCTCTCTTCATTGTAGCGACCATGATGCTGATGATGTGTGGGTTTTTATGGCGCAAGGGCTGTTAGCCAAAGAGCGCCATGAACAATGTTAAAGGAAGAACAGTGGTCCGTTTTTGATGTGCTATGAACAAGATGTGAACAATGGTGATGTTACATGGCTATAAACGGGCCTAAAATTCTACGCCCTAAGGTGGGTTAAAATTCAAGAGTAATAAAATGATTGTGGTTACGTGAAAGGTGTGAAGGTGGAATAAACAAAAATGTTGGTGTTGTGAGCCGCCACAGCAATGACCTACACAGAGGTCGAGCTACGAATCACCAAGGAATATGGGGCGAAAAGTATGGACATATTTTAAAAACGCGAACAGTGATGGGAATTAAAAAGCGCATTCCTACCGATAGGCATCGTAGGATGTACTGGAAGCTGCTGTTAGTAGGGCAGTAAAAAGTGATTTTTCTTAAAGCATCTGAATAACTACAGTGAACAAGGATGTGGAGAAGTGTAAGTGGATCTACGCACCTCTCGGAGATGGTTTGGGCACCGCCAGGCAAAATTGAATATGATTAGTGGAGTTTTGTGGCGCAAGGGCTATGGGGGGCCAAAGAGCGCCATGTCCTTGATGCGATGTGAGCAATGACCAATCATTACGATGGTAGGGTGTAATACAGCTGTATAAAGGTATAGATGTGGAGAGTGTGCGTGTACTATCTGTAGCCTTGTGAGTATTACTTGTGTCACACCGCATCATACGTACGTAAGTATGACCACTAAGAGTTCTTGGCTATGAGCCGAGTGTCAGAGCCAGTCAAAATTATTGATTGAGCGAGCTGATGGTACACGATAATTGAAATACGCTCGCATATCTTGAACAGGGACTTACGAAAACAAAGACAAGGATGGGCTTGTCCTTGTGTACTCCCTGTTTCCGTGTCTACTACTCTTTGTTTAATGACAGTTTCATACTTCAAATGGGAGCCAGTATTGCAGTCACCACCGCCGGTTGTGAAAGCACTATCTGCATTTGCGTTTATAATGGCCGCGCAGCGCCATTTTGAAGTGACTCGATGGTTGTGTTAACAAAACAACGTGCAGTGCAGAGCCCAAACTGACGCGTTTCAATTTCCGAGCATTGATCGTTTTCATTCCTCTCATTGAGGGTGAAATTAAGGTTCCCAGCCCTTACGCTGTTGTGTTGTTTCGGATCCTTTCCGTAGAGGATGGCCAGTGGTGCGTAGCAGATTTCACGTAGGAAGCTGTCGCAAACCGTAGCAAGCGCATTTTGTTGTATGGCATTCGTGACCAAGAAACCACCGTGCGTGACGAGGTCGTTCACAGCCTGCAAGGAAGCAATGCTTTTGGTTTTGTTTTTTCCAAGTACTGTGGATTCTAGACAACACACGAGAGGCGGTGAATCTAGGCTGTTTGCCCTTCTGTATCTGACTTTCAAGGCATAAGGAAAAGGCAGGTAAAAACGTGGTGGCACTTGGTTTACTAACCAACACGGGTGGATAGAGAATGGGAAGGAATGAGTGAAGAGAGGAAGAAAGAAGGAGAAGCAACTGATAGGGTGGTGCTTGTGGTGGCTAGAACAGGAGAAAGGCACCTATTTTCTGCAGCTCAGTCGGGAGCAAGGCACTCGCATACATAGCAGCGTTTGCTCAGTATTTCCTCTTCTCGTCGTTGCTTTTGTCGCGCTTTTATACGTTCAAGCTGGAAGCATAGCACACTCTTCTTAAGTACAAGAGCGAAAATGTTTTGGTTTCGGCTGGCAATGTAGACAGTAGAGGTCGTGGTTTCTCAAATGCCACGGGTGACTTACGACGTGCGGCTAATGTTTATTACGCTGATCATTGGAGCGCGAAGAGTTTTCGGTCATCTACAGTTGACCTTGTGCATGATTTGGTTGCTCCGCACAATTAGGAATTATTGTAATGCCTTGAATATGGCTTATGTAAAAAGAACATTAATGAGTACGAACACTTTATTCGTGAAATCTTTCTTGTAAACCATCGCAGGCTAACAATATATGAGATTTGTGTGTTAAAACGAAAAAAAAAAAGAAGTGATAGCGTTTACAATTAATGGTCCAACAAGAACGACAGCTAGAAATACATTGACGCCCGTACCTATACGAGTTCAGTCACCTATGAGCGCCAGTACGTGCAGAAGCGGCTACCACGGTATTACGTACGTGTCTTGTTAAAAGGTAGATGCGAGAGATGTCATTGAGGGTTCATCGTGAAAGAAGGTTGGACACGCAGACACGGCCATAGAATAACCAGTGACGCAGAGGGCACTCATGTTCCCTCTTTGCTTCTATCGTGTGCTGGTCTGCTTACCTGACCTTCTTTAGCGATGGAACCCCGCCAATAAGGGCAACGTTCTGTCGGCCTAAGTTGAAAGTTCGTACCTTGACTTCCTCTGCAAACGGAATGAGCAACCTAAACGGCGAGGTGAAGTGAGTGATGTTTGCCACGGGAGCGTAGGCGACTAAAATGTTCACCTGGAAAACAAAATTGCATCCTAAGCAAAGCACTATCGAAGTTCCCGATTGAAAAGAAAATCGACTCGAAAGAGTGAATGCTTCCAACGTTTTAGGTGCGCATTTCGTCGCTAGTACTGTCAGTTATCTCTCCCAATAAAAACTTTACATAGCGACATTTTTTTTCCTTGTTCTCTATTCGCCTTAACGTCAAATGCAATACCAGCTACCATTTCGTCATAAGTACGACAAGCTAGAACGGGAACACTCGTTAGCAATTCGCAACTTTATGCACCGGGGCGCCGCTGAGCAGTGGCGGCCGCAAGCTTTGTTGAGATGATTGAAGTTTTGGACCGGCTTCAAACATAAGATGTTGCTGCTTGTTTTCCCGCGCGTTTGTGGCCATTTTTCAATGTTGTGAACGGCCTCGATTCCTCTGCGACCCTCCGTGTTCACAGCCTATATGCACCGAGAGGAAAAGTAAGCCTCTCGTTCGAATTAGCTCCCCAAAAAACCATGAGTGGTTAAGAGGGTTAAATTTAGCAGGCAAATAACCAAGGCCCACGAATGCATGCAGCACCCATTTTGTGCATGAGTACAACAACTTCTAGGTTTGCAGTTTTCGCACTTAGTTCATTTTCTCGACACAGTCGCTGTGAAAACGTACAATACCAAAACTAAATTAAAAAAAAAAAGCGTTGAGTGGTACCCTGTCCTCGCACTTCTGTGAACGCGTCCATCTTTCCTATCTTCTCCTAACTTTCGTATGTGGCTGTCTGCGCCTCTTTCTCTTCTTGCTCCTCTCTCTATCTCAATACCTTTAATACCTCCCTATTTTCTTCAATCCCTCCTACCACCATTCCTTGCACAGAACTGTGGAGGTGCCCTCAATTGAGAGAGAGGCAGTAACAAAACTGCGCTTATTTCTTCCTTTTCCCCTTTTACATCCGCAGCAATTTGTGTAGGGTCTTACTTGCTTATGACGCTTTGTGTTGTCATTTCTACCCACAACATGCTATCTTTTGTACTTCTAAAACACCGAAACATAGAATAGAAACGAGAACCTCACCTCTTGTTCTGTGGTTTTTCTAAATCAAGAAAGCACTCTAAAATGCACCCTAAAGCACCGTAAAGCGTGTGTTCTCATGACAAGCTCTATTTCGAAAAATGCAGTGTTTTAGAGAGTATGCCGCATTGCGGCTTATTGAGATTGTCAACTTAACAGAACATGCAATTAGATTCTGGTGAAAATGAAGAGATCGTTAACTAAGTAGGGCGATTCCAGCCACATTTCGTGATCGCAGTGGGATTCATGTTTCTAATTTCATTTTATATGTATGAGACCAGCACGTCATGTAGCTTAGCGGAATATCGTTGAAGCTGGACCGTGAAGTCGTTCACTTGGCTTTACGGAGTCTGACTTTTTCATGGGCAGCATAATTAGTAGGCCAAAATAGAGAGAAATAAAGAGACAGATATGGAGCAAATGGCAGACATAGAAATCGAGAGAAAGAGAAACAAAAAAGAAGTAGGAGAAAGATAGAACCAGCTGAAAAGACAGGAACAGGTGTACATAAAAGATGTATACAAGGAATAGAGACAAGAAGAAAGAAAGAGAGAAATAACGAGAAACAACAATGGCCGCCCAGGCTCGACATCACCAGGGCGAAGCTGCCATATAATTTCAGCTCACTGGGAAGCCACCCATGTCAGCAGCTGTTGTGATCCAGTGAGAGATTTCGATGAAATTATCGGTCAATTTGAAAAAAAACAAGCTTAGCAATGTTGGAAGTGACGCGAAGGTGGTATAGATTGTCGCTCGTCGTGGCTTTGCGAAACTTCACTCACCTTGTCGTTGTACTCTGGTCGCATAGAGAGAAGCACCAGTGACGCGGTCGTCCCCTGCGACGTGGTCAGCAAGCCCAGTTCGGTGAATCCGGTCTCGTTCAGTATGTAGTCAATGACGGCCGCCATATCATACGTACCAATCTGTTCGAAGCTAAATTCGCATTCCAACTTAAGTATGTCCAGCTGAAGAGGGAACACACATTCGCCATACGCGGGCGCGCACCAGAGGAGGCTGTGGTTGTATATATAGAATAGAGCCCCAACTGGTCACGTTGAATCTTCGCTCACGCAACATGCCATCGTTCCTTGCTTTATTTAGCGATGGGCCTATATATTACATTTGTGGTAACATACAAGATCCATGCGGGCATGTGTACAAATAATTTTTCCAGGTTTTCTCAGTACAGATAAGGCAAAATGCGCCACCGCCATGTCATGGCCTCGAACCTTCCAACATTGCACTGCTTTGGAAGCAGCAATTGAAGTGGCATCGTATACGTATATTGTTATGGTTTGGTTTTTTATGGTACATAGGCAGCTTAGGTCATCATGCACCAAACGCATAGTAAGATTCTCTTAAAATGTTGGGATGCCCCGCCGATTCCTTGTCTAGGCGAAGGCCTCGAGGATACCAACCAGGCATAAGAGACTTCGATCGTCTTCTCAAAAGTGGGAAGCTCTACGAGGTGTTCCTGTGTATCTAGACGACGCAGGGTAAAATTTAGAGTTTGTCTAAAAAAACCTGCTTCTTTTAGGAAGCTAAGAACTTCTGGGTTATCAACAAGCGCATCTTCACCTAAAAGACATGCAGGATGAAGAGGTATATGTTCATTGTAAAACACAATAAAATGTTTTTTCCGTAATCCTTCTAGTTTATATTATAGCAGCTTTGATTAAAACTCAAGGTAAACGATGGGAAAGACGTACCCACCTTATAAACCCATATAAACCCACAAAACAAAGGGCAGAATGGTGAACAATGACCTAATATTTCAAAATGGAACACACTGAGGTGATTTGTCCAGCTCAGATCGCTCGACTGAGATCAAAAGTGTAATAATCGTGAGAGTGATATATCACTATAACGACACCCAGCACCTCCACTTCCGAGCACAATCCACTGGCTCCAGTCTCTGCGGCACGCTCTATGCTGCTGTCCAAGGGCTGATGAACTTTATCTTCATTACAGTATATATAATAAGTTTTCAAACTTACATTCAAAAACTGTACGTACCTAAAACATAGACATGAATATGAGGCCTGCCACGGTGGGTGGTCTCCCTTGAATTAATTCGAGTCATCGGAAGCTTTTCATTCTACGTGACCCAAAGCCGTATGAGCGATTGATTTTTTTTTCTTTTGTACCCATAAAAGTGCTGTGGCGGCTGACAGGATTCACATTCGAATCCCAGTTATCAGTATTACGGCACCAAGGCCACTAGCTAAAGTTTGGGCCGTATGGGACTCCAGATTCTGCGTCAGTTTCTGCCCAGCATAATTGTGGCGCTATATCAAGTTTTCTTATTGTTTTGCAGACTAGATTTTGGAGCTGTATCTGCCCCAGGCATCGCTGCCACCCTTAAAACGTTATACTAAATCAACGGCGCACACATTCAATGGCGCATTCAGTTATTGACCTTTACCACAAGTAATGCATTAGGATGAATGTGTTAGATATGCGTGTGCCAACTACGCCACCACATCTTATGGCACCAAAACAACACGTTTCTGTGGGTCTCATTACTAGTATTCTATTTTTTCATTATGCATTATGGAAAACGAGCGCGTTAGGGCGCAAAACAAACGGCTTTTCGATTGCTTATTTCACAAGTATAGCAGCATCCTGCCACCAACGTACCTACTCAGCTATTTTGAATTTCAACATTCGCTTGCACAAATATACTTAAAAATTTAGCGGTGCTCTAGGTATGTCTGGCCGGCTCATTACAAAAACAGAAACAGGAGAATCGAGAAATAAAGTCATCTACACCCGGACTTTGCATAGTAGGGAACGTGATGAATTGTTTGGCGCCAATGTCGTGCTTGTTCTCCAGCAAGGAAAACGCCACGTAAATGCCCGAATATATGGGCACACCTGTACGAAAAGTGGAAAACGGCCACGGCGACTACTGCCCACACTACGTGGGAACGCGAGGCGCGAATTTTGAGCTCCAATTCTCCCATGTTCTAGGACATCTCTAATACGGTAGGAAGTGCATAGGAGACCTAGATGGCTCGCTAGCAGGGATCGGGAGAACCAGCTAGATCTGCTCAACGAAACCCATAGATCAAGCTGTGAAATTCAATGACGCCCCAGAATCAAGACCCCACACACCTGCCCAAAAACTATAGGCATGTGTGTATATTAGAGAATAATTAGAGTGGTACGTATTTGAAATTACAGACATTTTTATAGTCGTTTACGAATAATCAGTACCGATGGCGACGGGGACCCCCAAAACAACAAAGCTTTGAAACAGCACAAGATTATTTCTCGTATTTTACTCACTAAGCTACCATGTGCATACAGTCCACGCTTTTACGAGACTTTCGATGCCATATTTATTGACAAAGGGGGAAGTGTTTTACTGAAACAATCTTTTCTATGCGGATAGGCTGCGCCAGCTCCGCTACACCTGGGAGGCGGCACTCAGCAGCAACAAGCTGGCCGACCTTCTTTGGGCCGTCCAGAGAGCCGAAGATGTCGCCCGGGTCTAAGGACTTCCAGCCATCACCTGAGGTCCCGCCATCATCATCGACGGTGGGTGGGGTGCGACAGGGGTTAATACACCTTTCTCTCAACCTCGCCCGAAGGAAACTGCCAGACTTTAAATAAAGTTCATTCATTCTTTCTTTCCCTCCTTCTTTCCTTCTTTCCTTTTTTCTTTCTTTCTTGTGGCGCTACGAAGATTTTAACACAGTGCAGCGGCATTGAATCAACCAGTCCCTGTATTCGTATAGTTGCAACTGTGTTGTTTCCGTAAATAGCTTTTGCAGATAGATCTTGCAACTCTGATATTTACATGCTTTCGGTACCGAGGCCAATGTTGTGACGAGAGGTTACTCTGTTTTTGTTTATCTCTAGCTGCAGTGGAGGTGTTTGGTTTGAAATCATCTGTAGTTTCTCGTTTAAATTTAAATTTAATGCAAGCCACAATTGGCTACTATAGCACTGCAGTAGGCGAACGTCTACTATACTAACTTTATGATTGTGACCAGCATCCTCCGCAACCAAAACTCTACTGCCGGTAGCCATTTAATGCTTCCAGCAATTTCTTGTGGCGTGAAACACTGCCTTAATAATACCGCAGAAACTTGTTTTGTACATTTGAATTGTTTCCCTTTAAAATTGCAAGGATTGCGTCTACAAGCAACTGAATCGCCATGTCATTAGTGTTTCACTGGCAAACTCTTATGACGTTATGACTGTGACTTGACAACAAAGCTGAAACAGTGGCTTTGAGCTTAATACTGTTCATCCCGAACACGATCTTTGGTTGAAACAATAACTTCTCGTCTCAGTAACCACGTAAGTTAGTAATAGCGATTGTTCTTAATTGCACATGCCCCCACCCACGGGGAAGACAATCATGCGCTGCTTCATCATCTAGAAAACATACTCAAGATATGCTACTAGGTAGTATCATCATTCTCGTCATAATCAGCCTGACTACGTCCATTAAAAGACAAAGACATACCCCACGTTCGGACAGTGAAGCCGACCATGTACTTGACACATGGTATAAAAGAAAGTTTCTTCATTTAGACTGTCCGTATAACTACTCTCTACCCCTTCGTTCACTTTCTTTCTCTTAGAATCTAGTGAGTAACGCCTAAAGACCAGCAGTTAGCTTACTCCCGTGCTGCGTGCCCTATCCAAGTCCATATCTACTTCGGGGTTCCAACTCATTTCCTTAACACCGGTTCGCTCCCTGAAAAGCTCTAGTCTCTTCCTGACCCTTAAGGTAGACACATATCCCTTTCATTTCCCTTGCTTGCTGCGCCGTCCTCTGGTTAGCTTCAACAATCTTTGTGATACTCCAAGTTTCTGGTGATGATGATGATATATGGTGTTTTTTGGCGCAAGGGCCATTTGTTGGCCAAAGAGCGCCATTTCATCTTACTAAAAATATGGACAATGATTGTGATAAGCGGCTGTATAAGGGCCATAAAATTCCTCGCGATAAGGCGGGTAAGAACATACAAGTAATAAAATGATGACCATGCCATGAAAGATGTGTGTGGTGTGAATGATGACAAAAGTTGGTGATAATAAGACGATGGTGGATATGTATGGCATTAGCACAAGTGCCTCACTCGTTCATACCCTTGCGTCCAAGGGCCGTGAGGCATGTGCTTTCCTGTGTAGCCACCGCAGCAAAAACCTCTCAAGAGAGGTCGTGCTACGGTATGCCCGGGTATATGATATGAAAATTATGAATTTCCTTAAAAAACGCTAATAGCGATTTGTGACTAAAAAGCGGTTCCCTACCGACGAACATTGCAGGGTGTAAAGGTACATATGTTGTCGGTAGGATAGTGGGAAGTGGTGTCTTCTTAGACTGTCTAAATGTTTACATTGAATTAAAACGTGAAGAACTGTTAATGTCTCACCACATTTATCACACAATGGTGGATCATCACCGGATAAAAGATGTGTGTGTGTCGTGTATGTGTGTCCTATCCTGAGTCTTGTTAGTGTTACCTCTGTTAGACGTGATTTAGATACTGGTGGCCAATGGCCAAGGTGTGGCTTGATAACGTGTAGTTTGTTTTGTGTGTGTGTATCCCACTTGCTCTGCCAGTAGTCCCTGAGGTTTCGTTTGAGAGACGGCTTAAGATCAAGGGCCGGGATTGATATAGATGTAATGGCGGTGCACTCATGGACGGATGCAGCGAGCTGATCCGCCCTCACGTTGCCTTGGATCTCACGGTGCCCTGGCACCCAGCACACTACAACATGTTGTTTGTGTGTGTAGAGTGTGCACAAAATGGAGTAAAGTGAGACAAGGACTGGGTTTTTTTGTTTTTTAAGACTGTGCAGAGCCGTTACCACACTGAGGGAGTCTGTATAAATTACTGCTTTTTGTATTTGTAATTGTTTGATGTGTTTAGCTGCCACAAGTATCGCGTAAGCTTCCGCCGTGAAGA